CACAAAATCGTCTTCGAGGTAACTACTAGAAAGCCCGACTTTGCGTCTGCTCGAGCAGGCCCGTACTCTGATAACCAGAAACTTGGACAGTGGACGGGGTCGCCTTTGACTTGGACGGTCCTCTCACGGGCCTCAGCTGCGATAAGGAGGAGCGCTGGTGGTGGTGGGGTTCCGTGGCCCCCAAATCGCATCCTTCGTCTCCGCCTCTGCTCCGTCATTGCCGGCCTGCCGCCCTTTGTGTCTCAAGTCACGTCTCAAGTCACATCTCAAGTAAATACTAGGATCCATATCTTCGAAGGGGAAGCTGTATAAACAGTCCGCCTGAGTAGTTGATCCCGAGATTTCCAAGCTGGTTGGCATCACTAAATGGAGATAGAATGGTTTAGTCACCGCGCTCAGCTCTCGATGCAAATTTGGTGGAATCAGCCCAAGAGCTACCATGCACGAGACTTAAGGAAGCTGGCGACTCGCGAGTCCAATTGTACCACTTCCACCTGTCACAGAGCATCCATGATGCCTTTATCAAGTGGCTAGTTGAGGAGCACCCACCCCTTGCTCTACCTGCCTTCCGATGACACGGCATTCTTGGAATATGCTCTATTGGATACTCGCAATCTCATCTGGTTACAATTCGACATCTGGCTGACGTTGGTTCCGGTATGAAGTAAACTTCACCATCAGCTCGTCGATACCTCCTGACGCACCATATCCACAGTCTCTCATGGCTGAAGGGTGTCTATATGTTCTCTCAGAAACATTCATGAGAGATATGTGGTATCACCTTCTCAGTGATCTTCTGGAGGGGACAGTCACGATTATAATCCGGTGACGTACGCATGGGGGCCCAGTCGTCGGGATGTGCCGTTGGATCTGAGGAACTATTGTAGCGGCAGCGGGCCTCCGGAAGCTGTGACCATTTGCAACGGCGGCCTTGTCGACTTGAACAAGCGAAGCATATCGCAGATCAGCTTGCGGGTGCTCTAACCCTTTACGTTCGTTCGAATGGGCACCCCAACTTCAGCCAGCCGGCTACAGGACAGAGTGTCCATTGCGCAACATGTCTACGCGTCAACTGGCCATGGCTGGCCCTGCCGTGCTTTCTAGCTGTATCGACTATTATCCTCTTTGCTCTGACAGTATCACATTCGAAGAGGAACGTTGGCTACTGCAATACAGACCTGACATGGAGAATATAGACAAGATGGAAAAGATTGTGAAGGATACCACTGTCATCTTAAGCGGCGGGAACAAGGAATACAAACTGATGGCTATGTAGCATATTTACCATGGCAGTCTATTATGAATTGTATAGTATATGACATGGTCAAATGCTTCTAATTGTCGCCGTTTTCCCTTACTTTAGAGACAGTTTGAAAAAAAGACAGTCTGTCAAGGATGATCAGGTCATCGTCAACAACCACAGATGAGTGAGGGCGGGTTGTGCTTATTACGCCGAGCGTAGGAGTAAGTACCTCACTGTATCTTCAAAAATACTCTGTATCATTAATATATTCATGTTTGTAGATCGCACGTTGCAAAACCAAATTTTACTTGCCAAATCATATGCGATGATTAAACCACAAGCGTTTGAATGATGAGTTCTACTTTCCCGTATCACCCATGAACACATTCCTGATGACGGCCTCCTAAAACCAAACCTCGGCAGTGCCTCGGTGTATTCCTCGGAATCAAGCCATTCTTGCTTCAGACCGTCGGTCAGAAACTAAATTTCAAGATGGATAACATGCAACCACAGCGATCCATTTAAATGCAACCATAGATCTCCAACGATTGTAATGTAAGCCCAAATCATCGTGCTACATCCCACAGGGTCTTCTCCTTGGACCCAAACAGCTTTAGGGAGCCACATTAGCCCACGTCAACCAAACCCTAGTCCGCCACGCTGAGGGCCGGAGTCCCGTAAGTCCCGCCGAGTGGACGGCATTGCTACGGATGCTCAGAATTGGCCGTAATAAGCACACCCGGGTAATATACAGCCGTACTTGTTGGTGATGACCGACTTGTCCTTGACGGACTTGCACTCGACATTGTCGCAGTTCTCTGTGAGCTCTGTAATCCGGTGGCCGCACTTGTGGTGGATAAAGACCTTGTGTGTGCACATCGAAGGTGAACGAGGATGGGCGCGGGCTGGGATGAATAACTAAGCTCGTAGGTGCTCGTTCAAGGAGCGGTCTGGTGTCAGGGTCTGTGGCGCACGCGGTTTCTAGTTCTTAGGACTAGCAGGTGGTGCCAAAAATGTCAACTGCTTGTTGCATGATTTGTGGACCTCATAACTCTCTTATAAAACGGCGTGGTGACGACGGTGAGGACCTGGAGGTACACTATATCGGAGTAGAGTAATATCAACGCCAACGGTATCGGTCACGGGCGCCTGGCCGGGCAGATGTCGCTGCGAGTATTTGTAACAAGCTCCGCGATGTCCAAGCCTGTTTCAGCACCCGCGACGCCAAGAGCTCCGGGTGGGCTGTTCGCGCTGGAGTGGGCCCCGGCACTGTTCTGGCAAGTATACCTCTTCCAATAATAGAGGGCGAGCGCCAGGGCCAGTAGCAGGCCCGGCGGTTGAACTGGTGGGGCTTAACTAAGAAGCTTGATATGATACAAGTGGAAAGAGGTGGTGGAGTCGGGGATGAGGTCGTCCAACTTGACGCTCAGTGGATAGGTACAGAATTGGGTTTCCCCCACTCGAGCTCGTCTATCAACCGCGCGAGCACAGGTCGACAGGAAAAGGAAACCAAGGCCGAGAGTTCAGTAGAAAGAGGGGTTCAGAAAGACAGCGCGTTGCCAGGAGGGGAAATAGCTCGGAGGATTGACCTGGATTTGGACAGCCCGAGCTCGATCTGTGAGAAATAGATGAATTCTAGTATGTTGATATGGCACAACTCACCTCTATCGCATTACAACACGCGACCAAATGACCACTGCAAGAATCCGGCGGAAGGGTGCCGGTTTGCTAGATACGTTCCTAAGAGACACGGCGACTTACACCACGTCTTCCACGCTAGAACAGCAGTTATTATCGTAAACATACACATCGCTGATGTTACGAGCCCTGATCCAATACAAATACCTATACAATGACACCGTTTTCACTCATACTCTGGGAAGTCCCGTAGAGTCAATATGCTATAAAAAGGTCGCTGTAGATTATCTGCACATGCTCGCGTGCTACCATGTGCGCCAAGGGGCTGCGCACGAATTATCCCACCGCCATGCGGCCCATATGATGCTGAAATGCAACATGAGAAGCGCACCACTCACCCTCCACCCCCATGTCCATCGGGACGAACCCGAACGCCGGCGCATACGCGGCCCACCTTGGTACGGTACCACGAGGCCATCCTTGTGTGGCATGCCGAGATCTATGGCTGCAATGCCAATAAGGGGCGCACCCATCTCGAGGCGCACCATAAAGGGCCAACATATCCTGGCCAATGAGGCCATCTTTATCAGAAAGAGACCCAGTCGTGATAGGAAGACGATCCCGTCAATGTTGTCATGATAGAAACGCAATATGTGATGCTGTGTGATCTCTCTCCTGTGTTGCATGTCGCCCCAGAAGGTAGTTGGCGGGGGCATCAGAAGCGGGGGAGAGGCATGGGGTGTGAGTACATCGTCGCTGTCTGGAAGAGACAATGAAGAGGGGATGGTTCCGTCCTGGCTTCGAGACAACGTCATAACGTGCCTTCGGCGAGGACTGCCGGGGTTTGAATGCTGCTGCAGACCGCTCTGGAGGGTGGTGCGATGTAGGTGATCTGGGAGGGTGGACGCAAGATCGTCGGGCGATGCCGCTCGCTCGGCAGGCAGATCCCTGTAATGGTGCTTGAGTGGGTCGACTACAGGCGTGGACGGTGGCATAGGCGAGTCCAAGTTCTGGATCCTGTGCTCGTGCAAACCCAGCGGAGGGCTGTTGTTGGCTCTCGAGTCTCTGCGTAGGCCACCCAAATGTGATTCGTGGTTCATCCCAGTCAGAACTTCTGTAGCCGTGGGCCGTTGTGCTGGGTCGAGAGCCAGCATCCACTTGAGGAGGTGATAGAGCTTTGGCGGGAGATCAGGGCGCACTCTCCTCTCTTCCTGGAACCCTTTCCAGTCTGTAATCTCGGCACGAAGCAGGTCGATGTCCTCCAGTTCCTCCTGCACCGTGTTGGCATTTCGGTAGGGCAGCCGGCTGAAACACAGAAAGTAGAGAATCATGCCCAGCGAAAAGACGTCGGACTTTGTGGTAAAGTTGCCGAATTGCCCAAAAGCATCCGCTGTGAGCACTTCGGGGGCACAGTAGGATATGGTGCCCGTTGTACCCGTCGACTTCCTGACTGCATTCTCTGGTTGCACCTCCCCAAAATCGCTGATCAAGCACGTGAGCTTTCCACCCTCGCTGTGTAGTAGACAATTGCTAGGCTTGAGATCCCTATGGATATAGTTTGCGCCGTGCAGATAGGCAAGCCCTGATACAATGTCCCGGAACAGCGAGTATATCTCCTCGAATGACAGGCGCCGCTGTGAGGCATAGAGGTCGGGCCGCTCAGCGTGGCCCTTGGATCGCCGCCGCATCTGCGCCTTGAGCTGCTCCTTGGTCGTCTCCTTGGGCAGTTCGCCAACCACGTAGCGCAGCAGGTCGCCGCTGTTGCAGTACTGCTGGAGAATGAAGGCACATGCCACACTCGGCCCGAACCGGTGAAGCTTGACATCCTCCAGCCAGACGTGCCTGTATGAGACGAGGTTCGGGTGGGAGAGCTTGGCAAGCAGCTCGACCTCAATCAAGACCTTCTCCAACCAGGCATGATCGTCGCCGACCGGTACCCTCTTGCAAGCGAAGTGGCCCAGGTGGCAGCCGTCGATTTCGTGGCGCACAAGCAGCACGACGCCCTTTCCGCCCCGGCCCAGCTCCTGCTCCTCGACAAAGAAGGTCTTGAAGTAGTTCGGGCTGAACGCTTCTCTCCGTATGCGTGCGCCCTCCTGCGGCGCCGGAGAGCTCGAAAGGAACTCGGCGTCGCTGACCTCCTCGACTCTCGAGCTCGCGGCGCTGGCGCCATCACCGATGGGCAGTGTAGGCTGCGTCAGCCGTCGGACGGGGCTCGGCGGCGTGCGATGCTCCTCGTGGGGAGCCGCCCGCAGCATGCGGAAGTAGTTTGGGTCGACATACGACTCGTCGCGCGGCGGAATATCGAAATGGCGTTCTGGCGACGAGGACCGCGTCCGCAGCGGCTGATGGCAGGTGGGGCATTCCGTCAGAGACAGGCCTCGGATCTCGAGACGCTGTGACGAGGGGTCTCGCACGACGAGAGCGTTGCGGTGCCGTCTTAGTGGTGCGCAATCTGTTAGCGGACGAGTCGCTCTCGAAAACAGTGCTCCTTGAACTCATTCATTTGCGTCATTCAAGTCCAGGCCGGCCGGCCCAAAGTGTGCCTGGAATCATCCCGTCTTCATCGGCCCGGGTGCCAGGGCGGGGGGGACAGGACAGTGAGGTATGACGTACAGAACAATCTCACGGCCCTCTCGTGAGGTGTACGGGATCAACTCCATGGCCGGTGTATCGCCATAGAGCGGCTGCCAGGTTGCGGTGTGGTTGTGTTCATGGACATCGGTGGTCGCTGTGGTCTTGCAGAAGCAATTTGGAGACAGCAGCTTCGGCTGACTATCGCAGAAGTCCTACATTCCGCATTGTTGGTTGTTGTTTTGTTGTGCTTGCATAATGCGCGCGTCGTGTAGCTAAGCTGTCGTTAAGTGGAGAGGTGGGAGAGCCAAAGCCCCGAAGACTAGGGGGTTTGCCCGCTAAGGCACAGGGACGTGATCTACTGTAGTTACTTCCCCAGGCCCTAGCGCAACACCCGAGTTCCACTGACCGCGCCAGGAAATGGTGTCGGCATTCGTCCGCTCCTTTATAGACCGACCTATGTATAACTTGGTACTTGTCAAGTCTTATTTACTAGGGCGACTTGCCACGCTGGTTTCAATTTGATTATGTATTGTAATCTACTTCCCAATGACAATGGCCCATAGATTCTTCCCAAACGCAACCCAAACCCTATCTCTTCGCATCTCATCCGACCCAACGCTCCAGGGTAGCCCTAACAATTGCTAAAGGACTTTTCTCGTCCAGCTCCGTCCTGGATACTTCGCGTCGGGCACAGTCAAAAGGCTTTTGCCCCTTGATCTTGCCCTCGTCGAACCATGCACCGTGTAGCCCATACGGTACCCTCTGTGGCAGCTTTACCCGCGCCACGACATCCTTCATAGTCTTGGCGTCGATAACCCAGAGCTCACTGATCGCGTCCGCTCCACACTCGCCGCTCTCATCTAGCTGTGATTCATCGAATACATACGTCAGGAGCCATCCATCGTCCTCGCTGGCGCCATCGGCCCGAGGTACGAACTGGGGCTCTTGGGCAAACCAGCCATCGGGCAGCTTGAACAGCTTGACCGGGTCGTCGGGATCGCTGCTGTGCATAATATGGTCTATGCTTCGTGTGTCGACGCATCCCTTGATCTGCTGGGGCGGGTGCGCAATGCCCCGGGCGATCAACGTTTGGGCGTCTATTTTCGCCAGGTAATCGATCTTGGCCGCCTTTCCGAGAGCTGCCGAGTAGTACGATGACGACCCTGTACTGCACCCGTAGACGTAACGTGCTGAGGCCATCGCATATGCAGGGGACAGCGCAGGAAATTCAAAAGGAATGGCCGACAACGCCCATTGATTTCGAATCATGGGTCGGTCCGTGCCGCTGCTGAGCGGGAAGCTGAAGTAGTAGAGCCGGCACTGCTCCTCTTCGACGTACTCAGGGGGCACCGGCTTCGGGATAGGGGGTGCTAGGGCACCGGCACTGTACACCACAGATGCCGATGTCAGGCGACTGGCAAGCAGGTGAACGCAAACCTCGGGTACTGGGTCCAGTCTCGTCGTCTCCCAGCAGTTGGCCGTGTGGAAGATAACACATGCGTTTGTCTCGAACCACTGGATGTTGTGCGGCTCGTATCGAGGAAACACCCCAAAGCGCGAACGTTCAGTTGGGTCGTATGAAACAACAGGTCTACCTGCTAGGCTGTTCATTGGATTCAAAGACAGAGGGAGATCCATGATGACCGTGTAGCGAGCCGAAACGCCAAAGTCGTGCATCATCTTCGGCGAGCTCACACCTGGGACTGGTACGTCGAAATGAGGTCCGAGAATGGGTGCAGACTTGCTGATGGGTTTGCTCGGCGGCACAATCGAGTAATACACGAACGGCTTTATAAACACTGCGTGAAATGAAATCAGTTCGCCCGTGGCAGGGTCGACCCGAGGGTGGCCGGTAGTCCACTCCTTCATGAAGGCGATGGACGACTCTCCTCCGAATCCTGCTCGAGTGTCTTTGCCCGGCTCGTTTTCAGCTTTCCGACCATTGAACCATCCTACAGTCTCCAGGCTTGGGAGCTGGAACCTCATGGGAGGGCCGCTCTCGCACGTTGCCAGCGCCCTGCCATCGTGAAAGACGACCCCGGTATTGGCGACGCTGATCTTCTTCACCCGTCTTCTGGATCCCGGCAGGCACGACAAAGCGACCAGGAACAGTGTTCGAAATACCACAAAGACAATTGTCGCGAACGTGGCGCTGACCAATGTGGCAATGCTGGGTAGCAGTGGCCGCTTAAGATTCTTGTTGTCTTTCGCGTTGAGAAAAACATCTGTCAGGACGAACTGGTTCGCGAATTGAGGCTGGATCTCCGTCCCCTTCTCTCCCGTCCTATGGAATAGAACACCACTGAGCATCCCATCGCCGTCAAACCAATGCGCATCTCTTCCCAAGTCTTCGTTGGTGGTCGGGTTTCCCCCATTGCGCACATATTGCCCGCCAGCGAGCTCCCGAGGTATCTCCCCAGTATAGTCGCATACTGTCAACGGTCTCGTCTGCTTGATGGGGGCAAAGTTGCCCGAGAGGTATCTGCAGCTCTGGTCAGACCGCGAAACTGAGACCTGTCCAATGATACTTACGGGTGAGGGCCCCGAACTGTCTCAGTGCTCTCATCTCTGGTCTCAACCGTCCTCAGCAGAGCTTCTGACATTATGCCCTCTGACCTCTGGAATTCTGATTATCGCGCACAGTGGCAGCGAAATGATCAGTCGTCGATGGTAACACCACTGACTACGACGTGACCACCAGCAACACTAGCCGTGACCTTTGAGGCATCCAGCCAGACCATATGATGTTAGATACCCGACGACTTAGTACACCTCAAACCATGCCTTCCAATTGGCGACTAGAATAGTACTCTTAATAATGCCGACTTTATTCAAGCTCTGGTAGTGTTCCATGAAGTCTACCGCAGTCAGGCTTCGTCCCACTCGGATGTCAAGGACCTATGACGGCATCGCTGTGGCCTGCAGGCAGGAAGCTTCCCCGTTACCCAGGGGTCATTCAATTATCTCCGCTTCCCCCCGTGACGGATGGTGGTCTTAGCGCGCATCTTGATTGGGTAGGAGGAAATGCATGTCGAGGTATGCCACATGCAAAAAGATCTCCAGGGAATAGTGTCGACATGTTAGTGACGAACGCTACTATTGCTTGATTACATGGCTAGCCGATCTGAAGCGGAGTTGTCATCTTGGCAATCAAGCTTCAGGCGCTAGACGCCGCCAAAAACGTGCTGGTGGGCCTTCTACTCTGTATAGTCGCCGGCAAGTACCGGCATATGGGTTGCAGCAGGTCGGTGCGGAGAGTGTCGATTATCATGCAACTGTGGTACGGGCTTGCAGCCGAGTTCGCAATTGGCCAGAATCTAGCCTTGCCAGGGAACATCCAGAAAGAGATACTACTGGCATCCCTAGCTTGGTGGTAGCCAGTGATCTGGGTGAGGGTGCTTGTCAGACCTGTGATGATATCATGACTTCATTCCCAATTTAGTCAGAAACGTGCACATCGAGGGATGCCGGCGTCTGGCTCCGGGAATTTCGGGCGCTAGTGATGATTCATCACCACCGCCGAAGTCAAAACTGCTACGACTTCGCAGGCCGACCGTCGGACAGGAAAGCCGATATCGTACAACCCTCGTTCCAAATCCAACCTATCACATACTAAGAGCCGTTGTATTCTTGACCACTATAGGTCCAAGCCGGTGGGAGGCCGATCATCGTGATTCGACGCCCTATAGGTATTAGTCTTCTTAGTCAAGGTATTCATGTTGCTTTGCGCTGCAGCTGTCTTCCCCGGCCGAGCCGGTAGGTGGTTTTTACTTCCCTGCAGCTGCGGGAAGCATCCATCCAAGACAGAGCTTAATTGTCGATCAAGTGACCGGAGCCGATCGCAGTGCCGGGTCGTTCGCGTTAAGCTCTGCCATGGCGCAAAGCCCAAACGACATGGTGTTGAGTAACGACTCTGGCCAGTCAGCATGCGCATCACTAAATGATTACACCATTTCGGTTGCCGCGGAGAAGACCATCAAGGATGAAGTCATCGGCTACTATCGTCAGTATGATAGGTAGTAGCTTTGTCCTGGCGTGGCATTCAAATACTGACCAGCCCGACTTTGCTAAGCAGCTGTCCCGTGCCATCTTATATAACTGACCAGTTACACTTCCGCGTAACCTGCACCGTAAAAACAGTAAATCGTTGTCAGACCTGCTCATAACGCGCAGTTTCAAATTCCAAGCACCGTCGCGATGTCAGGACCGGGAAATCAAGCGCTCAACATCAACAATGTTGTTGGGCAGCAAGCCAACCTTCAGATCACAAACCATGGGTCGGACTGGTATTACACGGTTTGTGCCATTATGGGCATATCGGCCGTCGCTTTCATGGCCCTCGCCTTTAGGAGGCCGCAGAGCCACCGCATATTTCACTACATCACTGCCGGAATTTGTGCCGTGGCCTGCATCGCGTACTTCGCTATGGGATCCAACCTGGGACAGGTGCCAATTCAAGCCGAATTCGTTCGCCCCAACTCCCATTGGGTCGGCGCGGCTGGCACTCGAGAGATTTTCTACGCCCGTTATATCGACTGGGCCATTACAACGCCTCTCCTACTCCTTGACCTACTGCTTACAGCTGGTCTGCCCTGGCCCACGATCCTGATTACCATCTTTGCCGATCTAATCATGGTAGTCACTGGACTCATTGGTAAGTCGTCCAAATCCCCGCCCTTGTACTCTAAACTGGTGTTAATTCCATGGACCAGGTGCTCTTACTCGCACATCCTACAAATGGGGATTCTGGACTTTTGGTACGGCAGCGTTCTTGTTCGTTGTGTACACTCTGCTTGGCACTGCTCGCTCCCACGCAAACGCTCTGGGTGGTGAGCCCAAGAAGACGTACATGATGTGCGGCGCATGGCTCACTGGCCTCTGGTTCTTGTACCCCATCGCTTGGGGCTTGAGCGAGGGTGGCAACGTGATCCACCCTGACTCCGAGGCCATCTTCTACGGTATTCTCGACATCTTTGCCAAGCCTCTTTGGGGTGCGCTCCTGATCTGGGGTCACCGCAACATCAACCCCAGCCAGCTCGGCTTACACATCCGCAACCCTGAGCAGACTAATGAGAAGTACAACCAACCCCAGAACGGTGTTCACGGTCCCGACCGAGCGGTTGGCACAAATGGAGCCGGTGTTCCAACTACTGCTGGTGCTGGCGCTCCTACCGCTACCCCAGCTACCAATGGTCATCAGGTTTGAATGGAGGGCGTATAAGTCACTCGACTGCATAGCAAAGACTTACGCCGAGTACTGGACTATCAACACATGAGATCACGCCAGGTTGGGTGTCTAATCATTTCATTTGTTGTCTATCTACTGTTTCTGAATGTAGTTATGTCTGTGCGTCAAAGTTGGAAATACCCCACGATCTTTAGGTTAGGTAATGGCTCAAATAGGCATTGAGGTAATGGTGGAGGAATAGTGACGAGAATAATGAAATTATTAATTACACTTTGCATTCCCTTTCTCTTAGTAACAACACGTGAACTTGTTCAAACATTTACACATGCTACGCACGTTTACTATTCGGGTGAATAAACAGGGCGTATGAGTAATACCAAGTCTAGATCCGTACTAATCAGCTAGCGTTGTTTTGCATGTATCGCCAACAGGCTTTGCTGACTGGCAATCCACCACGGCCCACCGGGAACTATGACAGCTTGGAGGCATTGTCAAAGCTTGATCCCTGTGCACGTCCTATTACCGGCACCGTTTTGGAGGCAAAGTCTAAATTGACATCTATTCTGAGTCTACCACATGACCTCAGTCTGAACTCACCGCAACCAGGCGTCGAATGTGATTGAACCAATCCTGGTTTAGAAGATACCTCCAGCTTTACCTCTCTGTGTGCTTCTGTCCGGGTCTCTTATTTGCTGCTAGTTTATATATCCATCCAGCCCGGAGACTCTTACGCCGTGTGACCGTTGTCTGGGACGAACTATTTTGAGGCTACGGATTCGGGCTCCTAGACATGCAGTAGCTTGATGCTAGGCGTGGAGCTCTCAACCCGAGGGTGCCCATGATGTCGGTTCTGGCTGCCAGGACCTACCGAGTACATGCAGTGTGAGGTAGTCCAATATTCCTAATGGATGGATTAAATACGGGTACTGCGGTTAAGGATCTATAACAACGATTTGCCAACAGCTTGACAGGCCCATTCCACTCACCCTGGAACTTGAATACAGCAGTCATCCCTTGAGGCCCTTGAGGGGACGTGTGATAGGTAACAGCATACTTTCCCTTCCCCATACTTACCCATACTTCATGACAATGAGAAATCGTCCCGCGAAATATCCGAGTAGACACACCTATAGCCGTTGAACTATGCTTGGCAGCAAATGTCTTCACTTTTCCTATAGTGTCCCCGGACAGCCCATCTCCTGCCTCTGCAACAAAGTACAGAACAAAGCTGGACAGGCCCCGGCCTTCACCGACGACAAGCTGGAAATCTTGCGAGCTAAGTGCAGCTCCAAACCAATGACATACAAAGATACGTAAGGGGCGTTTTTCATTAGATATCTGCAATGGTTCGCGATATTAGCCTATGTAGTTCACCAAGAGGGCAGTGTATAAATAGCTACATCCTATCATCTGAACCAAGGGATCGGCCGCCGGCTTATCAGCCGAGCGGCAAGCCGTAGAAGCCAGGTTCTTGGTAACTGGTTCGAATTATTGGGAGATCATGTCAGTGGCCCGTCCCATCCAACGATTACCCCGCTAAAGAGATCCGCGCCGCGTTATTGCTGATGACTTGCAGCAATATTGACATGCAGCAATATGACGGCTAAATCCGCCGTGCTTTTGGGTAAGGACGCCAGCACCTCTCCGATCCACCGAAAGAACCGGTATAAATAATGACAGAGACAGACCACTATCTCTCGATCGGAGGAGACTATCTAAACTGTCTATGATCTGCGCGTAATTACGGCACGATGAAAGGTTTCGTTATTTCCATCCTCTTCACTTTCGCCGTCGGGGGTAGCATATTTGAACGAGACCAAGACGTGTGCAAATGGCAACTTGATGGCGATGACTGCATTTGCATGAACAGCGTGAACGGCGCTCTACTGAAGGACGAAACCACCACATGCTGCACCAACATGGGACTCAAAACCAAGAGCATGGTACGCAGCTCTCATCCAGATCGTCAACCCCGACACCAAGCTGATATAGTTCTAGAAATGTCATGTCGCACACGATAATAGGGACACATTCAAGCAGTGCTGCAAATGGCTGGCCATTGAGTCTTGCATTGGCCATTGCCGCTAGGACTCGAAGCTTGTGTTTCAACATATAATTGACGGAGGAGGGCAGTCATCTCGAAGCGTGGAAGATATAGTCGCTCCTCTAATACTCTTGAACTTGCCTGTTGGAAACAAGAAGAAATTGTTGGCGATGTCAGTTGAAGCTGAGCAAAAAATTAAAATATTTCAACTTTTATCAAACCTACTAGCCTGCCAATTAACTACTGTGGTCTCGTCTCTTTGCGCTTATTGCTCTAATCCGTTTCGATCTTGACGCTTCTCAACCGCTAAGCTGCGGAGAATCGCATCAGGGGAGCACTCAGTTATTGAATACAGCGTACAACCAAGCATCGGACCGCGAAAATTTCAATTCCCAAAGGAGGTAGACAAGCTCAACCAGCCCAACATGAACTAAATCGTAACCTTCTTAGCAGGGTGCTCTGGCGGTCATCATCTGGACCTGGCAAGAGTAGATGTGCGTCTGTGCACCAGCACTCAGCGAAGACATAGGTACACAATGTTATGTCACGCTCTGCAATAGAATAAATATCTGATGATAGCGATATTGGCAGAGCTATGGCTGCATGTGGCCCTTGGTTACACAGACGTAGACAGCTCCCTCGTATATCGACACCCTGTATGTATTCCTCCAACTTGCCAATTGACCATTGCGCAGTACCATTCGATGGTTTTTTTGTGGACTGCCACGTGTGAATTGCCCGACGTCTATCAGTCGAAGTGCATTGCGCAATTTAAGCTGGCCACGCAATCACTTAACTTCCATTGGATGCTCAGATCTGATTCGGGCTGCAACAAATTCCCGTTCCCGTCAAGATGCTTGCTGTGATACTGAGCTATCGGCGAGGGTGCTACTAGCGTTCTAAAATTAGGTAACCATTCCCCTGGAACTTGTAATTTCAAGGGCACTGCGCCACACCTCCAAATCCTTCGCCCAGAGTCTACTAACCTACTCTCAGCTGTGTGAAACTGGTACCCTGGCAATAAGGCCATTAACGACTGACTACAAAACAGTTATTTAATACGATGGGCGCTGGCAACTCATACCAACGCCACATCTCTGGCCAAGAACCTACCGTGAAGGACGTTCCTTGGAGACAGCACCTATATTGCAATGGCGACAACATCCATATACAAATTGGCCGACGGTCGCGATCTGTCGTACGCCACATACGGGTCGGAGTCTAGTACAGCTCCGGTGGTCTTCTACTTCCATGGCTTCCCCGCCAGCCATCCGGAGGCGCTGATGTATGACGCCGCGGCCAAAAAGCATGGTATCCGCCTCGTCGCGGTAGATCGCCCCGGGATGGGCTCGTCAACATTCCAACCCAAGCGTCGCTTTTTGGACTGGCCTGCAGATCTTTTGGCACTCGCGGACCATTTGAACGTACAAAGGTTCGCCCTTCTAGGCACGTCAGGGGGCGGACCATATGTGTTCGCATGTTGGCGTGAGATCCCACGCTCTCGGTGCGTAGGAGCAGGCATCGTGTCGAGTCTTTACCCAACGAGTTTGGGTACTGCTGGCATGCTCCTTGAGGCCCGCGTTTTGCTCTGGGTTGCACCTTGGCTTACAGGCCTCGTCGCAATGGGGCTAGATAAAGGACTCGGAGTCATGGCGAGGGACAAGGAACATCCCGAAAAGTTCGAACAGGCTGTTGCCGACAACCTCAAATCGCGGCCGCCGGTAGACCGAGCTCTCTGGGAGAACGATGTGGGAAATTTCCGGAAGAGCCTTGTGGAGAGTCTCAGAGGAGCGTTGCAGAATGGTGGGCAGGGTGCTGCTTGGGAGGCAAGGATGCTCGGCAGTAATTGGGATTTTAAACTTGAGGAGCTCCAGGTTTCGCCCGGGCAATTGATTATATGGCACGGCGCCCATGATATCAACGTGCCAGTACCGATGGCGGAGAAGGCTGCAAAACTGATCCCACATGCACAGTTGCGACTTTCACAGGAAGACGGCCACGCTAGTTTACCCACGAACAAGGCAGACGAGATTCTGGAGAGCCTCGCCATGATGCTTTCTCAGAAGTAATAATCAATCGTGAATGACTAAAGGGGCTCAGCCAGGGGCATCACCTGCATCGTGTCTGTTTTCTGCGTTCAGCTCATCTTGCACAGCGCCTAACTCTCATGTGGCTTGCAGCCAGCTGAAGAAGGCGCCGCTGGAAATGCTCGCTTGCCCTATCACGACCTAGCGGCCCACCCTATAACCCCAGACATACAGCTCTAGACTACAGAACCCATGTCAATCAATATTAAGAAGACCCAGACTTCATACAGCATTCCGCATGGAACCGGTTCTACTACCAATTGTTTGAAGGAACACAAGCTCCGGAGACTATTGATTTTCGTTAAACCTGGAGTCCATCTCTACACTCCCTTAATCACGTCCTGTTGTTGATTTTACCACGCTCGTTACTGTTTTTTTGCTAACATTCCCAAGATGCGAGCTTCATTCATTCCGGTTTTAGTGGCAGCTGGTGCAGCTCTGGTGGAGTCTAAATGCAACAAAGTGTGTGTTGTGGATGACTGTCTTGGAATCCTGAAATCCTCGGAGGTTGAGGCTCGCGCCAGCCCTTTCTGCTCGGCATGGCTGCAACCAAAGGTTACGAAATCCGTCACTGCTACCGAGACCTCGTCGGGGACAGTCACGAAGTCCCTAGAGGCGTCTACGGAGACATCCACCATCCGTCAAACCAGCGTGACTAGCATCATCAACACTTTCACGTCCTACTCGCCTGAGCCCACAGTGACGGTCACTAGCACGTCAACCTCGTACGAGGATGTTCAGACAATTGCTCCTGGGCAGGCTTTGAAAAGGAGATCTGGGCTGGGCGAATTCCCTGGTCTCGAGGCTTTTGGTGACGCCAAGATCAGCTCGGCGTGTTCATGCATCGTTTCGATTCCCTCGCCGACGACAACCGTTACTCAGACTGTTGCAACAACCACGGCCGTTGTCCTGGCCACTTATACCGCCTCTGCCTCGGAAGTCGTTGTCTCTGTGACGGAGACTGTTGTGGCTACCACCGAGATTGACACCACAGTTGTGTCGCCCGCGACAAGCACGGCGACGGCTACCGTTGTAGACATCGAGCCCATGGTCTCAAGCTCGGCCTGTTCTGCATGTAATCCCGGCCCTGGCCTTACTCGGTCTATCCTACGCATCGAGGGCGCGACCGATACCATCTATGAGGGCTGCATATACTCGGGTCCCTGCACGGTAACAACACCTAGCGGCGGTCAGCACCTCTGTGACAGCACGAACAACGGAGCCAACCCCAGCCCTAACGACACACCAACCTGCGACATCAAGACTGCGGGCGATACTTGCGGCTTTGGCTTTGATGGCACCTGGAGCTCATCCTTCCAGGATTACTTCATTACCAGCATCGGTACAACGACTCAGACGGGCTCTCAGTTCTGGGGTCTCTTGCAAAACTATCAGTTCACGCCAGTTGGTGGATGCCAGTTTGCCGTCTCGGTGGGGGATGAGATCCTGTGGGCGTATGATGCATTCAACAAGAACTATTTCCTCAAGACTACTGCTAGTGCGACGGAGACAACCGTGGGCAGTCCTGTAACGGTCACTGTGGTTGACGGAATGACAGGCTCAATAGTGCCTGGCGCCCAGATAGCCAATGTGGTCACTGACACGAACGGCCAGGCGACGCTGCTGTTTACCAGGAAGGGGACTTTCAGCTTGAAGGCTACGAGGGCGGACTCCATCAGAAGTAATGCTGTCATTATCACTGTAAAATAGACTTGGCCACGTCTGTGGTGCCATTAATGTTTAATTCACCAGCTTAGCTTCCCTCTGGGACCAAGGTTACTCTACCAGTATCTACTAATTATAACATAGTACATTGTACGCTGTCAACCCCGCCGTGAGTGAAATATCTCTAATAACTTTTTCATACGGCTATACTCGGACGAACACCCTGCAATACATAGCGGCATTGAGCAAAGCTAAAGCTGGTTCAAGGGCGATGGCTTCCGATGCCACTTCTTCTCGTTCTCCCCCATATCACGTTGCGTAGGCTATGCAGTGGTCAGTATTGTGAGACTGTATCTAGGAGTGGGTCTTACATTGGATTTTCGGCTCTGACCATGACTTGCCATGATACAACAAGGTCACAGCTGCCGCAAAGACTGCGGAGTTTTCTGTTAGAACGAAATGCTCCAACGTCAGGGTTGGAGCTAGGTAGTTGTTCCATATGTCCTCCAAGTCTAGCCTTGACACTTGACCTGGCCCTCCATTGAGTACCGCATCTTTGGCTAATGCATAGGCGAGAGGGTGTAGCATGATGCCCTCGTGAGTGTAGAAGCCGCCCGCACGTTTCCCGGGACACACTTGTTGCACCATAACATTAGACACTCCTGCCCCGTGCTCATCCTTCAGCGGTGACGATGCGCCGTCACCAACTTGCGGCTGCACAACTTGATCCGTTGAGGAGTAGATTATCGTTGTCGGCACGTATGCCGAGTCACCGCCGTTGCTGCGCATAGTTTTGACCAACTCGCTGTTATATGTGGATTGTAGCCAAGCCGGTGGCTGTGGCACCATGGCAAGGAGGTTTGTTATCTTTGTACCATGGTAGCCGGGAGAAAATGCTACGTGGTTCGCTACATGTTGGCGGACAGACGGCCAGTACTTGTATGCCCACTGTGCATCCAGATTTCCTTGCGAGTATCCAAACACCGATATGCGCCGACTGCAGATACTTGACAAATAATGGATCGCGTATGCCACGAACTCCGCGTTGGTCTGGATGTTGTCAAGCGAGTACCCAGGAATGTTGAGCCACACAGGGTCTGCGAAGGCCGTCTCGGGGTTTTGCAACAACGGGATGAAAGAACCGGCGTACGTTACGTAGCCGGAGTTCCCCGTTCCACCGACGAGCAGCACGGGCTGCGGTGCACCATCTGCGCCGTACCGGAACTCTTTCGGGATGTGGATCGCGCCACGGAGCTTGGCTTCCGAGAAACTGTATGGTGCATCGCCCGTGGCGACCTCCGGGTAGATTGGTTTTGGTGGTTCGCGCTCGTTAATGTTCGAATCGCTAGATTCGCCCGCTTTCATGCCCGCTAGAAACTCATGAATGTTGTCCAGGTGCAGCGACGAGAGCCCTGCTGACACGAGGCGCCCGGCCACGTCGAACAGGCTGTGCGCGGCGGTCTCGTAGATGCTGGACAGCAACCTGAACGCGTGTTCTACCGACGGCGGGGCAGCCTTTGCTAGAGTCGGCTTCATCTTGTCCATGGTGGATCGATGCATTGCACTCCCCTCTCTAACTGAACAGCGTTCGGAGGGAAGCAGATCCTACCCGTTTTGGTGCTGGGCATTCCACCGTTCTTAAATAGCGTACCAAGTCAGCCTGCCATAAGAATGACTTTGCCTACCACGGGCGTTTCTGTTTTTAGTGTCTCCCGAGGTCAGCGGCCACACTTACGACGAGGCTGCGAGGCCTGCGAGGGTGGCCAGACCCATGTTGTCAGCTCCCGATACATGCATTGTGGCTAGACTAGTGCCGCGTTCTAGCTCCGTCTCGACCGTGGCGCGGTCGTGCCCCGAACAAGGCGCAGTCGACGCCGATATTGGAAACCAGGCAGACAGAACACAATAGCTCATATGATCGTGTACACCGGGCTCGCGGTTAGGGTTACGAGCTTCCTTGCATACGCAGGAAACCCTAAAAATATTTCCGGTCGTGCTTTGTTGGTGAAAATATAATCAATGTAGTCAGCTAGCGTTCCCCCTGGGAATGTTTTACTATTCTAAACTTCTGACGATAATAGAAACCCGAACTGCATAAGAAACTAAACTAAGAGAACCTCGGCTACGTTGTTTTGCTTCTTGAACCGTGATCTACTGGCATCAGCTTGTCTTAGTTTGCCTATTGCTCAGCTCTAGCTACATGGCTTTCTTGCCCAGGTAAGGGACCCGCCGCGTTTAACTCGGTCCGGGGTCCAAACGGGTCAGGCGAGAGCTGCTGAGATGAGAGTGGGATATAGCCACCCATCACAGGCCTCGCTCCAGGCACCTGCGGGGCCATGGTTCCAGATACGGCATATGGACTTTGCGGATACAATGTGCCAGGCAACCTGCTCTCGTTGGCTCCAGCAGGCCGTTGAACATTTGAATCCATTGAGAATGCTTGGCCGGCGAAGGCAGCAGAATCAGAGTGGCCTGCTGCATGCAAAAAAGTAGAGCCACTGTGCGTGGCCTGCTGTGGGTTCGTATTGTACAGTTGAGCTGGCGCTCCCGTCTGTGATGCCTGCATCACACGATGCTGGCCCACAAACTCAGTAGAAGTCGGCATTCGTTGTTGCTGTTGCCAAGTAGGTTGCAGTGTCGTTTGTCTCCTTGAATATGGATGATACTCTCCGGTTTCTCCGCCGTATGAAGTTGACCTTGGAGCAAGAGGTGGTTGAAGGACCTCGGGTGGTTCAAACTTATCATAGCGCTCAGCCCTCTGATGGGATATGAAGGTATCCGTTCCCCCCTTAGTTTTTGCCATGTAGCCTTCAAAAAGGCTCATAGTATTCTCAACCGTGGCAAAATGTGTATCGTCAAGAATTGGGGGGAGTTCCTCTGTCCCAGGCGTCTTGTCAACTTTCCTTTCATACCAGGCAAGGGAGGCCGCGATCTGTACAGCATTGCGGATCTGACGACCATTCCATCGCCCTTGTCCATCATTTATCGCATGTCTGTCCCAGTGATCCACGGCAAACTTGCAGATTTTGTCCTGGTATATTATGGGTGCCTTTTGCCCAGAGACCTTGCTCCTTTGTTCTTCGATGGATTTCAGCCGAACCAGATTCATGCGGATTATATCTTCCGTCTGATTTCGGTCAAGAGCAGGGTAGTATAACGAAAGATGAACTCGTGACTTGAAGGCCTCGTCAAGTGTGCCTACTCGGTTTGTGGTTAGAAACAGAATGCCGTTATAGTATTCCAGCACACTTTTTAGTGTTCATCAGCTGTCTGTTGTAACGGTCGATCTAGTCAATGCCAAGCTTACCGCAAGAAGACGGACACTAAGGCGTTTCTTGAGAGTGCGTTTGCCTCTCGCTGGGCAAGAAAAACATCGGCCTCGTCGAGAAGTAAAATGCTACCGACAAAGAGGTTAGCTGTTGGCAGATACCCTATATTGGAGCTTTACAATGGAGAAAGACCGTGATACTCAACCACCAAAAAGCCTTTGAGCAAACTGCAATCTCTCGATGTCTGATTTTGGGAGTGGGTATCCTACCAATTCCATAAATGGGCTAGGCGAAAGATTTCGCTCAGTGATGACTCCACGTCTTTAGGAGAGAAACCCAAATCACCACATGTGATCACAAATAGTGGTTTATTATGCGAAGAGGCCACAGCTTCAGCAGTTGCCGTCTTTCCCACCCCCGGAGCTCCATGTAGTAGGATTACTAATCCTCTACCCTTCCCTCGAATCAAGTCCTGGTCCATGATGTCCAAGAATCCGGGAATAGACTCCATTTCTTTTCGTTGGAAATGCGAAGATACAACGGACTTCACAATTCGAATGTGTCCAGGGTTGATCTTCAAACTTTCGAACGAGTCTGAATCTGTTTTGATTTTCCTTAGGTATTGTACGTCAACCTGGAAAAACTTTCGCTCTCGGAGAGCATAACCAAACAGGCGTCTAGGCAATAGTAGAAGGTTTTCATCGTCGAACTTTGGTTCCTTTTGAGGCTTGGCGAAGAGATCAGAGTCCAAAAGTTGTTTTTCTTCAATCTCTGCGATACTATCTTCAGCCTGTGTACGATCTTGAATCACCAGGATCTTTCCACTCCGTTGCTTATCAGTCCACCAGATTATTTCTATGGTGTCTTGGCAAGCACGTGGCGGGGCTCGTGATGCATAGCGATACGGCAGATTAATTTGCCAATCCGGAAATGCTCGAAACGACTCCTTGACATCAATAATGACATCGCTTTGAATATAAGTGGCTGGATAAATGGTATGAGAGTCTGGTAAATTGGAGAACTTGGGCGGTTGAGGCCCAGGTATCTTCGCGTTCGGCGAGATAGGAGGAGATCGTGGCCTGACCTCAAATAGTGGTGGTCGTCGTGGTGGTGGCACAGAGATGAATTGCTCCTGTATCCAGCTGCGACTCCACCCACGATAAAACATGTGCCTAAATTGAACAGCATCCAGAAAGCTTCGGCCATTCTCTTGAATTGAAGCCAGAAGTCTTGCCGGATCCGGATGGAACCGAAGGGGGTAGGTCTGCAGAGACGTCACATCACACATCCCATCAAAGTATGGGATTGTGACAAGTTTTTCCGTTGCTCCGAATGCCTCTCCGTTGAAATCCACCACATAGTATAGCAAACTGAAAAACGGCCAACTGTTCTCCTTGTGTTTACGAGGCTGGCACGCGAGGTACCTGGACGGTCCCCCTGCCCGGCCTACAGTCACGTCTGGTTTGGACCAGCGGCACAATCGACCAATCTCTTCTTGGCCACCGTCCATTTCTCCATACCGCCGTGAGGGTGCAGGGTTATGCAAAAGCTCGCCCGGCCTGAAGAGATACCACAAGTCTTGGTATCGCACAGTGCGTGCCTGCAATTGGCTTGGAACGTCATACCTGGTTTTCTGTGGAAGAATACGCTGTTCCACAAAATTCACATAGCAGCGCAGTTCCAGAAGGCTATGGTAATTTTCGAGCAATGTCTTTTCCAGGATGTCTCGTTCAACCCGCTTCGGCAATGATTTTTGCCTCTTGTGAGAGCGTTCCTGGGCGGTCTTGGATGTGTTTTCTCTGCTTTCCTTGAAAGTTGATACCTCCTCGACTCCTCCTTGTTTTTGTAGATCAGGAAAATCTCCGACTAGTCGGCAATAAGTGTCTTTCACTGTCTCGCCATCTGCGTCAGGCGATACTTGGGAAAAGCGGTTCTCAAACTCTCCTAGCTTCTGGGCCATTCTCTCGTGTGCATGGATAAACCACGCGAACGGGCGAAAGAAAGTGGTTCGGTTCTGACCCCTCCACTGGCCCGATTGATCATCTAGAACGTGGTGCAACAACCATAAGACAACTGGTGACTGTATCCTGACCCGTTGAATAATCCGCTCGTCAGATTCATCATAGTTCGCACGCGGCTTAGCATCGTCTCGGTGAAGGTCCCCTCGGCGTCTGAGCTCCTGGCGAACTTGATCTTCAAAATCTGATCCTGCAACCAAAACTTCAATGCAAAACTTGCCATCTCTCTCCACGTAACGGTTCTTGAACTGCTCAAAATTGACATCTCGTACTTCTGGAATCGTGTTCTCTTCGTAACCTAGTTCATAGTCATCTTCTACATCAGAGTAGTCTGACCCCGCATCAGAATCGCTGTCCGATCTGTTACCCTCCTCAACATTTTGAACTCGTCGCTCGAGACCACTGAGGCGTTCATGCGTAGCATTGTGCAACTCATGTAACTTATCATGAGCTTCTCGTAGCTTCAGGTGTTCCCCCAAAGTCAAAGGGGAAGTTTCTTGAATTTGGAGATGCTGCGTGGACTGGGCGGGATATTTTCCCAAGTTGAGTTGGTCCTGAATTAATCTTGAAGAACAAGCACTTACGTCTTTGTTGACTTCCGATTCCATTTTGAACAAGTACGAAGCCGCCTGGACAGATTCTGATCATGCGGGTCTAACACAGCTTCAATTGGGAGTAGTGAATGTCGGTTACGCCCATGTTTAAGAAAGGAGTTTTGGTAGATTCTCGGGTCTTTCAGGAATGAAGCGTGGGGCGGCCCCCATAAAAGCAGCCTGCAATGCCAGCGAGGATTGGTGCCGCTTGTGAGGTAAATCAATGCTGCGCGCAGCGAGGATAGCCAACGAAACCAATTAGGAACCGCCAAGCCTGCAACACAAATACACTTTGCCCCCAAATGCCTGCAACCTGCAGCTAAGCGTTTGTCCTGCGATTTCTAGTCGTAGTGATACGTTACACGAGAAGCAGGCTGCAATGGGTTTTGCGGGCAACTTTGCATCGAGTATTTGCGCCCTTTGTGACCCCCGGAACTCGTCAACTGGGAATGACCAGATACCACCAACAGGCTTCTATCATCTCTTATTTCTCCTATACAATCTATAAAATAAGTCATTTGTGCGTCATGGCGTGGTTTCAAGATGTGGTTACCCAGAATCGATCTGATGACACAAATGCCATTCGCGCCGCAGATTTGGAATCTTGGTTTGAATCTGAAGGATTCATCGTTCACCAATCGTATGGAGAAGAGACATACTACTCTGAAGATCAATCAAGATTTCTTCCAGGCCAGGAACCTCCTGTCGAGTAAGACCTATGCTAACATTCAACAACCCAAGGAAAGGTGCTGATGGTGGCCCAGTCGACTCAAGAAGATCTTGGTGCTGTATGGGAGACCATCTGGTCACCCTGGTCTGCCTGATTCTAATGAATTTGACTTTTTGAACTGCTCCTGGGATGATGTCCTCAACCAGCTCGAGAGCGCGAAGTCAGAAGACCCGACGTTTTCGAGAAAAGTCAGATAGGGTTCTCGCAGATGCGGCACCGTACATGCAGCCATGGATTGAGCTAATACCAGAAGAATACGGTCTTAGTATCATCAAGGGGGGGTTGGCATTGATATTCTCAGTAAATGGCTCATAGGTCGAAGTTGACATAATCACTAACCAGTCCTAACAGTCCGCCAAGCATAAAGTTGAAAACCGGGAGAGGATTCTTCGAACATTTGAAGATATACCAGATATTATTCGTACTATGGAAGCAGCATGCAAGTTATTCGGGCCCCAAGATGGGGAGGACGTGGCAGGGTTAGCTAAGTCTTATTATGACGAACTATGCCAAGACATACCAGATCTCATCCAGATACTACACGAGAAGCGGCCAAGTAAGTGTTCCCGTGTCAGAAGACACCTATTAATATATTTGCATAACAAGTACCTAGCGCGTCTAACACGGCCAATGTAGGACTTGCAAGAGCATTAAATCGCCTAGCAGCCGGAATGCCGGAGATGAAAAAGGTTGATGACATCCTGAACAGACTGCAACAAAGATCAACAGCCCTGTCCTCGTCCATCAGCCGGATCAAGATGATACTAGCAGCCAAGAGCAGGGAAGACCTTAGCAATACGACACAAAGTCGATCAGGCATATGCCGGAATGGGCATGATGTACGGGCATCTCAGACAGATGCCAACAAGAAAGGAAATGGAAAGATACAGTCATTCTTTCCAAGGAATAATTGTCGCCGCAGTCCGGAAAGAAGTCGAATCTGGCGTTCAAAAAATTCTGAATGATCAGGCTCCTGGAGAGCTTGCAGCTGACATCAAGACGCTCGTTCTTATGATGTCCCAAGAGATCAGTACACTCAAAGGGCTGAATAGCCGGCTTCAGTCGCAAAGTTTACAGATAGAGCCGCAGAGATCCCGTAAATCATCCCCTAGACCACTTCCTTGGGTTTCATCCTTTGAGCTACTGCGAATTTTGGATGTCGATCCCACATCTTTCACGGAAGACCTCGGCTTCATCGTTAGACAGGAAAGCAGGATGAGTGGCCACGACAAAGCAAGAGCCCGTTCGCTACTGAAGACCACGTCATTTCAGAGCTGGTTCAAAACACTTCAATCGTCGTTACTTTTGGTGGACGGTACACTGCGGGTAGACAAGATCTCAGCGATATCAGTACTTGCCGGCACACTTAGTCTGAGTCTATTGGATCAGCCGAACACACAGGTGCTACATTTCTTCTGTGGAAGCCACTTGGATTCACAAGCGGAAGACGGGCTGACCGGACCTCACGGCATGCTACGGAGTCTGGTGGTTCAGCTCTTACTGAGCTTCAAAGCACCGCTTCCTGACCTGAGCGAGATTGACTCGCAAGAGTTCCTGCACGACGTCTACGATTGCACGCTACCAGCCCTGTGTGAACTTTTCCGACTTCTAGTCGGGCAGGTACCATCAGGTATTATTGTCTTCTGTTTGATTGATGGCATCTCTTGGTATGAGCAGCCGCGGTGGGTTCATGACTTGACATTCATTGTTGGCATGTTCGAGCACTTAGTCAGGTCAACACGGAGGTCAGTAGTGAAGGTTCTATTACTGAGCTCGAATCGGAGCATACAAGTGTGCAAGGTAGTGGATCCGAACTCGGAGTATATTTCTCTTGCGCCGGGGAACGTTGATTATACGCCGTTGTCTGCGCGACTCGCTGTATGATGATTCAATATTCCCGAAGCGTCAGCTTGAGACAAACATCATTGAGCCGGGATGCGGGAGAAGATTATCTAGAGGAAGAATCAACTGAAGTCTAGTTTCATAATTCTGGTCTTGCGTGGAACATTTCAATAATGGCTATCTGAACTATCAAGATAATGTCTTAGGTCCTACTCCGCACATTCAGGACACAATCCGATGGTCGTCTGCAATACTATGTCGCAGCTGTAGCATGTTCATATGTATATCATTGCTTAGTCTTGTCGCCAAGATCATCTCTGAGTCGGTTTCTCCTTCATAAGCAGCTGTGTTCCTATGTTGGGCATCACTGAAAAATTGTAAGCGATATCCCGGGGGCGACTTTGACTAGCGCCAGAAAGTTTAAAGTCATATCGCTTCAAAAGCTGGATAAGCATCAGCTTAAGCACATCTTGTGCGAGGAACCGCCCAGGGCAAGCATGGAACCCTGCCCCAAATATGATGGAGTCATCCGATACTGAGGCAAAGTGGAATTTGTTAGGGTCGATGTTCTCGCGTTTGCGTAGAAACCGTTTGGCGTCAAATGTCTGAGCGTCAGGGTAAACGTCTTCGTCAAGATTCAGTTGCTGGCTGGCGAAGGAGATGTTGGTTCCTGCAGGTAGTTGGAAACCATCTTTGAATGTCCAAGGTACCAAAGCAGCTCGCTGCACAGTCACTGCATCTTGTCTTAGCAATTATTAATAGGAACATCTAATACAACTCACATTGTTGAAGGGTGTGAAGTCGCAGGCTTTCCTTCATGAAACTGTCAAGCAAGAGCAGAGAATTGAGGCTGGCTCGAGTCCAAGTCTGGTACTCTCCAAATACTCTGCTTATTTCCTCTTTGATCTCTTGCAATGAGTCGGGGTGGTCAATCAAGTCGTAAATGATGGAGAGCGCAACCGCTGCACTGCTCGTGATGGATGCAACATTGAGTATGAACTCATCCTGAGCGAGCTGATCGGCGGATAACGCTTTCTTCCTCGACTCGTATGTATCTAACAGCCATTGAAGCGCGTCATCGCTGTTAGATCTGTCCCGACCACTCCGCCTGGCCTCCAGGTAAGGACCCAGCATCTGGGCCGCACGACGCCGTATTCTCAAAACTTCTCGTGCATTGCTGTCGAGATATTGGGCAAGAAAACGCAGTGACGGCGGGTACTTTGCTCTGACACCCCGAATAGCCTTTATACTGGCCTCGGTATATGACAGGGCCAGATTCAGCCATTCATCGTCGCGGCAGAGCTCTGGACCAACCATAACCCGTGCAGCGATTCGAGCAAATAACTGATTTAGTATAGGGAATAACGTTATCGGTGTCCAGTCTGCGAGCATTAATTGACCGTAGGTCATGCTATGCACCGGTGCCGCTTACCTGCACATGCTGGCACGACCTTGTTCCAAGCATATAAGCACTCATCTTGCAGTGGCTCTACCAAGTCCTCTATAATAGGTTTCACATGTCAGCGTCATTGGGAGCTGTGGTCTGCGTGAAACATACTAAGGGCTCGATTCACTCTAAGCCTCACCATGCGGGTCACCTCGAAGTTCATAGTAGGGCCACCGACGACAGTGAGAAGGTTGCTCTACCTCAGGCCCGTCAACTTCAGAACTATATGTCTGCAGAGCCACGTTGAACATAGCACTCACCTTGTCCAGGAAGGTGGGAAAGCTCAGCTTGCTCTGGGGTGCACTCTTGACCTCTGAGAGATACTTCAGGGGTAGAATAACAAGTGGATGCTTCTCGTCCGAAGGGTTGCGTATCGTAAACGGGCGCCCTTTCTTCAGATGCTGGCGGAAGTGTTAGAGCCATTATGATATGCTCGGGTGCATAGCAGCAGCGGAAACTTTCTTCACCTGTGCTTGGCCTTGATCCATCAAGGTCTTCGTCTCTGAAATGTATCTTGCCATCGAGTTGTCGCCTTCAAATTGTACATGTGCTATGTGAAGCTTGGGTGGCGATTTCAACAAGGTCCACCCCAGCCAGACTGTCGCAACAGCACCGGCAATAACGAGATAAAGTGTCGTCGACATAATTGGTGATGTGTGATGTAGTGGAATGTATTGCAACTGCGGGAGTCTCGTCCAACTATCGTGACAACGGGGGACTCAGGGGCGCGGCACAGCTCGAGGAAGTTGGAGAACACCCAGCTTTCGATGCAAGGGAGAAGGGAAAGGACCAGTCACTCCCACCGCTGCCCCGCGCCTACACAGCTGATCTGCAGCATGTGTACCTATGTATGTACTCAATGTATAGGATGTTCATTTGTGTAGCGCATCGGCAGCTTCGGGACAGGGAATGGAGGTCAATGCGGCCCGGGCTTCGGCCTCGGGTCCCATGCAGTGAGTGCACGCTGAATTCAACCAATCATTAATACCATTCACCCAGCGCTGCAACAAAACCCCATGTCCTAGCCTTTGGGTAAACAACATCATTTCTACATGGTCAGTGCTACTGTTTCCTAGGAAGGCACTCGTTCATGGCGATTGCAAGCAACCAGATCAAAGGTTCTCCGCCAGAGCCCTGCCAGGGGACGCTCACGGCATGAGAGCAAGGCAAAGTCCGCAGCAAAGCTATTTAGGCAGCGACAAGACTTTCCATCGTTGCCTATCCTTCTGGATGATCGTACATGCCCTGTATAATTTACAGGTCGTGTGGCAAGTGATGCTCCATTTTCCAGGTCGCCAATATCGAGTAGTTCTTACGCGCTTCCTCAAGATTCGAACTTCAACCTCGGCGGTCTGCTTGACGTGCATGTTACCGGTTTGCTTGCAAGCACGCCTTGCAGCTTTGCCTCAAGATCCTGGCATCTGGCTTTTACTAACTCCCATCATGTTTCCCACGGGCGTAGGTGCAATGGTACCGTTGATAGCAAAGCTAGGTCGATAGCGACCAATCCACTCACTCAATGGAGATGTCTGCGTACTCGGGTGTGGTCTCGATTCAGTTTTTGGCGATAGGTGTCCGATGGCTGCGTGGGTGGTCCTGCAGTTGATCTGTAAACCTCAAATCTTTGGGAACCCGCGGTGCACAGCTCCGGTATGTACGCCTAGGCGGTAACCCCCGCCAGACTCGGGGCTTTACCTACTCACGGCAGCGTGGCTCAGGTCTGGATGTGTACGTCTGGAGCCGCTGATGCCCTACTTACAGGGCATCTTAGCAGAAGTCAGACAAGTTAAGCGTGGCTGCTGATTCACGGGGCGATTCGCACAAGGTGGGCTGCAGTCAGACATGGCTGCAGGCGGTCCATGAATCTAAACATTAAGCTTAAGGCAGGCCTTATTTCTGGTGGATTCGCGGCGATTGGCCTCGGTGGCTTAGTAAGTTGACTGACAGGTTTCGTGCCGGTAGCCGGGAATGCCACAGCGATCCAGGGCTTGGCGCTGTTGGCGAGATTAACGCTCCAGGCCTGGGCCTAGCCCCCGACGAGATTGGCCATCTCACGGCAGTGAATGCATGCGCTGACTGGCGAAAACGGTCCCGCCCTGTAGCACGATCGAGGCACTGCCAGTCTTGGCGCGACCCAACACCATGTCATGACTTTGACAAGCGTCAAATAATCCCCCAAGTCCGTCTTCGTTCCTCAACTCTCTCTCTCCTTCCCTCGTGTCCTCGTGGGAGGATATGTGCGGCTAAATCATGTCCATTCTTACCGAAAAGAGCCCCCAGTCATGGAGCTCGCGCCTCTCGTTTCTCCGGACTAAGAGGGCGATCGCTGCCCTCTGCGCTCTCGTCACGGTCATTATCATCCTTATCGGTGAGGATCCAATTGCGGGAACAAATCCAGGTCGCGTCTAACATATCTCAATCCAGCGCTTGGTGCGACTCATACCATAGGTGGAGGTTCATCGGGGTCGAAGGATGCGAATCTCGACAGCAGTGCCAGCAATGGAACAGGCTCATCAAATCAAAGTGCGTCTCAACCCGCAGCATCAACACCAACACCAACACCAACACCAACACCGGCATCAGCCACTGCCCTCCCTGCCCATTCGCCAACCACAACATCTGGTGATTTTCCTGCTTTGTTCGAGTCCACTGTGTCATCTGCAATCATCCCCACTGACTCTTTTACGTTTAGCGACGTCCACGCCTTCTGGCCAGTATGCAGGGAGCCTTGCAGATGGTACACCTCTCAGGGTAATGTGTCTCGGGGCATCGATCGTCAAGGGCGAGACCTCACCGGGAACTGTTGGCTTCCGAAAGGTGCTGCGCGACGACCTCGTCAGTTTCGGCGTCCCTGTCAACATGGTTGGCTCAGTTCGGCTGGGCGACATGGTTGACAACGATGTGGAGGCCTATGGAGGCAATCGGGTCACACAGATTCATGATCACGCCAAGAATATCGTGCCAAAAACTCTGCCCAACGTCTTCGTTATCAATGTTGGAACGAACAACATCCTCCAGAACCTCGACATCGACAAGGCCGGCGCCCAGATGGAGGACTTCATCAACTACCTGTTGAAGACTTCCCCGCGATCTGTTGTGGTCCTCACCACGTTGCTGACCAATACTGTGCCGAACCTCGAACCACATGTGCTTGACATTAATAAGCAGTTCCGCGCCTTATTACCAGACTTTGAGAAGGAGGGAAAGCCCGTGGTGCTGGCAGAACTACACCCGAGCGAAGGCGGTGGCGACGAAATTCCTCAGATCGCAGATATCGGCCCTGATGGGTCTCACCCACTAGTCAGTGGTTATGAGAAGATGGGACACATCTTCGCCCAAGCCGTGAAGATGGCCGACAGCAAGGGCCTGATTCAGATCGCTGCTGAGAACGGGATTCCGGACGACGGAGAGGCCGAGAGATCAGGCACTTCGTCTCGGCTTACGCGGCGGCGATGAGCTATCCATAGGCCGCAGGGGCGGCATTTCGCCTCTATCCGGGAGGAGATGGTTAGGGACGGTGTCATCACCGACGCCACACTTCAGCTCTCGAAGCTGTTTCACGCCAAGGGCCATTCAGATATCAGGCGCAGCATCGAGGCATAGACTTCATGGAAGGCGTTTGGAGGTGCTTGAGTGACTTGGGACCTAGCCTGATGGCAGGCTCTTGCGGTCAGATGATTCTACTACATCTGCCAGAGCCGAATGGTCCCAGATATATGTAATGTAATGGCAATTAGAAACTACTCGGCATATCGCTTTGACTTGCGTGAATTGAACAACTCTGTACATAGTCGGCGCGGCTCACCTGCGACTGAACCCACATCTTGGTGTGCAAGCAGCGTTCTTCCCAAAATTGTCGGCATCAGATCCTTGGCCGCCATAATTAGACCCACCAAACAACTTCTTGGTATTTCTCTCAGCATACAATATGCCAGACTCTAGAGCCGTCCTCCAGTCTGACTGCTCGCTGCACAGGCACCTGATCGCATACCTAGTGGCCCTACATGCCACTTGTATCAGGTTCGACCGCGCTCTCACAACCTTCCAATTGATCCCGTCAACCGAGTTTCTGCAAGCCTGGTGGAGGGCGCAGGTAGAGTTACCCACCGTACACGCTCTATCTACATGCTCTTCAAGGAAGTCGATTCCAATGGCCAGCCTCGCTGTCCTGATCTTATCGTGGTCGTAATGCTCTCTATATCCTACAAAACAAGCCAGTATCGTGGTGTCGTTGAGAATCTCTTCGTCAATGGCTCCTGCAGGAGAAAGGGCATCGCGAGGATGTTAACCACAGCGCTTCAACATCATTCTGTTATGGTTGGGCCTGATAATGGGGGCGAGGTTATTGGCTTCATATACTGGCATCTTCCCAATGATTCGCCCAAAGTCAGGAAATGTGCTGTGTTTAATATCCGAGTGGATGACTCAGGTCTGAGACGATATGAAAACCGGCAGCAGAGTCAGGCCTTCAAGGGTTTCTACAAGTCCACAGCGGCTAAGTATGCCCCTTTTCTGGCAATACATATAGTACTTGAAACGGAACACTGATACACGTTTAGATATCTTGAGCACACGTGGATGTGCTTTAGACCCGGACTATCAGCACCGTGGCCTAGACAGACAGCTTTTTACTTGGAGCTGGAAGTGCAGCAAGCTGAATGATGCTACTCAAGGTGTGATCATATCTACGGTTGGGGACCTTTTTTATGAGAAGCAGGGTTTCAGAAGAATTAATGATATGTACCAAGTCTTGGCCATGTGCAAGCAAGGTTTTAGTCAGGAAGTTCTGGTGAGACAGGCGTCTGTCTTCACGAGAGATACTCTTCGCTCTATCCTTCCAGTCTTGGAGAAGTGCAGAGCTGAAGCAGATATTCAGCATTAGATCGAAGCGATCGGGTTTGATGTACAAGAAATTTTCTGTCAGGTCGGAACCTTCACGGAGTGTCCTGGTAAGGTACCATCAACTTCTATGGCTCTTATGCTCATTCTGTTCATAGGCCCAATGTACACTCTTATAATGCCTTCGACGGTGTTCGACGGGAGGGGTGACTGTTGAAAGGGAAGGATGGATCATCGTGAGTTAAGGGTGTGATGGCGGTGCGGGAGGTGGGATACAATTACTGGACGCCTCCAGACACGATGGCGAACTCCCGTTCAGTGTCCCGCTGTTATTATGCGATTACAATGCACCCTAGTTCTTCTTCTCCCACTGCTGCTCTACTACAAGAAACGAGGTTACCTTGAAACAGGCGGTAAAAAGGCATGGAAGAGCAAAGAAGAATGGAAAAAAAGAGGTGTAAAATGCTACAACGACAAGGCACTAGCTCTCTTTTCTATACAAGGTGGACGATGGAATGCAGTCTCGAAGTGCCCTAAAGGAGGCCACCTGGTAGTACCACAGTTGCCTCAGCTACTGATAGGAGTTTTGCGAGCTGTAACTAAGCATCTACTGGAAGGAATGCTCTACTGCAAGAGGGTGTGCGTTCCCATGTGTACGCATATCGTAGTCGCCCCCTTTCTAAGTCGCATTGAGGACTTTGAAAGGATGCTTGTGTCAACTATGGCAATAAACAGTATACATTACAAGAGCTTAGTTCCTTGTAGCGTCACATCCAGCGGCAAGGCAACATTGGGTGACTTGGGTTTTATCCTATCTTGTTTCCCACTTATTTGAAGACGTTAGGCAAGGGAAGACGTGTCGGCGATAATAGCGTATACTGGTACTTGAGGGCCAGTTGAAAGGTGGGTAGAAGAGATGGTCCACAGCGACGATGAGTGCAGCCGTTGGAGTAAAAGGAACCTTCAATTATCCTTGTCCTCAGAGGAGGTGCAACCCTCGCTTTTATGGCCGTGTCTGTCAATTGAAGCTAATTCTCAAGCCAACCCTTCTTTGGGCACTAGGAGGCCCTTACAAAAGCCAAATGGTGGGTACTGTTATCTATCTCGCTTACGGCAGTACGGAAACAGAACGGACTATTTTCGGGGCAATTCTGCCCAGCAACAACTTGAAGTACATATCCTGATGCGTCTAGAGGCCACGCCGCCACTACATGGGTGCTGAGTAGCCTGTTCTGCCCACACCTTCAAGCCAAGCAGCTACTCCGGCTAGCTCTGCGGCTGGAGCACGACGGTTTACAACCCATGGCTTGGCTTGTAAGGAACAGAAATCCCCGCGTCTCCTCACCAGTCCTGATGCTGTACCCCACAAGTTAGTGTCAAGAGGAGTATGGGGAGAGAGATTCACCCCCAGATTCATCTACCCACATCAACCCTTGCCTCTGCATGAAAAGAAGCTTACCCCAACTCTGTTCCTGAGTCAATTATCCACCGTCTCTCGATGAAAGTCATAGAGTCCTAGAAATTTGCAGAATCTGCATAAACACCGAATCATGTGGCCCGAGATGCCCAGGCAACAGGAACCACCACGCCGCGAGATAGCATGCTACACATGTCGCAGGTTAGTCTAGCCATCTGCATCTGCAACGATTCAACGATAAATTAAAGGTGCTAAATATATTACTGTGAACCCAGACGCAAGGTCAAGTGGTATGTTGCTTATGCGCCTTGTCCTCACCGTTGGCATTCTAATACTTTTAGACAGTGGTCGCGAGCTTCCGCATTGTCTTGTATGTGAACAAACAGACCAAACTTGTGAGTACCCTCCGAGGGCTCAAAAGCCAGGGCCAAAGTTGGGTATGTTTTCTTGCCATCTATAGATAGGCTCACCTGTAATCATGCGCACCTTCTTCGTCTGACACTGCATTAGGAACATCGCAACGATCAAAGCGACGTGTCATAGAAGGGAAAAGAAGCAGGCAGCAGAGAACGACAAGCTCGCTCTCCCCGGGCACAGGACCTCTCCTTGACGCTGCGTCGCCGGAAATATTGAGATCAACGGAGCAATCAGTCGATGGTATGGAGGACGAGCCGCCCCACGGACGAGACCCGTCCCTGAATATCCTAGAGCTATCTTTCATCCTGCATCCTTGCCACGAGGCTTCGACGCCAGAAAAGTCAACCAACTCAACAACGCCAGGGCGGACCGGTGCTACCTCTGAGGTGACACAGTCTCTATTTCAGCAAGCATGTCAAGCCATTGGCCTATCTACGGAAATTATTCTCGAACTGTACACCCCTCACGCCACCCCGCGAACCTTTGACCTTACTGACTGTACTTTGCCCTGCGCTCGATAAACAGAGTCGAGATATACTTCCGAGACATGGTGGCTATAAATATATTCCATCAGCCATCATTTGAGGAGAAGTTGGCGGCCATTACCTCGCCAGTTCAAGTTTCTGCTCTATTGGCAACAATGGTCAGCTATGCTATACGGTTTAGACCACGAGACACACTTTCGGATACACAGGATGGTCGAGCATCTGCTCCTGAGGAGTCAGAACTCCCTCTTCAACCCGACATCTTCTTGCAGATGGCCTTGAAACTGATCAACGAGGCCTTAGAAGAGTGCGGCGACGAGCAACCGCCAATATGTGTTCTTCAAGCCCTGATCATAGCAACACATTGTGAGTTAACGCGCGGCGTACACGGCAAGGCATGGAGATCTCTCGGAATGTGCGTGCGCATCGCTTACGAGCTCAATCTGCAACTCACGGATGCCCACGACCTGTCTCCCGAGATCGAGCCAGATAGACTCCAGTGGAGGTGCAAAGAGGAGCAGCGCCGGGCGTGGTGGGCGATATGGGAAATGGATGTCTTCGCCAGCACCATCAGACGAACCCCACCCGCCATCGACTGGGCTCATATGGAATGCCTCCTTCCTGTCGACAATTCATTTTGGTTCCAGGATCAACCTGCACCAAGCGTGTTCATGAACCAAGACCCGATCGAACGCTGGAAATCACTGCAGAATGTTGGCAATCAATCCGCCAAAGCGTGGTTCCTTGTCATCAACTCGCTCATGAAAGAGGCCCAAATCATCTCCACCCCTTACGGCCTCCGCCCCCACAAAGCCCCCCAAAACCGGGGCGAGTGGCCTGGAAGAGTCAGTGGTGACAAGCAGAAGCCTTTGCAACAAGGGCGGTACGGAGAACAGACCGCCCATCAGCTCGAAATTCTCGCCAACGCGGTTCACTGCTTCGTATTGGCTCTTCCCTCCCGATTGAAATATCGGTCTCAGTACCTCAGCTTCGAAAACAAGCCGTCAGAAGTGCCATTGTGTTCATTGCGTCAACATCACTGCGAGGTATACAACATCTTCGTCATGACACAGCTCGCTCGTCTGATGATACACCGATACGATTTCTTTCGATCGAATGGAGGGGATCAAGATAAACGGGCTCGAAACAATCCAGAACACAGCCATGACGATTCAGCTGTACGACGAGGTATTGCCGATCCGGAAGGCCCCCGCGTCCGCCAATATTTTGAGGCAGCGGACAACATCTTGGCTATTGTCAACAGGAGTTGTGAAGAACACATTCAGCACATCAACCCCTTCCTCCTCAGTACTATCTGGCTGGCTTCTGCAGTTCAGCTTGTCCGGAAACACATCGTAAGCAGCTCAACGGAGGGGTCCTTGATCAAGTCCAGGTTTCATATCCTGTATCTCACGTATAACCGTTGCGTTGAATTCTGGGATGCCAAGACAGCCCTTCAGCGGAACTTGGAAACGCTGGAAGACCAACTCAACAGTCAAGCTGAGTATGAGCACCACAATGCGTCATCACTATCATTAAGCAGGTGCTCTGCTGGCGCTCGGGAGCATAGTTCGCCAGAGCAATACAAACAAGTGAGCTCACGCGGTCCCAACACAGAGCGCCCAGCAGCGAATCCTGTTGTCACTGCCCGAGGTAGGAATTTTATAAACACGTTCCAAAAGCATGCACTAACAGAACTTCCTGGAATTAGATAGAGTTGACGTTCCTTCGTCACCGCCCAGGCGCAATTTGACCGGGCAACTGACCCTGCAGTCCTATGGCACGATGCCCGAAAGTCATATGGGACTGTACATCGATGAACCCTCTATTCCAGGCCCAGAGATCCGTCAGCGTTGGCAAAGCTATGCAGGTCATAGGCCTTTACAGCTGCATCGATCATATGATGAGAAATATCACCTTCAATCCGGAATACGGCAGGTTCAACGTCCTCGAGGCGGCGCAAGCTTTGACTTGCCTCTCTCCCCACCATCTATGACAAATGAAAGTGAAGATATACCAGAAATAGGCCCATCTATTTTGGAAATGATGCATATGCCTGGAAAGAAGTCCGGCGTTTCGTTCTTTGATCCAGATACGGCCGTATCAGATCCCACATTGTCTAATATGGACATGGAGTGGCGCAATGTGGACCTGCCTATTGATGTTCAGGAACTCTTATCGGGATTCCCGAACTGTTGAGTCGTTATGTATGCTCTGGTGTCTTTGGCATCTGCAATATGAGAAATTCAAACGCAGCTTGTCAATTTATATAGCATCTGGCACCACTTTTATCAGTCTGAACTCAGTGTTGCAGTCTGGACGAAGGTTCCCTGAGGCTCACTTGTTCTCACGTTGACAAATCTTCGGTAACTTCACGACTACCTGATCAGATCTGAAGTTGCAGTGTAAAAGTTCTTTAACTAAAGAACTACTAGAAAAGACTCGCTTGACATCAAGCCAGAAGTTTTCCGGAGCGTCGTGACTCCGTGATTCTTGTTGCATCTCCGCAAGCTGCTTGGCCACGGGGTAATTTCGGTCGGCTTAATCTTGCATACAGACGAGACTTCACCTTTTCAGCACTAAAGCTCATAATGACCGGGGCTAATTCATGGAATTTGACCGCAAAAAAGGTGTGCTTGAGAGCTAAAGTAACAGATATAAGGTACTAAAAGCTAGTGTCCGCCAGCTCGTGAACCATCTCTTCGGCATTTTTAATCGTTTACTTGAATTAAGCTATCACCTGAGCTCATTCTAAATATAAAATATCATTTGTAGGAAAGATGACATCTCTTAGTGGTCGTGTATATGTCGTGACGGGTGCCGCATCTGGAATCGGGCAAGCCACCGCGGTCCGGCTCGCAGAGCTTGGAGCAACCGGGCTTGCTTTATGCGACGTCAACGCGGCTGGACTGGAAGACACTAAGAAGCTGTGTAGGTATTCTTGTTTGCTAAGATACAAAGTGGCGACTTTTCCTGCCGAAGAGGACTGCTGTTATTAACATTTATCAACCAGGTCTCAGCGCAGGGACGCCCGTCATAAGCGTGACAAAGGTCGATGTAAGCGATGCCGCACAAGTTGAAGAATGGATTCAAACCACGGTCAAGCATTTCGGTAGACTTGATGGGGCAGCCAATGTCGCTGGTATCGCAGGAGGTACAGGGGAAACAACTTGTGAAACGATTGTAGGACCCGATCCACCTCAAACCCTCTCTATTGCCATCGCCTTTTATTCTCCTCGACTTTTGCTCATATGCACTAGGACGAGATTGACTGGGACCGCATGATGAATGTCAACCTCAAAGGCGTCATGTTCTGCATGCGTGCTCAACTCCCTCATCTTCCCCGGCCGGGAGGAGCTATCGTCAATGTGTCCAGTACTTCCGGTCTGCGTGGTCTCCCGAATAACGCTGCGTACGCCACTAGCAAGTTTGGGGTGATTGGTCTAACGGAGTCGGCGGCTGGCGAGTTTGGGCGACAGGGTATCAGAGTGAACGCTATCCTCCCGTAAGCTTCGAACCGTTCATCATCAAGGTACTCTCCGATGTCGATTAACTTACGGGCCGACAGGGGACCTATAGACACTCCGATCTTTCGTGATGGAGAGGCAAAGGGTTTGTTCAGTTCCAGTCAAACAAGCGCGAGGACATGCATGGGCCGCATGGGCAAGCCGGAAGAAGTCGCCAGAGTCCTTTGTTTCATGTTGAGCGACGCCGCATCGTATGTTACTGGTGGTAAGTGTCTTGCTTTGTTCTAATTTTGCCCTGCCAGTCGTCGACAGTCCCGGCTGACGAGTACCCAAAGCACACTGGACTGTGGACGGTGGGTATGCAGCATGTTAGGAGGCATTCTATGCATACCAGGGAAGTTATATATAGAAAAGATTCGCCACTATCCATTTTTTCAATTTATAAGGTGATATGAATCTCTCTTGTCTTAGCTTCATTCAGGTCAGAGGGACCTTGCGAATCTCTGTTATGTGCTAAGGGACAACAAACTGACGATAGTAGTCAGAGAGTGCGTTTATACAAGATGCGAAGCCTGGTTTCTTCTCAAAATCGTCATGGTGTGCCTATTCAGCAGGTCAGCATATCTGTGTAATGCTCATTGTCGGCCCTAAAATGCGCACTAGCCACTTGAGCAAGATCAAATCAGAGAACATACATCCACTGAGGTCCAATTGATCAATAGTAACTGGTCCTGTGAGGACTCAACTGTTGGACTAATCCAGTATCCGTGACAACCTGGCTCCTCGTCTAGCACACCCGTGACAACTGAGTTAAACTGCCTGTAGTAGCCTGCAACCCTCCCTTCTATCACCTTGGTTAGGGCAACCTCGACTGCTGGAGAGTCAAGCACCGCATCGAGACGACTCATACTACTTAATGCTGAGAATGAAAGAAAGGAATGTGTTCTCCAGTGAATTGTGCGGCCATTTAGGGCTGGTTGGATTGTTCTGTCCATCTCGCCGTACTTCTCGCCCGTGAAGAATCGGAAAGACGCAGAGAAAGTCTCCCAGAGTAGTACAGCCACCTGCGTATATCTGTCCTCAAATTTCTTTCCTCGCCATAGACAATTGAGGCCGTCGGCGCTGAGCGAAAGATTAGCACATGTTTACTTGGGCCGTCTTGGCATATTGTGGTACCCATGCCTTTGGAGAATCTCAAAGGCGGTTTCAAGATCTCGGTCTATCTCTTCCGGTTTTGCCGGGCGATGTGGAATGATAATCAGCTGTAGTACTTGTCCGTCTGCCATTATGAGGGGAATTCCTGCGGTGGCATTGGCTGTGAGACGGGGCTGGGGAGTCCAATTCGCGTGGTTGGAACTTGTATTAGGAGGATGAGGCTTCGCGCGCAAAGCATGAGAACCATTATGCGGAGGAAAAAATTATCCTATATATACACGTACATCGGAACAGCATGAACTCATTTTCTCTGTTACTTCCGTTCCTATGGGCGTACTGCTATGAGCCTGTAGTTGGATCACCCATACAACCCAGGCACCACGGGAAATGTGGGCTTTTGATGACCCGGCACCACCGTAGTGGCACCGAAATCATTCCGAAGTGCACCAGTCGTGTAAGTCAGCATCCGTACCGTCTCCGTCGCCAATCCCCAAAGGAATATCACAATTGGATTTGACGACCCCAATATTCGGGGAAACGTCTCCTGCAATACTCAACCTTCTGCTATAAAACAGGACCTTCGACTGCTGCATGGACTCCTTCACGCGCATCACCATACCTATGATTCAAGATAACTTTCAGACATCACAGCTTTCCACGTCGATATGCCAAATGGGGAAGCAGTGGAGATTTAACATTTATGAGTAATGGCGCAAGTACGCCGCGTAGAGCCAATAGTATCTCATATTTGAACAGACTAATAATATATCTTCAAGTCAAGTGCAGGATGGAGATGAGCACAGCTTGCAGTTTCTGAAGGCACTCCTCTACATCTCCCATGACCTTCTCAGCTCGCCAGGCGACGACCCTGTCGGGCCTGATGAGAACGGCCCCAGATTCTGCTACGCCGCGCAGTCTTTCCCATTCAAAGTAGAAATCTTCCCAATCCTGCCGAAAACCGATGGAATGTGCCTCCAGTGGCACGTTCAAATCAGAGGAAATTCTTCTAGCTGCTTCTTTCCATGCATCTCCGCCAATTCCGGTGAGCAGCACGAAATTTCCTCGGCCTGCTATATCGATTGTCGACGTAGCAGTTGTAGGTACGGCTTTGTTGAGCCAGACATGCGGTAAGCGAGATCCTGGATATGTATTTGGCTCGTAGTACAAAGAGGGGTTCTTAGAAGCTCGACCGGTCAGCTCAAAGGGTCGAAGCTCGTCGGCAGTAAAGACTCCGGCACCAGTGTAACGCTGGCCCATCTCGGTGCCAAGGGCATGGAACTCCTCCGTTGTACCCTTGATAGCTTTCTGAAAAGCCTGTCTCCGCCGAAAACCCTCTTCTCCAGGCTCTGTCAGCTCACCGAAACAACTTCGCCGCTCGGCCAAATCTGACTTCGTGGCTCCCATCGAGTCCCACACCTTGGAGTGATTACGGAAAGACTGATTAGCCCGTGTAACGATAGATTCCCCGACAGGCTGACGCTCGTGACTATACGTTTCCAGTAAGGAAGGACCAGCTAGACCTTTGTGGACGTATGCAACCTTCCAAGCTAGATTGAATGCGTCCTGTATACAGGTGTTGCTCCCTAACCCATTCATTGGGGGGTGTCTATGGACGGCATCACCGAGACATAGTCTGAACAGGCGCTTGTTCAGTCTTCTCCTACTATAGAAACAACGGGAATGGAGAGAAAATCTTGAAGTATCCTCCAACCAGGAGCGGGCGTGCGGGAAAACTTACATATTGCCATCAGAATATCGTTCCGCCACGATTTCATTAATATACCACCGGGAGACGCCCAGGATCTCCGTCGGTGTCGTCACCAATTATCTCACGAACTCTTTTTTCGTAGTCGGCATTCGTCGGCCGCATGGTAAGATCTGCTTTGGGGTCCGGGAGCAAGATAAACATCCACTCGTGCCAAGGCTTAACCATACGGACAATGCACATCCACCCATGCTCTGGGTGATCACGGTCAGGCTGCATAACCCAATGCAGATTTCCCATGCGCGTTTCAACCAGATGGGAAAGATCCGCCTTCACTAGGACATTGATTGCCACCCCCTGACCAGGTTTGCATTTCAATGGGAGGCCCAACTGCTTGACTACTCTGCTTTGCGCGCCGTCTGCACCGAAAAGGTATTTCGCCTTGATCTGATATTCTTGGCCAGTCAAGCTGTCTGAAAGGGTGGCTGTAATTGGCTTGAGGTCATCTGAGTAGTCGAAATTCACAAATGCCGTGTTGAATCGAACTTTGAATCCATGATTAGTGGCATATTTAATTAGAATCGGTTCGAGCAACGTTTGCGGTACATCGGCGGGATTGCACGGACTAGCTGTCTCGTAGTCGCCCTGTAATAGAAGATTTTCGGTCAACACTACACTTTGATTTTGCCTATCCACTAGAAAGACCTGGGCAATTATACTTTGCGCTGGGGGTCGTGGCCCCAGGAATAAAGTCGCGCAAACTCCTCACCGGCCATACTGTGACACCAGCGGGTATGGATCATACAGTGACCTTTGGACGACACTTGATCAACGTCTCTGTCCAGTCCAATATCTCTCAAACATTCTGCTTTTCGTCTTAGTATATCTTATTGATGCAAGACTGAGCTTCGATAAGTGGGTTTTGAAGCTTATGGTTATGTTTTTCTGACCTAATGCTGCCATGTTCGTTATGTGTGCTCTCGGGGTATCTGCCGTTCCTGACGAGGCGGAAACCATGATGCCTGTTAATCCTGTTATTACAGATATTAATGTTGGCCCAATAAAGCGCGAAACCGAAAATCATCCTGATTGAGAACGCTCGTACCGTGGGAGGCAAGGAAGCATGCGAGAGAAGCTCCTGCAGGGCCACACCCGATGATGAGGACATCTGTGGACGGTATTGAATGCTCGACTTCCCTTCCATTAATCGAAGGTTCGCGATGAGGGGACATTTTTCCAGGACAGAAAACGAGCTCGCTGGAGCTTCGGAACTAGATAGTCAGTTGTTGGTCTGACGACTGCCGTTAGCTATAGGTGCACAGAGATGTCTGCGGTGTACTTTTGGCTCAACCAGCAGTGCGTATTATCGATGTCGGGGTGGTGAATAGTAGATTAAAAAGCCACACGCAAGCAAAACTGGTGTCTTGCGCGAATCTCGATTCTCGCTTCCAATTTCAGGAGTCGAACGAAAACAATCCGAGACTATCATCCCGAAGGTCCATAAATGAACCGGAAACCTCCCGGCGCGGAGCAACTCGGCCTAATTCGACACTACCCACACCAGCACTCCATGGTAGTCAATAGAACATTCTCGACCACAAAAAGTACGTGACTATAGATTTCTGGAAACGAAGGGCGAAAAGGGAAATGATTACTGGGTAGAACTAGGTAAGCGGCATCCAGTCACCACTACATGGCCGCACGATTCCAACCCATACCCGAAAACAGCAGGTCAAGTGGAAGAGCTTAGTCCTATTCAGCGTGGGTCGACCAAATAATTCCAAATTCAACGCTACTTGTGACTACCATTTATGACGACGGCTGGGCCTGGAAGTTGTCTGACACAGAACCCCATACCAAGATGTAGGATAACACATTTCGGCGGAATTATGGTTCATTGGTAATCGAGAGTAGCAATTTTACGAAGTTCGGTACTACTCGTAGTGGACCTCGTTGATCAATGTCCCAATTGCCTCAATCTCTACCCTCATGTCATCACCGTGTTTCAAAACAACGGCAGGCTTACGCATAGCTCCGATACCTGGTCCAGTGCCCGTCATGATCACCGTCCCTCTTTCCAATGTAGTGCCCTGTGACAAGAATGCAATGGTCTTGGGTATATCGAAGATGAACTCGCTGGGAAGGACTTGGTGTTAGTAAATGATCATGGTGAGCGTGAAACGCCATGGGTTCTGCAGAGTGTTTAGCATGTACCTTGTACTTGTGTCTTGCACAATGTTTCCATTATGGACTGCCTTGACTCTCAAGTTATGGGGATCGTTAATCTCTGCTGGAGAGACTAGCACTGGGCCAACAGGGCAGGAGCCATCCAAGCCTGCGCGTGCTTGTCAATACTATCGCCACCATGCGGAACCAAGGGTACATATCATACCCTTCGAGAAGCACCACTGGCTATTCTTGAACTGCTGCGTACGAGCGCTAACATCATTGCTGCACGTGTATCCGAGCACATAACTCATCGCCTCTGAATCGGGTATATCACGGCCAGACCTTGAGAGAACGATTGATAACTCAGCCTCGTAGTCGCTAGAGCCATCTTGCGCAACCGCGGGAATATTGATTCTGGCAGGCCAGGGTCCATTCAATGCCGTGCGCGGCTTAATGAATAATACCGGTATGTCAGGAATTGGCATGTTCGATTCTCGAGCGTGGTCCCGGTAGTTCAAGCCCATGCAACGAATGATCGGTACATCCTCTGAGGTTAGAGGGGCGAGGAGCTGTGAACGTATGTTGTCAGCGGTGTAGCATAGTTGTCCTCGTGGATTATTACCATACCCGTGCAACATGGAGAACCTTGGAGGTTACAACACCGTCAAATACTGAACCTTGTATGAGCTGCGTTGATATTCTTTCGCCTTTGAAGGCAGCGACGCCAAAATCGGGGTATACACTTCGGTCAACTTGGCCGAGGTGGACTTGGCCATCTTCCTCCGCAATGAAGCGAATCAATCGTGTCCATGAAGGTGTCATTCTGACAAAGGTATTATTTCGAAACGTCGGCTTCCAAGAAAAGGCGGCTCCTACTTTCCTGTTCACTATCCAGGCAGTACATTTATGGTCATTATCTAGCTTAGGTACAACCTACTGTCTCGGGTTAATTGGCCTTCGGTACCGGGTCGGTGGAACTTCGGGGTCTTTGACCATGTAGATCTTCATAGCATTCTGATCTTGTCCAGCGAAACAGATGGTTTCCGTGCTGGAGTTATTAAAATCCCGTGAGCGTTCTCCACGAAATGGGAACTACGCGGACCTTCTTAGGGCAGAGCTGAGAGGCGGATAGAGCTACCCGGGAGCGGAAATGTTCAATAATGAAAACATGTTCTAATCTTAATGCTTTATTTTTATGATCTAAATGCTTCATATCTGTTCGTAGTAATGCAAAGAAACGTGCGCCCTAGATCATAAACGTTGGAGGCAGAGGAGGCCCCCAGATATGCAGGCTATCAGGCCCAGCCACGTCTCGACCAACAGGGGTAGTTTCGTCCACGAGGTCCCCATCGGCTTCATGATAGTCTTGTTAGCTACCATTATGGGGATTATAGCTATGGGTAACATACCGTAATGCTCCACCATGTTCCTCGATGTATCCCACCTTTTTCCTGTGTCAGCGAAAACCTGCGAGGATTTGGGTAAGTGAGTCAGGAAGGGCTCTTACCAGTAGTCGAAGATTTGAGAGCCTAGAACATGCCTACCGACGCCCCAGACAACATCATAGCCCTTTTCTTTCAGCCATTGGTGGCCGAGAGCCTGTGTGTCGAAATCATGGACCTCAAAACTGGCGTGGTGAATGTGAAACTTGGGACCTTCACGTGGTCAGCGAGCTCGAGCTGCATGAGTGATATATCAAGACGAACCTTCAAAGATAAAGAATGTATGGTGGTCGACCTTTTCCATGCCACGGTCTAGGTGCAGGAAGGCTGTGTGGTCATGGCCCAGGCCATCATGCAACACATCACTAGGCTTGAAATTGAAATGAGTGGTGTAAAAGCTGAACGTTTTGGCGAAGTCAGTCACACAGCACCCAAAGTGCCCCAGCTTGTGAACCATGGCCGGCCCGGCTGTGAACCGCTGCGTCTTGTTCACCTCTCGATTCTTCGTTTGTGGGAAGTTGTAATCGAGCTCGGGTAGTCCGTCTGATGGCTCAGCCATTGCCTGCCCAAAGACTAAATGGAACAGGAATCCGTCCACAGGGTCAGTGAACGTGACAATATAGCCACCACCCGGAGCTCTCAGCGGCTGAATCTTGGTGGCACCGGGCAACGTGGTCGAAGCGCGCATCAAGTCGTCCATGGATTCTACCATGAAGGCTGCACCCTGAAAGCCCACGCTACTTCCTTTGATAGCGCAATATACAAACGGATCGGGCCCGTAGCCTCTATAGAAGACTTTGTCATCCTGTCGCTCAGCTACCACGAGGCCGAAATCTAAAAGAAACTGCTGAGCCGCGTCGAAGTCGGTGTGTGCGTAGTAGACGTGAGCAATGCGCACGAGTCTGATCTTTTCGCTTGTCTGGGCCGTCATGATTCAGCATTCCGGTCGATCAAACAGTATTTGTTGGTGTACCATGACATCAGGCACTATTCGAGCATTTATATCCGCTAACACTTGGTATATACAGCCTATCTTTCTCCACCCTGACCAAGGCGGCATGGCATGACTGATCCAGTCGGGGTAATTCCAAGAGACCGGAGCAATTTTGCCAAATTCATCCGACATTCTTCAAGATCTGCCTTCGCCTAGACTTTGTCCTAGGTGTGTACAAATCGGGACGCATAATCAGCTCTGCTACTAGCCAATTATGTGCGAAGTGAACGCTAACACCGCAATATATACATGTCATTATGCAACTTTAAACGATTTACATCAACACCGGTGCTTTGAGGCATGGCTGATTTTGCAGAAACAATATGATCTTATTCAAGGTATTTTTCACTGGTCTCCTGGTTGGAGATACGGTATTTCACACGCTCAGGTTGGCTGAGCCCAAGGTCCCTGCCTTTTTCCACATTTCTTGCGTTTCAGGAGCTCCCAGCCATGTCTGATGTTCTGGACTCAAATACTCCGGATCTTTGCGATGGTGAAGGCCACCAGCATCGACTTCATACACGTATCCAAATATATCCTTATCAATAAACTCACCAATAGCCTTCATGTGATTTTCCATGGGTGTGATGATGTGTTTGGGGTAAACGCTCTCCCCAACGGCGGTAATTGCCGATATGGTCAGCCCAGGGGCGAATGTATTCAGGTATATCTTCTCCTGTGCCAGCTTAGGAGCCATGGACCTGACCAGGTGAATAGTCTTTGAATATTGTCAGTCATAGTGAGGCCATATCGAGCGGAGCGGGGACATACCCCAGCTTTTGCGGCACCGTAAATTGGTCCGGTAGGGAAAGGGTGAATGCCAACTTGGCTAGAGGTGATAATGATCTTTCCCCCACGGCCCCCGTTCCTTCGGAAAAAGTAAATCGCAAGGCTCACGCTGTAGAGAGCACCTGTCAAGTCGACATCAACAACGATAGTGTTAGGTTTTGTAGGTGTAGAGCCGGTCTCGAAGAGCAGTGGGACTTGCTCAGGAATTCCAGCATTAGCAGCCACGACATCCACCCTGCCCCATAACTCAATCGTCCTCTCGAAGGCCTCTAGCTGGCTCTCCCACGAAGAGACATCGCATTTGATTGCCGCCGTGCTAGGACCAATGCCAGCGGATTCTGTCACAACCCTGTCGTAGTCCCAGTCTGCCATCATGACCCGGTAGCCACGGCCAACCAGGAACTTCGCGGCCGCAAGGCCAATTCCCGACGCAGATCCGGTGACTATAGCCACAGGGGCAGCGGTAACGTCTTCCATACTTTAAAAGGTCAGATAAAGAAGTCTAGATAGTGTTCAAAGGTTCCCAAAACCTGGAAAACCTGAAAATGGCGGAGTTGTCTGTACAAATATTACCTATAATTTGATGGGCAAAGGGCCACATATGCAGTCCTACACTCAATGCATTACTATCGTCCGCCTTGCCCGCGCTGTTTTTAAGACAGTAAAACGAACCATTGGGCAATAGTCCGAATCTATACCGAAGTTGAGTCGAGCTGAACAACGAATGCCGCTTTGACTCGGGGCTCCACCTAATTTGTGGAGCTCGGCTAGTAGTTCCCCGTGGGGTAAGTCCAGTATCGTGGGCAGAACGAATCCGCAGGTATGGGGTCTAGATCCCTGGGGTCGGGGCGTGGAAGCTAGTAGTTAATGGGTATGGAGCTTGGTAACCACGTGCCGCGCGTGACCGGTGGAGGTTAGTCTTGAAGTGGCACGCATAAGTCCACCGGGGCATCTTCGCATGGATGCTTAGAACGCCCCAAGGGGGAGACCGATGCTGCCCACGCGGTAGCACAAGAACGACTAGCTCTGGGCACCTGCTGTGGAAGCGACCCGGCCTGTTGTCCTAGTGAGGACGTTCGGTACGGGAATTCTTCATAAATTGGCATCGTTGACGCCGATCTGGATACGAACTTCAAGCACATGGCCGCCGCAAAGTGTATCCCACTCGCAGCAATCGAAAGCAACCATGCCCTCATCAGACAAGAATAGAGCATCCAGCATCAACGCGGACGTCGAGATGGTAGAGCGAGTTTTGCCCTCCTCTCAGGTTGCCCATACCACTTGGAAGAACTATGCTGTAAGTCTCCAAGTCCTGGCCGGTCCGGATGCCCTGGCAAAGGCGCACTACATATAGATACGAAGGTCACACATACTGACAGACAATCTTCCTAGTTCACTTTCGTTGTTTGCTTTGGATCTTTGATATACGGCTACAGCTCCAACGTCATTGCCGGTGCTCTTGCGCTGCCCTCGTTCACCAACAGGCTGTTGCTGCCAGATGTCGATCCTCGCACGAGCGGTCTCGTGGGAATGTGAGTAGTTTGCTTCTTCCTGAAGGGTTCTTGTGACTGACAAATGGAAGCTTCTTTGCTGGAGGAGCGTTTGGCGCCGTGATCCAGCAACCCCTTTCTGACAGGTACGGGCGGCGCTTTGCTATGGCCTCATCTGGTATCTTCCAAGTCATCGGAGCAGCACTCGGCGCTGGGTCCTACCACTACGCCATGTTTATTATCTCGCGCTTTTTCGCTGGCATAGGCAGTGCCATCTCATTGACGTTGCCCCCCGTCTTCATCAGCGAGTTGGCTCCGCCACAATCTCGTGGACGGTTGGTATCGTTCCACGTGGTATTCCTGAACCTCGGCTACTTGACATCTGCCTTGGGCTCTCTGGGCTTCAGTTACATCTCTCAAAACTACCAGTGGCGTCTTAACTTTATTGTCAACACTGCGTTGTCATTACTACTCGTCTTCCTCATTTACACTATACCCGAGTCTCCCCGTTGGCTGGTGTCTCAAGATCGTGTGGATGAGGCTGCCAAGATCCTCAAGAATCTGCACCAAAACGACTCAGACCCTGATGGAGATTTTGCACACCATGAGCTTCTTCAAATCCAACAGCAGTTTGAAGAGGCTAGACATCTTCCAAGCGGCTACCGACACATCCTGGCTACCCGCTCTCACCGGAAACGCGCCCTTTGCACTATACTCGTTTGGGTGACAGGCATGTCCACAGGAGTTCTTGTCATCTCAGTCTACTCGACTGTGCTCTTTGCAGGCCTCGGCTACGACTCTTCCGGCAGTCAGTTCGCCATGTCAGCCGGTTGGCTCTGCTGCTGCATTATTTTCGCTGGTTTGGGAGGCTTGTTCGTGGATCGTGTGGGCCGCGTGCGCATGATGGGTAAGTTCATACATTTTAGAGTGTCCATTTGTTGTTTGGCCGCGACTAATGTGTGATGAAGCCATGGGAGGGCTTACTTGTGCTGCAACCCTGGCTATCGAGTGTGCCATGCAAGCCAAGTATCTGGGAACCACCAACAAGGCAGGAAACGCTGTGGGAGTGACTGCCTTCTTCCTATTTGCTGCAGCATACAATGGCTTCTACGACGCTGGCTCGTTTGTGTACACTTCGGAGATTTGGCCGAATCATCTGCGAAGTGAGGGTGTGACGATTGCCATGGTCACCTTCTACCTCACCAATGTCGCTTGGTCCTCACCAGCATCGATCGCTCTCGCATCCATAGGTTGGAGGTACTACATTATCTTCATTTGTGTCTCTGTTGTGTTGAGCTTTGCTCTGTTGGCGTACCTTCCTGAGGTCAAGGGGTTGACGTTGGAAGAGGTTGGTATCAAGTTTCAGGACGAAGTGCCGACTCAGGCGGTTCACAAGTGTGAGGTCCGCTCGGAGGAAAAGGGGATGAAGGAGATTTGAACCCATTTACGCGGCTTGGTTTCCAAATCTACCAGCTTTCTGTAATATTAATAATTGAGACTATTGTGGTAATTGGTTCAAACTTTATTTGGTTCCTTCTTGAGACCTCTAGATTACATTTCAGACGAATTCTAGAGCAGTTCGCTTTAATACCAACAGGAAGACACATTCTATCGGTCTTTCAGGGATCAACTCAGAAGCTCACAGCCTGTTAAGTGCCTTTCTCTGCCACTAATGAATCATTTCATTGTGACAGTCCTGAAATGAAAGAAGGAAGAAGGAAAAGAAAAGTCATACTTTGAGGATAGAAACATCAAGGGCACACTAGCTGTTGCTTTCCTACGAGTGACCTCAGTATCCATCACCAACGCAAAGTGTTAAGAACGGGAACTCATTTTGGCCTATTGAGGGTCGCTGTCGTACTATGTGGATAGAAATCTTGTACTAATTACGGCCGTTCTCTGGGCGGCTCCTGGTCAATGTGACCATTGAAGGCCTGCGATCGATGTACCTCAACAGTGACCTCGTTCCGTTCTAACTCTGCAATGAGGTGCTGATATGTCGGGGTCGCTTGAAGGCTTTCCCATGAGCTACGAGTCCTTGTTCTGCAAGTCACCGGCGTAAGATTTATATAGCGATATACTCCTTGTCTGCCTTGTGGCATTAGGAACACTTACCGAATGTACACGCTGCACAAATTCTCTTGCATCACCTCTTTCAGGACTGCAAAGCTCTGCACCGACATGCTTTTTTCCGACCGAACTGCATCAGCAGAATCGGCGAGAAGCCCTAGAACCTGTTTTCGACGACCGAGTCCACTTGAAAGGTGGATGATGACTACAAAACTATCCGTAGCATCTCTGTCTGGGTCGTCTGGGCGCTTCAGAAAGCCCGCGTGATAGTCATAATACTTGAGGTCATAATCAGGGCTCCCAAGGCCTTGCACATGCCTCAGGAGTCTGTCGTTGTCAACTTTCTGCATCTCGCTCTTGAAAACATCGGAGGCGGGATGTCCAAGGAAGAAGCCAACGGCGTGGGTGTAGCCCTCCAATCCCCAGATCGTGTCTGGCTCATTATCGACATCTTGGCCCCAGTAATATGTAGTGGAATGGGGCTCGGTTTTAGAGACAGTGCATAGCGCCACAAGCCTGTCCTTCCACTGCTCCCATTACAGCAAAGCATGTTAGTAAGTTCCAGGGCATGGCAAGACTGGTCCTTACCTTGGGATAGGCACCGTCCGAACCCACAACGCGTGCGATGACAAAAAAGTCCGGCATTATGCAGAATCACAATGCTTCACCCGAAGAAGTCTAACAGAAAGCGTGGGTGAAGTGTCCGGAAACCGATGCTAATATGGGATGCTCCACGCTACGAATTGGCGGGGTACTTATCTGCAACAATCGCATGGCAGGATTCCCCTTGGGGACGCCCAGGTGTAAGGTGCTCCATCTCGCTGGTTCTGTGGAGTCGACATGCCAAAGCGATAGCTCTAGTTAGGTGGGCTTAACCACCGACGAGACAATGGAGCGAAATTAGAGCGAAGATGACCGAATGGAAATCGCATCACCAGGATACCTAGCCCCTGCTATTCCCACCATGAAATTGCTACACAGTCGGCCGAATGATTAGCTCGGTCTGATTGCCACCAACAACAGGTCCAGTGATGCAGAGCCGAAGCGGAGCAGCACCGCAATTGCCCTCGGGTTGGTAGCAACCAGCGACCCGGGGAGCCTGGCCTCTACCGTCCGCGAGTTGCGGTAGGAGATTATAATACACTTCAGACGCCTTTTATCGTCTTGGGTGCGCCCAACGTCGCCCTCTCAATACGCACGAAAAGTCATCCCACGTCACTGCAGAACCATGTTTAGCCCGTCTGGCGTAGCATTTATAACCGGCGCCGGTGGCGCGGTCGGTCAGGCAACGTGTATTCAATTTGCTCGAGATGGAGTCACCAGGATTTCTGGGCTCGACATCTCAAAGTCTGGCTTGGAGGCAACAGCGTCGATTCTCAGCAAGGACTTTCCAAACGTCAAGTTCCATCCTGTTGTGCTTGATCTCACCGTCGAGGCTGAAGTACAGCGCGCTGTCAATGAGACGGTAGCAACTTTTGGCAGGTTGGATTATGCCGTCAACAACGCTGGGGTAGCTCAGCGTCTCCTACCAACGACAGGGGTGACCTTGGACGAGTACAACAAGTTAATGGATATCAACATCAAAGCAGTCTACTTGTGTGAGAAGTACGAGCTCATGCAGATGCTTACTCAAGATCCCCTGCCAGCCAATGAGCTGTACGTACAGCATCCATGCTTTCCATCGTTCAATTGGGTCTGGGAGCTTCTGATCTGATTTCATGCTTCGTTCAGACACCGAAATGGATCCCGTGGGACCATCGTTAACGTCGCCTCCATAGCAGGGTTTCTTGCAATGCCGTCGTTGTCCCTCTACACAATGTCGAAGCATGGTTAGCTTTCTTCATCCAGATGGTCACCGCGTGAAGAAAATACAGAGCCTTTTGTCTAACTGTGTTTACTTAGCTGTCATTGGTTTGACGAGGTCAGACGCACTCGATTACGCGAAGGATGGCATTCGTGTCAACGCAATTTGCCCGGGGTTAGTCGAATAAAGAGTTTGAGATCCCGTGCGAGAACTAATTTCTAGTGCACAAGATACATTGACACCCCACTCAATACCTCTACTAACAGGGAATTCGTACGTATTCAAGGCATCAAGTTGGTGATCAGTGCTTATTCTTTCTGTATGTGCAGCTGAAGGAGAGAATCGCCACGATTCCGGCCAGAAGGCTTGCATCTCCTGGCGAAATAGCCGACAGCATCACATTCCTAGCAGGCGAGCGCTCTACTTATATCACCGGCACATCTCTAGTTGTGAGTCCTCTAGCACTTACCAGTCGTCATTGTCATTGCAGCTCTAACAGAAACTCTTTGCAGGTTGATGGAGGGTACGCGGTGCAGTGAAATGTTCTAGTTATTTAGGGGCACAAGGCATGACAGTCGGTGGATTGAGAACTCATCGTAGTTCCCAGAAGATGTATTAGGACTAAGATGCCACTGTGCAGTTTCGATTATCACAGCTCGTTGCATGGGTAAACGTCTCCATCTCCCAATAATACCGCGCGGATGAGCGTAAGCATAGTGTTAAATTGCTGTTGTGTTCAATATCTGCGCTGTGATAATGGTTCCCACGTGGGTCTCCAGTATATTTATCCATGACCATGTGCAGTTTGATCGCCTGTGGTTGTTCATGACCACAAGTGAGGGGCCCTGCTTGGCATCCGGCGCGCAATGAAGGCTTTTGGAAAGAATCCATACGCCCGTCATCCAGTCCAGACTTCCCCGGAGAGTAGTACTCAATAGCTTTCGCTCTCGGACTTTACGGTGTACATGGCGTGCATGGGTCCGCAGTCTGCGGGTTGTTTTCGGGGCGATTAGTCCCCCATTGATTAGTAGCGAAAGTCAGCCCCAGCCACTGTCTGGTGGACTGTAGGGTCCTGTGCTCATTTCCGGCGTTTGTATCCCACGTTGTGTACATAGTCCGTTAAGTATCTCGGAGTCTTGATGTTTGGGTACTTTGCAGGCCTGAGTAATGCAGAGCAACTCTCTGAACGCCGTCGCCGGACACTGATCACCATTACTTGCTCACTGAGTCGTTGATTAAAGTTCAAAATACTTCGGAGCACAATGCTTCTTTCAAGGTGCTTTCACAGCAGGTTATATGGCGTTTCCACTCCTAGTAACTTGCGACGTATCGCTGTCAGGAGGTGGGTGTCAATCACAGCACACGGTGCGTCGGCGGTGAAGGACCGAGTCGCCGACTCAATGACGACGGCCACACCTACTGCTCAAGACAGCGAACAATCTTTTGACGTCGTAGTGGTAGGGTCAGGCTGCTCAGGTCTAGCATGTGCTATGGTTGCATCAAAGCACGGGCTGCGCACCATCGTCCTCGAAAAGAGCAGCTTCATCGGCGGCACAACAGCGTACTCTGGAGGTGGAGCCTGGATCCCTAATAACATCCACCAGAAGTCTCTAGGTATAATAGACGATTATGAATCAGCGAATCGCTATCTTCGCCACGTTCTTGGGGATCTCTATCACCACGATGCAATCGATACGTATCTGCGGCGCGGGCCAGAAATGGTGGAATGGATGGAACAAAACTCAGATGTGCAATTCAAGCCATGTCTTTTACCTGATTACCACCCAGGAAAAGAAGGGGTATGCACTGGCCGCACACTACTGACGCGAGAGTTTGATGGACGCCAGCTTGGAAGACAACGTTTGCGCAGCATCAGATACACTCTGCAAGGTTACCATGCATTTGGGTCTTTACAGGCAGATCCCGCGGAACTGGCCTTCCTGACGAAACCATTTCGAAGCTTTTTGAACTTATCCAAATCTGTAAGGAAGATTATTCGATACGGCATTGATATCCTGCGATACGGCAAAGGGTCAGAAATGGCAAACGGCAATGCCTTGGTTGGCCGTTTGATGAAAAGCTGTGATGCAGCAGGCGTCATTGTGCGCACAAGTTCAGCCGTGGTAAGACTTGAAAAGTCATCCGGTAATTTCGTCGTCAAGGTCAAGCAGTCGGATGGTAGCGAGAAGAGGATCATTGCCCGCAAAGGGGTGGTGTTAGCCAGTGGCGGGTTCGGCAGATCGAATTCTGCTCGAACACATCTTCCACATGATTGGTCTGTACAACCAAAACATAACACCGGCGATGGTCAGAACATGGCCGTGCAAGCGGGCGCAAGGGCAAGTGGTCACCTGACCTCAAACGCGACGTTGAGGCTGTTGCAATGATCAAACCAAGCTAACTGAGTAACAGATGCCGCCCCCGAACCCAAAGAATGGAATTTTTGCTCCTATCTCGTTGTTGAGAACAAAGAGTGGACAAATCAGACGCTTCCCACACTTCTCAGCGGATCGCACAAAGCCGGGGTCAGTGATTGTCGGACAGGATGGTCGTCGTTTTGCGAATGAGGCCGAGCCATACCAGGAGTTTGTCAACACAATGCATCAGCGTGGAATTACGAAAGCTTTCATGATAGGAGACAGTAGGTTCCTCAAGGCTTATGGGATGGGAATGGCGCTACCTTGGCCCATGTCGCCGCGGGCTCTGATCAGAGATGGCTATCTCCTGCGTGCTGAGAGCGTGGAGGAGCTTTCACGCAAGTTGCAAATACCTTTGAAATCACTACGGGAAACGCTTGATTCATGCACTAAGAATGCTGAAACCGGAATAGACCCCGACTTTGGGCGCGGCGAATCTCCGTACGATATCTTTCTCGGCGACTCGTCCGCAGGCTTCCGGAACCCGAGTCTTGGAACCTGTCGCAACCCGCCTTATTATGCTGTGACACTCTATCCTGGAAATGTTAGCTCCACTTACGGTCTTCAGACCAACACTGCCGCCCAGGTCATCGGCACAGGTGGGAAATCGATAGCAGGACTTTACGCGGTTGGCGTTGACGCAAATTCAATCATGCGTGGCGAGTACCCAGGAGGAGGGTCAAGCATAGGCGTCGGGATGACTTTTGGATATCTCGCAGCTCTTCACATAGCCGGCTTGAAACAGGAGTAAGGTCGGTCTGATGAAGCACCTAGAGATATGTACTGCATGAGAGTGCCCCGGATGCCTGCCTCCTAATAATTTATAGCAATTATTTTATACTTATACAGTTAAATATCTCAGCATAAAAGGCATGTTTCCATATTTTCACTTTAGGTTACTATGAGGCTTACTATTTCATATAGGTGTCAACGTCTTTTATGCTGGGACCGCCCAGGTGGATGGCAGCCAAGTAGCCGGTGGTCGGGGCTTTGCGTTGTCTACCATGAAATTGCTCTCGCAGGGGCGATCAAGGCGTCATATTAAGGTGTTCCTTGTTTCAACTTCCTGAGAATGCATTACGGGAAGAACGTTGTGCGAAGGCGAGCGGAGGAAACGTCCACCAATCCTATTCGTCAAACATCGGATTCATACGGAAGAAGCACACCCATGATAGCCATGGATACGGCGGCAGACTGGCATTGCCAATCTCAAAGCCCCAAAGGTAAAGGAAAGTTGTTGATTGGCCAGCTTGCTAACTAGCAGTTCATCGTCGCGGGGAAAAGGCCATCTTCACTTTGGACTCAGCATTGCCTACCGATGTCCTCCTCCTAGGTTGTCTCAAGCGATAATCTGTGCCTCACTAGGCGAGTAGCATGAGCCTTGAACTTAGTCACGTCCTCAAGAACCACTGCTTTCGACTAACATTCCGACCGGGTACAGTGTATAACAGCCTCGCGCATGTTTTAGGTGTTTCTCTAGGTGGTCCCTGAGTCTTGGCTGGCGCATGTATCGCTTGTTACAGAAAAAACATGCGGCCGGCTCGCCAGGGGGTTGTCCTCAGCATCCGCATTCAAGAGTTTGTCAAGATTTGGAGGTTTGGCATACACTAGCTTATGGGTTTCGGCAGCCTGTGTACATGGCGACATGGCGGACAGTAGGGTCATTGAGTCGGCCCAGTCCAATGTGGACATGAGAAGTATCGCAATCCCAAAGGTGATGGATATGATAGATGCAGAAATCAGGACACATGATAGGCTTGGCTTTTGGCTCACGTCTCAAATGCCATTTGGGTGTGATCTGGATTCTGGCGTCTTGACGAAGATGGTCCCCGGGATTGTTGCCCCACGGCTTCCGCAGCGCTGTACCTCTTGTAGAACCCTCCAAGTCTCATTGTATACACTCGACTCGAATTGAGTTCTCTGAGTTACTGGTGCTCTTGCTTCTGCGAAGATCGGAATCTCGCATGAGATAATGAAGGAAAGACTCGCCAAGGCCTTTGTTCTCAAAAGTCTATGGCCTTCCACTCCTCCCGTCTGCCCATTTTGTCACAGAAGCTGTGCCATCGCTGTTGCAAGCAATAGAGGCTGATCCGTTGGTTGTCTGAGTTGTTGGGAGGAAAATGTCGTCGAGCATTGCCGTGCGCTCAGCGATTTTCGAGTCCGGGTTTCCATGGCTCCGGGTCTGGCTCTGAAGTCTCATCTTCGCGAAGCTGATACTGCTTGATCCTGACCTCGTCAAGCTCTCTTGGATACGGCATCTACAATGCGCACCCAAGGGAGCACTATACTGACACTCGCGCGATGCGATCAAAGTGAATGGTTAAGTAGAACAGTGGACGATTCCCATATCTTTTTTTCCCTTTCAGTCCGATGGCCTGTATGGCATTAGATGCTGCAATGAAGATACGCTTGTTGGCCACCCAGGCTCCTGGCCATCCCAATGCAAGAGGCACGGCGCGGGCGCAGTATGAGGTCGTCCTCAAGTCCTCAGTGCCGTGTGAGATACAAATGGTCTAGGTCCAGATGCATCCGACAAAGGTTCTGCGTGCCTGAAAAGGGGGTCGGCTAACCCGAACACATGCAAGACTTGGATTAATTCTGTGACGTCACTGCGTTTTAAGTGGGTTTGCCTGGATGTGGTTCGTGGTATCCACGCTTCGTGGAGGCGTCAACGAGCCAACTCAACTACTACCACCGTCCTTACACATAGCCCGGCTCCTAATTTTCCTCTATAATCTTGTACCAGCTCTCTAATACACCGGAAAATGAGCGACGATCGAGCGAAGTCGAGCCCTGCTTCCGATGAAGCGAATCAGGCTAAGCTTCCAACGGGAGAGCAGCTCGACAGCACGCCAGCCCACAAGGTCAGTGAAGCCTCGCAAGGGGACGGCCAGGAAAATGAGCAGAAATCTGCGACCGTGTCAGAGCCGAAGCAATTGAAATCTCACTTCCGTGGTATGCCCAAGAATTGGGAGATCAATCGCAGTGAGTCGCACGTTGTGCACTCGTCACTCGCGACTAACCTTGGGATAGACAAGCAATAATGATAGCAAATTCAGGAGTTAGCTGGGCCTCAGTACTACGGTCTACGTGTAGCCTATTGCGAATAGAAAGACTCTCCCAGAGGAGTAATTGGACTACCAGAGCATCTACAACAAGGATGTTACTTTGCCTCTGGTCCCGTTCAGGTGTGCTTCTCTTTGCACACGACAGCCAGCTTCATTACACATCCAACAGTCTTTTCGTCAATTTTCTTAGCAAACCACATGACTGAATCAGAAGTTATCTCGTCCTTTGATATGAGAAAAGCCCGCTGTGGCATTGTTGAGGTGGAAACCGAATTCCTTGCTTTCATATCTTTGCCAGAGAAGTCCATTCTATCACACTTTATTAGTCCATATTTTGTTATTCTGTCGTTAGCCGCATATATCCTCTCGTTCCTCCTCGTCCTTTCCCTCAATTTATCTCTAACGCCTGGCCAGAGATCCGCTTGAGGAAATATGACGTCTTTTAGAGAGATTAGGAGGGCCATCTTCCGCACAGGTCTGGTTCGCTTCGCTATAGATAAGACAGAATTTCACTACATGTTAGAATAATAAACTGGATTGAGTGAAATATTGAAAATAGTTAGATGGCAAAACCTGTATATCTTACTGGATTCACGCCTTACCATGGTTATATAACGCATCGCCGTGAACTTGTGAGCTTCAAGAACTCCACTTCTTGATGCGCCACCAGCGATATCAGTGCCTTATCCGTATCCGGGGAGGGGCAATCAATTCAAGTACCACTTTTCAGTTCCTCTATAGTCTGACTGTTCATATGTATCCAGTGACAGCCCTCACGGCCGATCAATGCGGTCGACATTCAGTGATGAGGATAATTACCTACATAGCTGTGACAGTTTGAAAGAACATCGCCGTCGGACATCACATAGGAGAACCTTACCCTGTGACATTGAAGTTATATTCCTCAATTTCACTTTATGCAGGCTTCACTTCTCCTATGTCAAAGGGATGATGTGAGGTCAGGAATAATCAAGGGTCAATGGTGTGATTATTTTCACAAAGAGACTGAATATTGTCCCACTTCCCTCGAAGGGGACAAGAAGGGGATTGTGTAGTGGATCTTGTCTAGAGCCTCATCGGGCCTCCTGTAAACCTAATGCATTGCCGTGCATTGCCGTGACATGCTGCATCGTTTGTACCCACAATTATTTAAGGAGAGCTGACAGCTGCGTACAGTTTGTATGCATATAGTTCACAGAGACTATAATTTGGTACAGTGTACGATCATCAAGCTTAGACAGTAGAGTGACGTTTCTGGGTTGCAGCGAACGTGTAGTTGTGTTTTATTCGCATAAAGATTCTGTTTACGATCTAATATTTATATACCAAGGCGACCTATTATTTATAATACTATCTTACACTGATGCCTCAATCCCCTTCGTTCTGGACTCGGTATCCAACATCAAATAGATAATCTGTGCCTAATAGCGAAACGAGCTTGAGCGCTCCTGAATGATAGGCACAGCATCAGAGCGCTTGTTAAACGAAGCTATCAGAATGCTGGTTCTTCAGATGACGAGTCGAAGACTGAGAGCTGTCATCGCCATCTGCATCATCCCGCTTTCTTGAGACGACAGTCGTCTGCATGATTTTCGTGATCCCTTTCCCAGACGCCTGCTTAGTAGACGGATCACCACCTCCCTTTGCGTACGACTGTGTTGTCGGGTATTGGTGGTCTTCAGTATTTTTATCTGTCTTGTTTCCGGATGGTCCTCCGAATATGCCTCTTGCGCCTCGGGAGCGTAGCTCGGTGCCTTGGGAGTTCGAGTAGGCGTATGGGCTCTGGCTATCGCCCGTGGCCTTGACAACCTTAACAATGAGATCGGCGATGTTCATTTCGATATGCAGCTTGAGCATGTATACGAGAGGGTGGAATTGGACATATCTGAATTCGTTAGCACAAATTGTTTGAACTCCTGCATCCCTACTCACACAAGTCCGTTCGGTATCGACATGCTTCCGATGAGGATGATCTAGAAAACTTGTCAGCTAAAATCCAGCATTCCAAAGCAAGGTTTCACAACTCACATCAAGGCTCATAGAAACGGCAACCATGAACATGTTGTACCGGAAGAGCGGCATATATTTCGTCAGGCCATTCGCAATGAGTCTGGACCGGACAAGATGGATGAAGTAGAGGTTCAGGCCGGCATCTACAATAAGGAAGATAACCTTTTCAATCCGGTCCCAGATCTCGTTGATCGCGATGTACTGTGGGGAGATCTGCAGGCGCGCAGGAATCCAGATGATGAAGACGCTGATGTTGATGAGGCCCAGGATAACGGCCACTACCCACCGAATGCTGCACGCTCGTCTTTTGTCTACCATCAGAAGAGCAATTCGGTTGATAATGATTCCGCAGATACATTGGATCTATCCCTTATCAGCATTATCTCGAAATGTGCAGTGCTGGGTTTGGTTATACCTGAATGACCCAAAGGCAAACTATTCAACACGTTAGCTCGATGCTGCCAAGTCTGATATGGGAATACTCACGTAACCCAAAGTATACCCAGAAACTATAAGGCGTGTATGTTAGCGTCGAACTCTAATTAAGACTCCTGTGTTCCGTTGAGGTTCGCTTACCTAGCCGGAACAATTCCTCGAATAAACAACCATGACACAACTCCAATGATCATGGAGACAGACCACTCTGCCCAGACCATGATGCTGTATGCATGCAAACCCCGGGCGCGCTTCATCATCCTTCGTGTCTGCTTGAACGCCTTCGCAGCTGCGAATAGACCAGAAGCCAGCGTGAACCCCCATATGATACTTACGATCAAGAGGTCGTCCAGTGTAGGGACGGCCGATTGGTACCATTCTGGGATCAAAAACCCAGCCATTGCGAAAAACGAGCTGCTTTCCCTCAAGGAAACGTGTCGCAACAATGGGAGACGATTACAGAAGCGAGTGAATCAACCAGACAAAACAAAAACCAGAAAATTTTACATGGGAATGAATGAATGAATGAATGAATGCAAAATGAGCCATGCGTACATATGAACTTAGGAATTGGGATCTTGATCATCGTCCACTTGCACTCACACACAAGGGACGCCAGGAGACTCAGAGAACCCTCGTCAATACCAAGAAGTGAGGGACTTCTACGCTGGATAGGGAATTGATCGTCTCGTGTTTGACGGTGCCCTCGCTTCCAGGGTTTCTTCGTCAATAGTATGTCATGGTCAGGGTACGCTGGTAATGTAACCCATGCAATTATCTGTAGCGCCATAGCTTCGTCGAATGAAATGGCCCGTAGAAAGATCTGATAAGCTAATAGTCGTGAAAATTTGCCCAGTATTATGCACTGCAATGACTCCAAATCGTACTTTGGCACTGTACCCTACCATAGTACACATTGATCAGTGGCTTCCACGCTTGTGAGTTAGACGAAAAGTTGCTGACACATACACCGCCAATTCTCGCATATCTGCACTTTCTCGGTGACTGTGGAGCCAAACCGGAGGATTCTTCCCAGACATTGGAACCTGAATTCCCCTATGTTCCTGCTCTGTTTCAGGGAAACTTTAATGAAGATCAAGAGGTTACTTCGCTCCGCGGATTTCTGTGTATCTCCGTTCAGGATGTCAGGCTGCGCTAGGTCGCGGCTCCAGATGTGGCGATCCGGGATTTCCCACTACTCACCGGGGATGTTACCGAGAAGCTCGTGATTGGGCATCGATGATGGACAGTATCCCTGCCAGGCTGCCTCTAAGACGTTCCACTATGTGGATTTGTCGCATACCATCGTCTGCAATGTGGGTAGAGATTTATATTGTCCTCGGCGGCGGACAAGGTTGGAAAAGGTCAACAAGTTAACTTGAGTGGCCGTTAACGGTCTGATGCCGAAAGGGTCCTGGCAAGCCAGCCTGGGTCTGTGGCTTGGTAGCCAGGGTCTGCAGCACCGACTGCATTCAAAAGCGGGTAGATGGGGTGCGCCAAGACATTTGCCCGTGGGAAAGCCGTGTAGTGAAATACGTATACCCATCTCAGATCATACGCAACTGGGGGCGAAGGTTGGGGTTCAGGAAGGGTACGATCCTCCCACCACTTTGAGCCGGCTTCAGTTTTAGTCATCCAGCGGGTGACCGGAAGTTCACTGAACTCAACATTCCGGCCGAACGTAAATCATTGTATATTGCGATACTCGTCATGCGAGCATGTCACAAGGAGAGCGACACACCTGGAGCAAAATACAGCAGACGCAGCTGACACTAGTCCGCGGCCAGACTATTTCTGGTGCGTCCTGCAATATTACCGTAGTAGGTAAATTTAGGTAGGGTTTAGTGAGACATGACTCGCGCTTGTGATCCGGGCTACTTGGGCCATTCGTGATCTTGGCGCATAGCAAATCCGGGAGCGTGGCCTGGCGATCCCTGCCGTCCGGGGTATTGGGACCCGCATCAGTGGTTCCAGTTGGGTGGTTTCCAGAGACGGTCTAGTCGACTACTGTGGTAGTTTCAACTGGGGAAATTCGGGCAAAGATCGTCTCCATTTCAACTTCCAGACTCCCCCAGTCATCTGGAATCCAGTAAGCTAGCAAGCCAGATTGGACTGCGGATCCTTTCCGGGATAGTGATGTAGCTGGCGAGTCATGCTCGTTGGCATTCGCGGCCTCATCCAGTCGTTGGGCTAATAGCGCGGCGCAGCAGCAGCAGTAGCACCACAGTGACCTGAGTGATGCACCTTGTGCGCCTCTCCTGCAGACTGCAGTCTGCAGAAGTAACCCACATTTCCACGAAAGGGGAACAAGATGATACCTCGGTAACCGTGAAAGGAATCGGGGTCCCGGAGCCGTGCAGGATGGGGTCAATATGCGAGATAATTATGAGCCACCGCAAGTCTGGACCGTGATACTCGTGAAAGCGACCGGCCTGGAGCCGCGTCTAGCTGGCGGGCTGGCGGGACTGCGCGCAATGAAACCCGCTTTCGCCTCGGGTTGCTAGAATGGTTTCACCTTTCCGCCGTGGAATCAGGCCAATATCCACAATCTCTTTCGTGTTCCCTTCGCGCGACAGGCCGCTTGCTAAATGGTAGATCAGCGGCAAACGGGTATTCTACGGAGTCGCTAAGGTCGAAGTCCGTTAGCCTCCAGTGGCACAGACGTATGCAAGCAGAACGACTGTGGGGTACACCACATGCGTTGCTGATATCGTGAGGAGCTATAAGAATCGCTGAGGGGAACTCGACCCTGAATTCGAATGCGGGGTGATTGTTTGATTCCATGCCTTTATTGCCTCGGTGAAGACCAACCCAAGACCTAAACTCATATTTGCAACTCTATCTGTCATTCACAATGGGCTTGTATACCAAGCTCGCGGACGACATCAAGGAGGTGGATGTCATCATTGCGGGAGGTAAGAACCAAACTGCCACATATCCCCAATTCACACAGCGTTGCTCACTTAAATGGCTTCAGGTGGAACGGCCGCTTGTATCATTGCTGGAAGGTACGCGATCTCTTATACCTCACGTATTCCGGCTCCTGAAAGCTGACTTAATTCTCTTGTAGACTTGCTGAAGCTGATCCAAACCTGTCAATCCTTATTATCGAGGGCGGTGAAAACAACCACAATGTCCCCAGCGTCGTCAATCCCGCATTCTTTTTGCAGCATCTGCTGCCAACGAGCAAGACGGCTCTGTTTTATAAGGGCAACAAGTCTCGACAGCTCGGCGACAGAGAACCCATTGTCCCGTCTGGTGGCATGCTAGGGGGTGGTTCATCCATCAACTTCATGATGTACACACGAGGTCAGCGGTCCGATTTCGATTCGTGGAACACGAGTGGCTGGTCCGCAGACGAAGTCTTACCGTACATGAAGAAGGTGCGTAATACTCAACAAGGTGGTCTTACAGCAGCTGACGTTATATCAGCTCGAAACCTACCACGGCCCTGGTAACAAAGAGCTTCATGGACATGACGGTCCTATCCACGTGTCTGACAGCACTTTCCGCAACACCAGGTCTGAGAGTGACTTCATCCAGGCTGCCGGACAAGTCGGCTTCCCAGAAATTGAGGATCTGCAGGACTTGGATGCCAATAATGGAATTCAGCGATGGCTGCGTTACATCTCGAAGGATGGCAAGCGCCAAGACACCGCCCACACATACCTTCACCCCAAGTTGCAAGATGGAAAGCACCCTAACTTGCATGTCGTTGTTGAGTCGCAAGTTAACCGAGTCCTCTTCGAGGGCAAGAGAGCAGTGGGCGTTGAGTACCGGCCAAACCCTGCATTCCAGGCCAGCATTGGTCTGACACAGACTCCCCTCCAAACCGTGAAGGCACGAAAGCTTGTGGTCGTCTCGTGTGGTGCCTGCGGTACGCCGCCCGTTCTGGAGAGATCCGGTGTAGGCAACCCAGAGATCCTGAAGCGCGCGGGCGTTCCCGTGGTTGAAGATCTACCTGGTGTTGGTCACGACTACCAAGACCATCACTTGACTCTATACCCATTCAGAACCAGCCTTGAGCCCGGCGAGACCATTGACGGGATACTGAGTGGCCGTGCCAACGTTGGCGAGTTGGTCGAGAAGAAAGACCCCATTCTTGGATGGAACTCGATTGATATCTCCTCTAAGCTGAGACCCACAGAGGATGAGGTTGCCGCGATAGGCCCAGAGTTCAAGAGTGCCTGGGACAAGGATTTCAAGAATGCCCCTAACCGCCCTCTCATGTTAATGGGACTGGTTTCATGGTGAGTTACCCTCTCTCACCTTGTGAATGTGACCACCCGAGCTAACCACTAGTAGTTTCCTTGGTGACCCTGCTGCCGTGCCCGCTGGACAGTACGTTACTGTTGGCAATTACACGGCCTACCCATACTCCCGTGGACATATGCACATTACCGGTCCTGGGCTGGATGACCCGCTCGACTTTGAGACTGGCTTCCTGAGCGATAAACATGACATCGATCTTAAGAAGCAGGTCTGGGCGTACAAGAAGTCTCGTGAGATTATGCGAAGAATGAACACCTATCGTGGCGAGTTGGCCCTTGGCCACCCTCGGTTCCCAGAAGGCTCCAAGGCCGGATGCGTGGAGATCGATGCGCCACTGGGCGAGGTCCAAGACCTGGTGTACACGGCCGAGGACGATGCTGCTATCGAGCAGACTGTGCGCGAGACTGTCGCCACCACCTGGCATTCCCTGGGCACGGCCAAGATGGCGCCGCGCGAGGAGATGGGTGTCGTCGATGCAAACCTGAACGTGTACGGCGTGCAGGGTCTCAAGGTTGCTGACATGAGTATCCCGCCTAAGAACCTGGGCGCAAACACCAACAATACCGCCTTGATGATTGGCGAGAAGGCTGCTGACATCATCATCAAGGAGCTGGGACTGAAGGCATAAGAGCAAATTTTGAATTAGTATACCCAATGTTTGCTAGTTGAGCGATAGCAAGCATTTAAAACAAATCAACTTGGCTTCAAGAGGAAGCCTTTTCACCATTTGACCATCCTCTGCGCAAGTAGCACGTGCTCATCCGGTCTTTGCGCATTCGAAAGCTTCCAACGGAGGAAGAATCCTCCTTGTCAGATAGACTAATCAGAAGAGGGTTAGCACGCCTTGCAGCATCAGATCATGCCAGATGTTCGACTTGCGGCGTAAGCAGATCAGAAAAGCAACTATACAGAATTGACACGTAAACTTTAATCTAACAACTCATTCCTCTCGTCCAGAATTGGCTGCTTCGTTGTACCATGTCGCCTGGAAGAAGTAATCTGACATCCCGTTTGGAAGCGTCCGCTTTCAGAACTATATCACTCAACCACGTCATAATCCCATGCAGATGGAATCTCGACTCGGCAAAGGCAGCTTTAGAGAGTGCTGTGCCACCCTTGGATCTCGCGGCATACAAGACTGCGCGCTCGTCTGGCAACAATGCTCAAGCTTTGGCTGCCCTCCAGGCTCTCCCAACTTTGAATAACTTTGTGGTTCCTCCCCGCGATTTCGGTTCACTCCTTTCAGTACTGGACCAGACGGGAAAAGCGTTTCAGTATGAGATCGGCAATCCTCTCACAGCTTTGAGTATGGCTAGATTTGAGCTCGGAATTGCTCTATATGCACCAATACGAGTACTTCTGCGGCAGACATCACTAGGAGGGGCAGTCTTTGAGTTTGATCGGCCTATAGATACAATGGGCCAATTTGGAAACTCGAGGGTTGACAAGATCGCCCAGGATTTGGATCGCGACCTGACACAGGTGCTCGTTCAAGCCGCCGGATGGAAAGAGTTTGGTGATTGGGATACGAGACATTCAAAACTCTGAGTGGAAAGACATGGATATTTCAAGGGGTATTGCCTGTCTGGAATATCTCGATACCTAAGAATCTGCTAGATGTCTGCAGTGGAACCTCCATACGAATGAATCTATCCAATGTGTTAGTAGCCACGCTTGTTAGACTTATAACCTGTCATGTGTTCGGTGGCTTACAGTTTCATCCGCGCAGCCTGCGGGTGTGTTATAGGCATAAGCACCAGTGTTGATGTAGAGCTTTCCCTCGTCTCCACAGACCAACCAAGCAGCCGTGTTGGGCCTACTGATGTCCGCGACAGTCCAGGTCACTGTGTCGCCCTGGAAAGCAAATGTGCCATAATCGTTCTGCGTTGTGTCGAACCGGGTCTCCAATGTTCTTTGAGTCTTGTTCGCCGGGTTCTCTACACCCATGTATAGGGTGGAACTTCCAGTGTAGTAGACCAGCTGTCCATCAACGATGTTGAACTGGCCCGCATTTGTGGCCGAACGCAGGTACGCATCCCCCGGTCCCGGGGATGGGGTTGCCGTTGGGGCAGCTTGCAAATAGGAGTGGAAGTTTGGCGACTCCACTGCCCTGATCCAGTAGTGACCTGAAACAAGCGTCTTCGGTGGCGTGGTTGCGGATGCTGAAGCGCTCGTAGTCTGACCTGTAGCTGTGGTGCTAGCTCCACTCGAGATAGTTGTCGAGGTCTGTTTCACTGTGCTCGAGACTGCTGTGCCAGGGAGACATTGGTAGTAATATGCGCTTGAACTGTTAGGTCCGTGATAACTTCGGTCAATTGGACTTAGTCTCACTTTAGACTCGCACAAGCGTAACCGTTCACGCAGGAAGTGGCACCGGTCCAGCCAGTTCCACCACCTAAATGGTATCAGTAGGCTCCCAACATCGGTTCTTAGTGTGGTATAGTCTCACATTGGCCGTATGCTGACTGTTGAGCATATGCGCCGGTTGCCAGGAAAGGCAGGAACAAGGCCTGTCTGGTTAGCATACTGTGGGTTCGTATATAGTGCAAGATGTCGCCTTGGCGATTTACCTGGGCAGGTGGAATTGAGCGCGAGTCGTTTAGTCTATTTATTGCTCTCCCTATCTATGTGACATATATTTATGGAACAATTAACGCATATCCACCTAATCCCAAACTGTTGCAGAGGCTGGCCCACCCCCGATATCTCCTGTGGTACCGTGGCCCACGCGATGGGTTCCCGGGACATCTAGCCTTATGAACCGGCGAGTCTAAGCCCAAAATAGAGAAATTCAGCGCTGGGGCCGTCGAACGGGATTCTGACTGATCCATCCGAGGTCGTTCGCGACTTGATGAGGCGTCGGCTTCCGGTTGCGGTGGATTCCACCAATGTGCCACCGTTCCGAAGATGTGCTCGGCGGTTACCCTCCGCCAAACCCACATGTCCGGTCCGACGTCCCACCGATAGTTCGGAAACCAGTCGGAGATGCGCTTCCAATCCCCAAAACAGCGCGGCGCCGACTGCGCATCCTTGAAGATCCTTGCGAGGCCTCCATTAAGCTCTGGTAGCTGTAGTGAAGTTCAGACGCTCCAAGATCGAATTCCGAATGCCCTTTCTCGAATCTGGGTCGACTTCCCTCGCGACTTCTTTAACGGCCTCCAGCACTCGTACGTGCTCTTTCTTGAGGCTCTCGAAAGACTCATCTAGCTGCTTGTGCCACGGGTATAGCACAAAGACCTGGAATCCTAACGCTGACGAGGCAACAACGAAGTTGGTCAACGAGATGAGGCGAGTGACTATCATGGTGACGATAGAATGGGAGGGGTGCGCCTGATGTGTAGAGATGAGGTAAGATGCTTGAGCCTTGGTCCAAGAGACTTATGTTGCAATTGTGGTGATTACTTCAGCAAATTTCAACCCGCATGAGTGTACGAAAGGAGCAAGAAAGATTAGTTAATTGATGCAGCGAGAGACTAGGTAGATGCGACGCGTGAAGGAATCCGAAGGCTGTGCCTGTGAGCATGTGAGAGGCTTTTGTTGCGCTGTGGACCAGCGAATTTCGCAAGGCTGCCAATCACCATCAGCAACCTCGGGTATCTGGACCGAAGTCGGGTTCGCCGTGGCCACGTTGGGCCCTTTTGGGCATGTCATTCCGACGAAGGCACGCGTACGTGTAGACGTGATTGGGGAAGCGGGAAGGCTAAGAATCAACGTGGGCTGATTATCGTACGATCGCCCAGCACTGACCCGCTGCAAAAGCTTAACTCGATGTCGATTTTTCGACATCGGCCAAAACCACTACAAATCAGTCCAGCGGCTAAAGTCTAGATCCTCAGGATCTATAGACATCAGAGCAGATGGGAAAATATGCCCAGCGCATTGTCAAAGTTCTTGCAAGGTCGCAATCCGGAAGCTATTTCCGAGCTTGGTAACGCTCAAAAGATGGCTTGACCTTAACGCATCCAACAGGTCAGGTGAGTGGCATTGTGTTTGGAGTTCGATGTTTCGCCGTTGAGAATAGTCTTCAGCTCATCGACTTTAGAGCATTGGCAACAATGCATCCAATCCCATGCATGCGATGAGTGCTGTGATTTCCTGTGGAGCAGGCTTGCAGGTAAGTCCAAACTCAGGAGGCGCCATGGTTTTTGTCTAGCCAAAAGTCGGGATCGAGTTTGAACCCGTTTGCAACAGCCTTGTCATGGCTAGAATTCGAACCGAGATGCATCCCCCTTGGAGGTTGACTAGAAAAGTTCCTTCAAGGAAGATTGTTCGGAGCCGCAGCCGTTATTGATGATACGCGACGATGCGACCGTGATCTTACTCACATCCTTGTTCACAAGGCAAAGTAATATCGTGTAGGGCTTATTTGATTTACTCATGCCAACTGCTGCGTGGCTTGAGAGTAACGATTTGCAAGCCTACGAAGGAGTATTGGCTACATACTTAGACGTGGCGGGTTCTGAAACGAAATAGTGTGGGAAACCTCTGCAGGCATTCTCGCAATGCTTCTATGAGTATTCTGTGGGCAGTTAGCCCTCAGTGAACTACTTCTTCATTCAGATAGCACTATGAACCCCTACGGATACTGCGTTTGTCAGCCCGAATGCAGATACGTTGCATATGCAACAATTCTGCGATATCTCACGATAGCAAATCGAGGTATCCATCTGGAAAGTAGCGAAAAATCGATACGGGAGTTTTGCGCTGTACGCACCTTATAGGATGAGTTATCTCTAAGACTAGCTTAGCTATGGGGAATTTTTATATCAATTTGCCACCTTACAATGCTGCGAACCACCTTCTCACTCTTCTGGATAACGCAACCACCATTATTCCCGTGAAACCAGAACCAGCAAGAAGATATCAAAGCTTCGACTCTTCATAGTACTCTATACGTGATTCCTATCCGCCTCACTGCTCAAGGATACTGGAGAGGACCTCGAGTAGGTATATAAACCTGACAGTTTTCCAGCCCAGTGATTTATCAAGTTTGCAATGCCCGTGGGTCATGAGCCGATATAGATACTATCGAGAACTTCTCCAAATCGTAGGCGCGGAACATATCCGAAAATTACGGCACGCTTTACGTAGATGATCGCATTATTCTGGCAGACACATCAGCCCAACTGGCTGCAGCTGGGTCTTGGAGGTGACAGATGCCTGACTGTAGCCTGAGAGTGTCAATCTCACCATAGAAGCCTTCATTCGGGCTACAAGACAGTAGATGTTGCTACTTTGAAGCACATTGTCCTGGCAAGCCGCTTACCGCGGTGGATTTCCGGAGGCATATGGTATGATTCAAATGGGTACATGGTCGACAATTCAACAAAAAGATACAGATTTGGCGATCGAGGTGGTCTTCCCTATTTCGAAAGGATCTTGACCTGTAGAACGGGTCTCAATTGGAGCTTTGATAAACTGTCCAAGCGAGTCAGCCTCCTGATAGCCTAGCATCGAAGTAGGTCGTCCGCTTGCTCTTATATCTGTTCACGATACAATTGACTCATTTCGACATTCCACATCGTAACTTCCAATTTGCGGAACCTGGATTGTTGATTATGATATGTAAGGCTTCTCGTCCATTTGATCCTCCTGCCGAATGCTAACGCCGTGCAGAGCGTGATTCTACCCTCCCGAGGGGCCTCGAAGGAGTGGAAACTGCAACACTTTGTAAATCTATCATCCGCAACAATTGAGTACCTTTGCCAGTCGCGTAACACAGTATGAAAGCACGGACGATCAGTCTGAGGTTGTACGGTGGGCACGGTGGGGGTGTCCGGATTGCTGAAAGGTGGTCCAGGAGACCTGATAAGCGCCGTGAAGAGGCTTCTTGGATTTCGCACAAACATTTACACGATCAACAGTACTGACCGGTTCCTTCACTGCCGACTAAGTGCAAGTGCTACATTAGGGCGTGGATCCCGTGTCCTATACGACAGAGAAAACGACCCTTGGATGTTTCTTGAACTTGTTCTCAAAATCGAAAGAGAGAACTACTAGGAAATACAACATCAGCACTACTCAGGCCACAATCAAGGCTCTTCCCAGGAGTTTTCTGTTTATGGATAGGACTCTTCTAGACCTGATGTATGCATAGAATGGTAGCCGCCTGCATAAAGCGCCGGGTAGCTCCGTTGCATACATGTGGTCGTGGAACGAGCCCCCACCCTATGCTGCACTACGACATGAAATTTGACGTATAGGCAGTGATAAGATTAAGAGGTCAGTGCCAAGGCAGCCAATAAACTTGCCATATGTGGCCAAATGTCTGATTCGAGGAGCAGTCCAAGGAAACGCATTGAGCCAAGAGCCCGGAAGGAGGTAATCCACGTTATGGTCTGATCATGGTGTTCTCAACAGAAGCCTTGGTTTCTTTGCTTCTCTGTATCGGCGTCAATAACTGCAGATGATCTTAGATATTCACAAGATGGCTTCATCGGCAGGCAGAGCAGGCAGAGGTGCATTGGAATAATCATCGTCCCAGCAGAGCAGTGCTTCCGACCAAGCGAGCAATACGCAAGCCCTCAATCATCGACCGATAAGATCATCAACTGAGCCGAGCTCTTTGTCTTGGAAGACGGGGCCACTCTTGAAACCCACTCCACGTGTGATTGCTTGCTTCCTTTGGCCCGACTCTGTCTCAACGTCACAGCCGCTGAAGGGGAGCATTCCTGCCGCCTGAAGTGCCGGCTTGGTAGTGATGTATCAACAACAATCATTGCAGAACTCCTTTCCCCGTCTGAAAAAGCTGGGAATGATCTATTGCATGCTACAAGAGCCTTGCAGATCGGCCGGCGGCCGGCGCAGCCTGTGTGAGGACTCGCAGTGCTCTAATTTCCAATTGCTGCGACGCTTTTCTAACATTTGCCCCATTACACCTTCATTGAGAGGCGTTAGATCATCCAAATCAGAAGCTGTCGAGACACCCGTGAGAAACAATCAGCACTGAAGTGCTCATGGGCACGTGCTGAGAAGCACCAGTGTTGTCGGAGAAAATCGGGGCTGTCTGGAGGCCCGAGCCGGGTGACCCCGATCATACGACTCTTGGGTGTTCTGGCCACAAAAAACTTGACCAGATGTGACTCGGAGCCCCCCGACAACCAGAAAACGATGCAAGTCACATCGCAGAATGTAAAATTTGTGGATTAATAACTGGGCCTTGCGACGAGAATCGCCCGGGCGATGCAGGCGCATTGCGTCTCAATCGGCTAATTCCAGTCCGGGAAACTTACGACAGGTTCCTTGCCAAGATGTCCTTACTCGAGGCTGTGAAAACCACTGAACTGTGCTGGGAATGCTTGGCCAGAGCTCACGCTGGCATATATAGACAGGCGATGAATCTGCCCACCGCTGCCGAACGTACTACAACCAGATCATCAAGCATCAAGACACATTCAACAACCAAGCACACACTTCTACATACACAAAGTCACGACGTGACTTGACACAGACACCCATATCTCACATGTTCAAGTCTACCCAATTCACACGCCCAACCCAGTTCGAGGAGTACTCCTCGGACAAGACCAACTCTGCACAGGTCGCCATCTACAATGAGGACGACCTGTCGCACTTGCTGTACATTGAGCGCAGCAAGGCTACCACCCATGGAGACCATGTCATCATAAACGAGGTCGAGCACGACGAGCCCGAAACTCCCTTTGAGAGCCCTCTAGACACGGGTATCCACACCCCTGCCTCGGACGACAATGAGAGCGCCATCCTCAGCGACTGCGAGACGGAGAGCGATCTAGAGATCCCTCCGTCCCCGTCGCGACTTCGGGGTGGCACCATGTCGATCTCGGACGATGACTTCGAGTTTCCCATATTCCTCGGCAGACAGGAAGAAGAAGAGCTACCGTCCGCCACCCCGGCCCCGGCCCCGCTCCGGCCAGCGCTCCGTCGCTCCAACCCACCGGCGCAGGTGCTAGTCAATACGGCAGGCAGCGAATGCAAGCACGTTCAGATTGTGCCGCCGAAACACCACGTGGCTGCCATCGAGGGCCCTTTGATGTCGTGGTGGCCCGAGCCCGTGGAGGGCATGGAGTACCAGTGGGTTCAAAGGCCCAGTAAGCCAACGATTCCCATGGAGCAGCACGTCTCGCATGTGGACGGGCCCCTAATGTCATGGTGGCCGGCCCCCATTGAGATGATGGAATACGAATGGAATGAAAGATTTTACGAATAAGGAAAACAGCGAAGCAAATGAGTCGCTGAGGCGCAATAGGTTTTGCTTTGGAAATGGACGGAGTTTGGGTCGGGGCATAGGCATAACAAGGAATATCTCAATCATCCAGCAGCATAGGGCATGCGGCCTGGCGTTTAAAAGAAGGTTGACTCGACATATATAGACGTCAAGCTGTTGCCAAGACCACCTGGGCTTATTTAATATCAGACTATTCTCACTCTGAAACTCGTTTGCAACTATGTGCATGATTAGTCAAGCTTTCTGGCTCCCTATAGCCCGCCCAGGATCGTCGCTGCTTGCTGCCAACGCAAGCTCTATCGTCGAATGCATTAGCGCATATCTATAGTTGAGCCTCTGAAGGGTTCTCGAACATTTCGGACAATTGCTTAGGTCAGTATCGCCTTTGCGGATGGGTTCCTAGACCCGTGCGATGCGATACGTAAGCCTCTGAGCATTCCGCGCGATGCGTAGCTCTTTGACAGAGTATTCTAACACGTGTGGTGCTGTGATGCCCAATAGCGATAGGTGCCTGAGTGTTTAGTGCCGTACTCCGTAACTTAGAGCACGTTAGCAGTCCCACAAGGCACTAGAGGTGGGGTCCAAATTCTCCCGGCATGTACAACACGGCGCATCTACCCGACTTTGGCAAGCCTGGTAAAGTAGGTGAACTGTGCAGATGGCTTGGCGACGGAGTGAGACTGAGGATTACGCAAAGCAACCTCCCCCCTCGCAAGCGCGCAATAAGCCTGCGCTGATGGTCAAGATGGTGTTGGAGCTGCAGAAAGGATTGCCAACGGCGTGGGATATGACGCACTGGCCATCGGGCGTGTGACCAGCCACTCAGATTTAGGGAGATGAAACTGGCAGCTCATGGCGCCCGCCGCCCCGAAGCGACATCCAGCTTAGAGTTGGACGCCAACCCCGCCATTTTTGGTCGAAAGCGTCGCAGGGCCTAGAAATAGAGCAACAAGCAAAGCCCACATCTTGGACGGAGGCTGCATTTCTTGAAACTTGTCCCATCATCTCCTGTTCCTGATCTTGGACACTCGTCGAGCTCGTAGATCCCCCGAGCAGCGCTTCCCTGGGAAGGAAAAGACCTGTCGCATCGCTTGTCGGACTCAAACGATCAAAACACCCAATCAGACCAGGGATCATCCCCGGCCGGTTAACTCTGGGCCCTGGATCTCTCCCCCCAGCCCGCCAGCCAAAACCAGGAAATCTGCATGGTTGATCGCCGACGTCATTCAGCAGACACCAGGTTGCCCTGCCGTTGCATCGACACTTGTTTATCGCCTATTTCCCATCCTCACCAGTCCTGCCGCCCACTCCGGTTTGCGACGCGAGCCAGCCTCATTCTCCTGGGCAAAGGTTGTGAAAACCGGGCATCACCCCTGTAGACAAGAGAGCCGCTGGCTTTCATCTCCTGGTTTCCGGGTGCATTTCAATCTTTCATCTGTCGCAGCAGAACGCACGAAGGGTCTGAAGTTGCTTTCTGTGCTCCGTCCCCGGTCTCACGAACGATAGCAACTATAAGTTAAGCCACATATCACCCACCCGTCTCGCCTGCCGGCTCGGCGCAGAACCTGTCATCTTCAACTTTCCCAATCTCACTCCCACTCTTGTCTGAGTAAAAGTCCTACGAAGGCGCACCTCAATCCCCCCTTTGCGCTCTGCATCGCTGTCGCGAAGTACTTTCACAATGTTGTTCGCCGTGTTCTTCGCCTTTTGGCGATTTATGCAAATCATCACCTTGGTAAGTACCCGTCCGCCGTGCCATTGTGTTTCCAGAGGGCGACGTCGCGCGGTTTTCATGGCGCAACATTTGTGCTGGTGCTCGTGTATGTGTTTGTGCGACTAACATTGGTCTCCCCAGATCCCGACGATGGGCATGCTCGCCTGGTTCGTGAACGGCTACGTGAACCAGAACGCCCTCACCCCGAACTATATCCTCGTCATGTTCATTGTCTCGGTGCTGGGCCTCGCCTGGGCCATCTTCACCCTGTTCAGCTACCACCGGTCGTCGACAAATGCGCTCTTCGTCTCTCTGATCGACCTCGGCTTCGTCGGCGCCTTCATCGCCGCCGTCTGGTTCTTGCGCGACATCACCAACTACGACTGCGTAAATGTCTCCGCAACCAACGGCTTCGACGCCTACTTTGGCATTTTCGGCTCCGTCCACTCCAACTTCGGCATTGACACGACCTTCAACAAGACTTGCGCCATGCTCAAGGCGTGCTTCGCCTTTGGCATCATGAACTGCATCTTCTTCTTCTTCACGGCCGTTCTTGCCTGGTTCCACGGCGATCGCATGAGCAGCGCCGACCGCAAGTCCTACTACCGTGAGACGCACTACCACCGCCATGGACACCGTCGCAGCAGCCACAGCCCCCACAGCCGACGAAGCTCCCACCACTCGCACCGCCGGGTCTACGTCTAAGACACGATCTGAGGAATGGGAGGTGTGGTGTACGAACCTTGTGATGCACTTGGCGTTTGTTAGGATGAAGAGAGAGCTAGGGCATGAGATGCAAGCACTCCACAGGGATGTGCTGGAGGATCAAAGGGTATTATGGTTTCAAACTCGTATGAATAACGACTCTTGCGACGGCACTCTTGGATTTATAGCCAGTTCCGAGCGACTGCCTCCTTTCTGGGTTCATGTTTTGGTCTTGTCATGATCGTATATTTGGGAATGCACATGCTACTTAACCGAGCCTAGCTGGTCTGACCGGATCCGGCTGGGGAGAAGCATGTATGTGTTCTAGTTTCGCTTGAAAGGGTGCATGTTCTGGACGCCTAGAGATCACGGTTCATATAACATCAATAAATTATATAGAATCCCCAATTGGCTTCGTTCTAGCAAAATACGTGACGGAGTTTGTGGGCTTCCAGGTCAAGCTTCGGTTGTTACTGGAAGTATGCATTCTGGATTGGCACACAATTCATGCAATGTGCGACTGTGTTATGAAACATCAGGTGTTGGCTCACAAAACCCACGGGTGGGTCGAGAGCATCTACGCGATCTATGTTGCCACCGGAAGCATTTATGACCTGGAAGTATGTTGTATTTACGTAAGGGTTCCCTACTAGCAGCGAGGGAGGAACTTGCCAATGACTTTCTCCCACTAAAGGGAATAGAACGATCTTTCAACAGACAGAGCCAAAAACTTAGCAGAGTGTTACTGTACCCCCTGAATGTACATTCGCGGGCCATGCGGTGAAGAGGAGCCATACTCCCCCCCCTTGCCCAGACGACTGATCTCCCACCTTCACGGCATCTGGGCAAGAGAATTTCTTTATGTCTGCACCATGCCTCTGTAACCGCAGGTGACGTGACGATATTATAAGACTGCCAACAAGGAAAAGTCCATGACTTGTTTCTTCTCCTTGGAAGCCGTTTTCCTGTACCTATAATTCCTTGATTCCCATGACTTTATCCCATCTGCCGAGCGATTCATCTTCATGAGCACCATATTTGAAGGAAGCCCTCGGCAGAGCCTAGTTGAAGTTCAACGGTCTCCAACATAACCATCATTCTCAACACAAAGGGTTGCTACTTCTCACGTCTTCCCACTTCACCAAGCTTTGGCACCCGACCCGATTGACTCGCTCCCATATATTTGAATGCCATCGTGAGGGTTGGATAAATGTTGCCCACAAAGCGAATGTGGGAGCTGATACCAACGTCTAGGTCTGTACCAAGACAAACAGCTCAACAAGCTTCACATTGACAACTCTGCGCCGCCATATGGGAGCCACTATCTCAAGCCTTCCAAGCAACACGAAGGCGACAAATTGCTTAGCCAACTCAGACCCTCATCTAACAGGGTCGTGCCTCCCCCAAGAAAACTCTCCATCCGATTGTCTTGTCATCAACGCAAACTCAAGCAGAAACAATCGACCTGACATAGTAGCCCCAGCACCAAGCCTCTCTCATATTATTCAAAGGAACCCTAAGAAAAACTTTACCAACAATCGGCTCTTCCAACCCAATGCTTGTTGTAGAAGTTGGCTTCATCTGATTACAATAAAGGGACGTGATCCGCCGAGCTCTGTCTCTCTCATGCTTCTCACCTCTCACCGTTCCCTTTTGAACACTGTCACGCTCCCGCACGCCTCCTTCATCTCAATCTCTCCATCACACGGCAACTGAGAAGACGCGAAGGCTCTATCTCCATCGTTTCGTGCGAGTTCGAGCAGCCGAGCCATATTCTGGAGCTGGATCTCCCAGGATCTGTCTCGCGTTCCCATCTCAGGAAGGTCTCAAGTCACAGTACCCCGCCATTACCGGCGAACGTCAAGGTTTCAACAGCGGGCTCTTCCATTCCGTGACGCCTTCAGAGTCAAAGTGCAACGCCAATCTAAAGCCTGCAATTCCTCTAGACCCCAGGTACGTCGTGTGTCCCTCATTCCTAGTCGTCATTCTTCATACCCGTTGTCTCCCGCGGGGTTAGTCACGCGACATTTCGTTTAAGCAGTAGTTCACTCGGATCAGGTTTACTGACATCTGAATATAGGAGCGTTTTATTGTCTCGACTTTGGAATACCCTAACTCCTCACTGTCACCAAGCTCTCATCGAGATCGCAGCCATCGAAGATATTGGTCGTACTGTCTCAGTTTCTCCCAAAAGCGTCAAGTAAACCATTTCGCCATCATTGCCTGCCTCCCTCGCTCTTAGACCTGGGCCTTCGGATACCATTACTGTCTGTGTCCATTGAAGTGCCCGTTCTAGTGGTTCACCGCATTCATACCGCTCACAATGTCGACGCTAACGCCTGATAAGGCGGTCACGGCCAAGGAAGATGAGCTTGTCAAATCAATCAATGGAATGGAAGGCTTTCGTCTTGATGATGATCTGCCTTTCCGTGCCGGGCATGGCACGCTTGGAATCTCCACAACACTGCTCGCCAATTACGTCGAGATTCGTCCTGGAAATCAGAATAACCCACTGATTCTCTACTCCTATGGAATCGAGATCAAACCACAGCAGGAACGTGATCAGGTTCCCGTTGGAAGGGCGCGACAGCAAATCGTGCGATTGGCCTTCCACAGAAGCATGCCAGACAACCTTCAAAAGAACGCTTTCACCGACTATTCCGAGTTCGTTTACTTCCGCACCAAGCCCCGTACGGCTTCGAACACAGTCGCCGTTGAATACCAGGATGAAAATGAGACGGAGCCTCGGCCCAACCCGAAGAGATATAATGTCATGTTCAACTTCACCAAGACTATATCAATACAAGACTTGGTCTCTTCTGTCTCCTGTACCAACCCCTCGGACCCGTCATTCCGCATTGCCAAGGGTCCTCTCCTCCAAGTGCTGAACACTTTCCTCAACCACCACGCTCGACTCAATTACAAATCACTACGACAGATAGGAGGGAACAGAACATTTTTGATCAACAACGCAGCGGAATGCCTAGATCTCGCTGGCGGTCTTGTCTTAATGCTCGGCTTCATTGGCACTGTGAGAGCAGCCACCAACAGAATTCTGGTCAACGTTCAAGTTAAACATGGCGTTTTCTACCAAGACGGGCAGCTAGGTCAACTCATGTCAGCCTTCACCGCGAAAGTCAACAACATAGCATTGCTCGGAAAGTTCTTGCGCAGAGTCCGTGTTCTTACCACCCATATTCTGGGGAAGAGCGGCAAACAGGTAGAACGCATCCACACAATCGCTGGCTTAGCCACGTTGGATGACGGAAAGACAGGGAATCACAAAATGGCCCAGCCACCGAGAGTTCCAAAGCTCGGTGCTGGCCCGAAAGATGTCTCCTTCTGGCTCAGCGACGATAACGGAGGCCGCTATATTTCCGTCTACGATTTCTTCAAGATGAGATACGGGATCACGCTAAGCCAATGCGATCTGCCTGTCGTCAACGTCAAGTCCAAGCGGAACCCAACTTACCTACCTGCTGAGCTTTGTCGGGTCATCCGCGGGCAACCGGCCATGAAGAAGCTTAGTTCATCCCAGACACAGACAATGATCCGGTATGCAGTAAAGAAGCCCCAGATAAACCAGAGATCCATCCTGAGTCACGGCCTGAAGATTATTGGCCTCGATCCAAAAACTAATCCTAAACTTGGGTCGTTCGGCATCCAAGTCAATCCGAAATTGGTGCCAGTTCAAGGTCGGATCTTGCAGGCGCCCAAGGTGCTTTACCAAGGCCAAAAGGCAGCAACACTCTCCAAGGCCAGAGCATGGAACCTATCAGGCTTCAGATTTCAACAACCCGGAGAACTATCTCAGTGGGCGTGGATGCTGGTCTCAGTCCCCGGTTTCACGCACAGTGAGGACCTGGGATATTTTGAACCCCACATTCGAAGGTTCCGGCGCTCAGTAGCAAGTACTGGTATCGTGATGTCGGAACCTGCTGCCAATAAACACGTGCGTCTTCACAGTGTGGATGACCCTGAGCTTGATGGTGTCATAAAGCGTGCTGCAGGCCGCTATCAGATGCTGTTCGTCATCCTTCCCAAGAAGAACTCAATCTACAAGCGGATCAAACATTTGGGAGACGTCAAGTATGGTATTGTAACATGCCACATGGTTGCAGATAGTCTGGTAACCAAGGGCAATCAATACTGCGCCAATGTCGCAGCGAAGGTCAACCTCAAACTTACAGGTAAGAAACATTACTCTTGTCTCCTTTCATCGGGATTAACATATCGCATAGGTAGGAACCAGGAAGTCGAGAGAACTCGACTGCCTATCGTTTCTGATGGCTGTACAATGATAATCGGCGCCGATGTAACACACCCAACCGCTGGCATCTCCCAAGATTCAGCGCCGAGTATCGCTGCCCTGGTCTCCAACATCGATGCAAAGCTTGCGCAGTGGCCAGCAGCGCTATCTGTTCAGGATGAAGCGCGCGAAGAGATGATCAGTGGTCTCAAGGCAATGCTCGTTTCGCGATTACAGAGCTGGGTGGCAACGAACAAGCAGCACCCACAGAACATCATCTACTACCGAGATGGCGTTTCGGAGGGCCAGTACGAGCTGGTCATCAGCCACGAATTGGCTCTGCTGCGCGAGGCTTGCAAGGAGATCTACCCTCCAGAAGCCACGAAGAAGGATTTCCCTCGCATCTCCATCATCATTGGGGGCAAGAGACACCACTCCCGTTTCTACCCGACGCAGGCAAAGCATACTGACAAGAACAACCCTTTGCCCGGCACCGTGGTAGACCGGGGCGTTTTACCGGCCGAGCGCTGGAGTTTCTTCGCGCTGCCGCACTCGGCGCTGCAAGGCACCGCCCGCCCGACTCACTACACCGTCATACACGACGAGGTTTTCCGCACCGCCTTCCGAGAGAATGAGAAGCTGAGACAGGTGTACAAGAACGCGGCAGACCTTGTCGAGGATCTCACCCACAGCCTGTCCTATACCTACGGAAGAGCGACCCTGCCGGTGAGCCTCTGCACGCCGATATACTACGCACATCTCGCTTGCGAGCGAGCGCGCTGTTACCTGAGCAACCTCTACGACACAAGCCCTGACGTTTCCGTCGACGGCAGCAGTGCCCAGGGACAGACGCCACTTATCGACATGAACGCAGAGACCAAGCTCCATGGCAGGCTCAAGGACATCATGTTCTACATCTAAACTCAGAACCAGCAACACTGGTGAGCACCACCATGTCCCGCGTGGCGCGCCTGCGAGATTTTCCTGTACGCACTTTCGTTATCCTCTTTTGATTTTGAAGTGGCCACACTGGAGAGGCTCCGACGTCCGTTATGACTGACGCCAGTTATGCCCTCTCACACGAGCACACCCCAGCAACGAATCATGATTTGAGTTTGCAGCCATCAGTTCCCAGGGCGATGATTCCATTGGGCATGGCTGAGATTACTCATGGTTCTCATTCTGAGATCATGATGACCTCCGAGATTTCCTTTGCGACTACGCCTCAGGGGTGGCGGCTCTAGGAAAGCCTAGAGCTACGAGGGGAGTAGCCTCCGATATGCATTGATTCTCCTACGAGGGCCTGTGGAGGGGAGGAAAGGGGCCTTTTCCGTGGCTATGTTCGTACTGGTTTCAGGAACGGCTTCCGACAGCCGAAATTTGCTGTGGCATTGATGACAATGGATTCCTAGACTTGATAGTCGATAGACTTTGCATTGACAATAGACTGTGCTTCGATTTGCTTTTGCATATATTTAGACCTCTGAGCTGTACAGTAGGCCAGAGCGAGTCCGTGACCTACTTCTCCTCATGTAACGGAGTACATGATCCTGTGCCACATCTGTCTACATCAGACATTTATATTGTTGTTAGGAATGTGGAGAACTTTAAACTACTTCGCCAGTCCGTGTAGCCCGAAGCCCCAAGTACGATATATGTATGCATGGCATGTCGAAGGATACCAGAAAGCGAATGCGGTTGTGCGTCGTACTCTCATTCCCCGACCAACAGGTTCCCGTGATTATTCGGGGTTAAAGCCATATGCCAGAGCTGACTGTTCGGCTCCATGTATAATAGGTTGAAGAAGCTAAAGTGAGCAGCATCTCCACCCTCATGGTCATCGAGTCTACTTGCAGCCGACTGAGAGAGATAAGATATAACTTAGTATACACTGCAAACATCGATCATTCTTTAAATTGTAGCACGATCTCAGATGTCTTCTGTTTGACATGGTTCACACAGAACAGCAGCCAAATATTCAGAGACCCATTACCCTTGACAGTATCTCAGTGCCATCTCTAGCCTGTAAGTCTAACCAAACGGACACCCGCCCATGCCCTTGGCCTGCATCCTCTCAAAGTCCTTCTTCATCTCCTCGGCGCCCTGGCCCATGCGGTTCAGGGGCCCCAGGTCCGTGAAGGTGAAGCCCTTGGGCAGGTGCTCCTCGGGCTCCTCGCCGGGCAGCTTGCCGCCAGCCAGCCACACGGCCCAGGCGCCCGGGCCCCAGCGGTTCCACAGCGTCGGCTTGATGTAGAACGGGTAGTTCCCGTAGGACCAGTTGATGTGCAGCGGCCGGTCGACCGCGTCCGTGTCCTCTTGGTGGCGCTTCAGCCGGACGACGCGCGGGAGCGAGAGGTGCCGCAGGAACAAACGCCGCAGCCACAGGCTGCTATATATGAAAGTGGCGGCAGCAATGCCGGGTTCGGGAAGACTGGGGTGATGTTAGAGTTCAGGAGCTGATAGTAGGTAGTGGAGCCGGGCAGGGGGTTGCTGAACTTTGATAGCGGTGGATCGTGAAGATACAGACGGGCACGAAATGTGGCTGGCTGCGTATGCCAGAAAGGACCCACAACGGGAAAGCAATATAAACTTACAGGAAGGCCTCTCGCACGCGATCTCCTAGTAAAACGTGAACACACTCCTGCGTGAAGCTCTGCGCCCAGCGCGGGACCCAATAGGTGATCATGGGGATCAGCGCGACGGCGGGCTTGTTGCTGATCGGGCTGGGCTTGAAGGCGACGACCTCATAGGCCTTGGCCCACTGGGCTACGTCGAGGGCAAAGTCCAGGCCGTCGGCCCACTCGGTCTTGGCCAGGAAGCCCTCGTACTGGATGCCCATGGCGTCGCCGATGGACTTCCAGAAGACGCCGTAGGCGCAGTGCTCCATGTCGTTGAGGGGCCGCCAGTCGTAGAGGCGGGCGAAGCGCACGGGCTCCGTGATGAAGACGGACAGCGTGTACAGCAGGTCGGCGTTGGAGATCTGGCCCGACTGGATGTACTTGCTGTGCAGCCAGTTCATGCGGGCGACCGAGGTGGTGGCGCGCGCCGAGTTGGGCGGGTTGGCCATGAACTCGCCGATGATGATGCCCGTGTCCTCGTACCGCTTGCGGCTGGCCACGGGGTCCGTGAGGTTGCGGGTGCCCAGCAGCAGGCGGCTGATGGTCTCGACGCCGTACGTCTTGAAGAGCCCGAACTGCAGGCTCGTCTCCGACATCTGCGGGAACTCGAGGCTCGCCAGCTCCTTGATGATCTTCTGCGCGTCCTCGACCGTCATCTTGCGCAGGCTCGCCCTATCCGGAAACCCATACCGCCGCCGCATGCTCTTCTCCCGCTGGAAGCGGAGGGCTTGGCACAGGGCCAGGTAGACCACCCCCACGGATACGGCGTATGTCTTCCATGATGCACCGCTCGCCTTGGCGAATAGTGGTGACGCGAGGAGGGAAGACAGGGTAGTCTCTAACGAGGAGGGCAGCGAAAGAGAAGAAAGGAAAGACGTGGGTGAGGGGATCGATGTCAGGGTCGACGTTACGTTGGCCATCATGACAACGATGAGACCTGGATATCTGACAGGGACAGTGGGTGCTGTGCAGCGATGAGGAGAAAGAGAGCGAGAGAGAAAGCAGTATATCAAAGAGCCGGCCAAAAGCAACTGCAACGCCCAGCGAGTGCACGGCTCTGCCTCACCAGCCAAGGGGTCGTCCGACTAGATGCTGAGGGGGCTTCGAGAATAGTCGGTCAACACCTGTGTGATATATCGCGGTTGTATTTTCTTGGAGTTGGGAGATGCCCCATTTATCACCAGCAAACGAGGAAAATCGAATTTGCAGAGGTATCGCCTGCGGTCGGTCGATTTTTGGAAAGATCTCCATACATCCATCCAGTGCAATACCGGGGCCCTTCCTCAATTGGCCGGCCCTATGGTCCGTTCTCAGATGCCAAGGCGTAGGGTCGTCTTTAGGTCATGCGATTGTCTCTCTGACTGTGAGCCCTGACACGAACAAGACTACTCATGTAGGAGGGGAGTGTATTGTGCAGATTACGCACCTCAAGCTAAGAACCAATCATGGGGTCCCGTCTCTGGGCGGGATGGAATCAATGTTCACGTAACCAGTAACCAGGCGGCCTGGTATTGAGTGGTGCTGCATGAAGTCGCCGAGACAGCGAACAGGACCGGACATACCAGTCTAGCAAGCCTGTAAGCTAAGGTACCCCATGGACATGTGGGGGGGATAGGGGGGAAGGGTAGAGGAAACGTGTGGACCTCGGCCGCAGTCAATGGCGGGGCCGGACGATGGCAGGACCCCGAACGGGAGGGCTTGCCTTGGCGTGTAAGACGACCGCCAGTCACTTGCTAGTATAGCCAACCCCGCATGGATGTCCCCTAGGTGCGTCGAAGAGTAGACTTGGTTTGCATTCTCGTTCTATAGAAATATGCCGAAGCCCACGGTTCAACCCTGAAACGTGTGTATAGGATCAGACAGAGAGCTATCTTTGCCCAAGGTCCTGACCTACGTCCTTGCCCTGGGAGGTCTTGTTAGTAGTCCCTGGACAACAAAACCTGTCCGAGAATGGCATAGCATTCCTCAGCGACGACCGTGGTGCATGCATACCATGTACTACATCCATGAAGCAATTCGATGTAACTGAAGGGATATATTATTTCTTTACTTCGTTGCTAGCAAGTGACCATGCTTTACGCTATGCTGCCTTGGCCTTCTGTCTACGTCTATTTCTCCAAGCCTTGAGCTCGTTTAGTAGCCCCATGACGAGGGGCACCCCAACTGGGCCTAGCAATGGCAGGTAGACGGCGATCTTGTGCTCGTCTGGGAAATACAACTGCCCGACCATGCTCTTCTCGAAGAACGCACGCTCGGCCTCGGCCTCGGCAATCTGCGCGTGCTCCAGGCTTTCGGGGTTGCCCAAGCTGGCACAAGCCAACTCTAGGTGGTGCATCGACTTGGCTACTCCGTCGGCGACGCTGGAGGGGATAGAAATGCTCTTCAGGGCGAGCGAAAGCCGTGCCAGAGAGCCGAGTGACGACGAAGCCCGCAGCAGTAGGTCTGCAGATCGAACACGGGTTAAGGTTGACAGGCGCAGGGGCAGCGAGCCAGACTGCGGGGTACCGAGGAGGGAGAGAAGATGCGACGTGAACGTGAGGATGGGCTGCTTCAACGTGTCCGAGGCAACGTGGACTGATGAGGGGGGCGCTAGAAGGTAGACAGAGCCCCATTGTGGGATCAGCCAGGACTGGGATGTCTCGGCGGCTTCAGTGCCTATCGTCTGGTTGCCGATATACACGACGAAATTGACCGTAGGCGCGCCGCCAATCGAGGGCGACAGGGGCCACTCGGCGGCGTTGATGAATGCCGACAGATCCTCCTTGCTGAGCACCTGTGACTGGACGCCTGGCGCAGCATACAGCTGTACCTGCGTGTCGAGGGTAAAGTTGTGGATGGGCGCAAGCATGTCCAGTACCGGCCTCATGTACTGGTCAATGGCCGACTCAATGTCCCAGCTGCTCGGTGACGGGCCATTGGTGAAGAGCGAGAAGGTCAGGTGATACGTCCTCGCGTACTTCAGCGACCGTGTAACCCGCTTCGACAAGGTCTGCGCCACATCTTGTGAGACAGACTTGGAGCGTTGCTCCTGGTGTGCCGTCGAGGACTCGAGAAGGTAGTTTATAATGTTCTGCTCCTCGGCGAAGTTGGAGCGCAGTTGTGCTGCGATATACGTGGCCAGCCCCGACGAAGAGGACATGGGGGTTGGGATCGAGTTCGGAGGATACGAGACATCGAGAATGGGTAAGTGCGGGTGCAGAGACGATGTTGCCGTGTGTACAGACTCGCCAGGAGTGAGCCGGATGGTGAGCGCAACATCAGAGCCCTGCTTGGCCTCCTTCTGGGCGAGCTGAAGTCGCAGGTGGTGGGCAGGGAAATCGTTCAGGTCGTCGAGCGCGTGCTGGGTCAGGCGCAGCAGATTCTCGGCCTCCTGGTCCTGCAGCGAGCCCGGATCCAGTGAGATGCGTAGTGGGAAGACTGGCCGACACGCCTAGCCGGTGGTTTACTGTTAGCCACCCGTGTCTGAGTGTTCCCGCGTGTGGTCCCTTTCGCCAGCTTCGGGCTAGGTGTTCTTCTTACCTTGCCATCCGACCACTCCAACATGCGGTCCAAAGGCAGGTTCGCCCTGTAAATGCTCGTAGTATGCCACCATATCGGCAGTCCAAGGAAAAGTACAATAATCCAGAAGGACGCAACCACCCATGACCGGCGTCTCGTGTCGGAGGGTTTCTCAGGGGGAGGCTCCTTTCGGGTCGCGCCTACGGCCGGCTCGGGTGCTGTTGGGGCATTGTCGGCGGATGCAGTTACCGCCTCCTTCCTCAGAGTCAAGTCTGAGGCGCCGCCAGTGTCAACGGCAGTAGACATGGCGTGTGCAGTGGGCAATGCTCGAAAGCATCGTTGGGGGCGCCCGTACCAGAAGATGCGAAATGGCCAGCTCAGATGCTCACCCACTGCCAGTGATGTAAGCGAGATAAGACTCGCTTCGGGTTAGCACGCACGTGGTGATAAGGAGCGGCCCCAGGGTCTGGGGCCCACGCTGCCAGGGGCTCTCAGGGACGCTGTGGATTTAACTCAGCGCTGTCTTTGGTCGCTAACTAACCGAGCTACACAGAGGACGGTGTACAGTGATGCGGTGCCAAGTCGCAGAATGCATTCAGCTTCAGACGCCAACCGAACGCAGGATACGCTTCAAGGCTGCTGCCAGCAGAAAGTAAATTTCCCATTCGCCTTCCAAATTAACCCTAGACTTGGGCCGGTTAGACGTGGCATCGTGCATTCTGCAGCCGAATATGACGAAGAATCTCAGCCATCGTGGTGAGAAAGATGGTCTTCGTTGATGGGCCATCTACTACGTGCGCCTGAGAACTATTAATGTTCCAAAACAACTACCCGGCTTGATATAGCAATTGCAGGCTTACCGCAAGGCGTTGCTGCCCTGTAAATGGGTCAAGGTTCTCTGCATCCTTTGACAGGCAGGACGGGTCCCTTCGTGCTACCCTCCTACTATCCGAGTTATTAATTACATTCTGGATCTACATAGTACACGGTAGGGCAGGTGTCTTTGCCATGGTTCCCACATGGCGTCGCTACAGGACTACAAGGTCGCCATGCGCCGAAGAGCCTTCAATGCTACTGGCGCTCGGAGGGTATGGACCGGTCCCCGATGCAACCACGTCTTGTGGAAGATAGATGGGGTTACCTTATGCTTATGACATCGTGATCGACTTGGAGTGTGCAAGCGAGCGCGTAACATCCTACGGTGTAAAAGTGATGAATGACCTGCGCTGTTTCTGCCGCTGATGTTTCACGTCCTGTGTTATGTATGATAGCCGTCTACTCTAGTTGTACAGGGCCTGCTGAGGGAGCCACGCCTCGCTCGCTCGCTCAGAGGAACCGAGCTGACCAGCGATTGCTATGCTGGTGGGACGTCGAGAGAGGCATAAGCCGTCGCCATGAAAATGCGACTTGCTTCTCCCAAGGACCCTTGCAGGCCAGAACCGTCTTCCTCTTGTCGCTGGTCCCTTCAGCTGCTGCAAGCCGAGGTACAGCGCAGGATAGCGGTGCTCGGAAACTGCATGGTCGAACGCCCCCTCTCAGCTCGTCCCCAGTGCCGCTCCGCGAACCAGCGGAAGCCAGCCAGCCAGCCAGCCAATGTGAACGACCGACCGCCTGTGTCTGAAGGAGGGGCCCTGGCGACCTGGGACATGGCGCCTCCATTCATGTCGACGGAATCCTCGTGTCAATTTCCCGACATGGCCAAGCTCCCCTGTTGACGAGTTGAGCCATCTCATGGCATCACACTCTTGCTGCTTCATCGCGTCCAGGGATGGCCCCCGCTTTGGAAGCTCGACAAGGCGGGAGACCAGGAGAAAAGTGGCTTCCATTTATTAGGGTGAATTTCTTCAACAGACCCATCCTTCCGGGAAGCGAGTCTGCACAGGCGGGTACGACCGCCGAGGATCCCGCTTCGCATTTCCACTTGAAGATCCAACGTCGCAACTCGGTCTTTCGTTCTTTGATCTTGACTCTTCTTGGCGCAATTGGCATGGCCCCTCTCGCCTCAGCAGCTAGTTAAACCACCTGAGACTACCTAACTTATCTTCTTTAAGTACCGTAGGCGTCCCCGTCCGCCCGGGCCTCACGGAGCTCATCCTAGAATACCCGGTCTCAGTTGAAATAGGTTGTCGAGTTACATCATGGTTTACTAAAGCTGCCATCATAGCATGCGCTCACCTCCAAATCACCCAACACTGTTGCCAACGTCCCTGAACACGCCACAAATGAAGAATACACCTGGTTGATCTGGGACACAAACATATCTTTTCATAAATAATAATAATAATGCCCGGTAAGCCTTCATTGCGCTTCATCATGCTGCAAACCCACTAGTGAGATCTGAGATGCATTTTTAGTCAATTACTGACGGACCATTCCCCCGAAACAGTCCCTCTAGCGGTGGCCTTACCGGCCGCTGCTGCCGGCCTGGCATATCTCAATGTCAAGTCGGCGTTCTGGTATGACTATACACTCCTTCGCGGCATCGCCCGTGCCGCCTGGAATCAAGACAGGCGCGAGAAAGGCGACAGGCACAACACCTTCTACAGGCTGGAGAACAGGGCGGCGGACAAGTCATATGCCAATCGGGTCTTTCTCCTGTTCGAGGATCGGGCGTGGACCTATGCGCAGTGCTACGATATGGTCTTGAGGTATGGCAACTGGCTGAAGTCCAAGTATCATCTCAAGAAAGGGGACGTGGTGGCGATGGACATGCAGAACTCGGACCATTACGTTTTCGTTTGCTTTGGTCTCTGGTCCATTGGGGCGAAGCCGGCATTCATCAACTACAACCTCACGGGGCAGGCCTTGACGCACTGTGTGCAAGCTGCTGGGGCTGTCTTGATGCTGGTCGATGCCGAGTTGGGAGGAAATATCGACGAGAGTGTCCGGACGACATTAAAAGGTCTTCCAATCGATGTTCTGACGACAGAGCTGCAGGCCGAGGTCCTGGCGACGACACCCGAGCGGCCCCCGGATTCCCTGCGCCAGGGCGACCTGGCACATGACATGGCTATCCTCATCTATACCTCTGGGACCACAGGGCTGCCGAAAGCTGCCATTATTCCCTGGGCCCGCTTGACGCTGGCTGGGAATTTCCTCACAGGGTGGTTGAACACCAAAACAACAGACGTATTCTATACAGTAAGTCAAGTCCCGCGAGGCAGATTTGAGTACGTGCTTATGAGAATAGCCCATGCCGCTCTACCATAGTTCGGCGTCCATCATGGGACTCGCGCACATCCTAGAGGCCGGTGCCACATTTGCGATAGGGAAGAAGTTCTCAACAAGGATGTTCTGGAAGGATGTGCGGCGCTTCGACGCGACCATAATCCAGTACGTCGGTGAGACGCTGCGATATCTGTTGACGGCACCACCGGAAATCGATCCGGCGACGGGCGAAAACCTCGATACCAAGCATCGAGTCCACTCGGCTTTCGGCAACGGGCTGCGGCCCGACGTGTGGGAAAAATTCCGGGAGCGGTTCGGCATCGAGAAAATCTCCGAGTTCTACGGCGCAACCGAGGGGTTCCTCGCCACGTGGAACACCACGCGCAACAGCTACGCCGCGGGCGCCATCGGGAGGAACGGCTGGATCTACGGGCTTATGATGAAGCAGAAGATGGCCATCATCGACGTCGACCAGGACTCGCACGTGGTGAGGAGGGACCCTAAGACGGGGCTCGGCCGCGAGGTGCCCCGCGGCGAGCCCGGCGAGCTCATGTACGTCATCACGGACACGAGCGACCCGAGGACGCAGTTCCAGGGCTACTACAACAACCAGGAGGCGACCAACAGCAAGATGGTCCGCGATGTGCTGAAGAAGGGCGACGCGTATTTCCGGTCGGGCGACCTGGTCAGCTGGGACAAGGAGGGACGCATGTACTTCCACGACCGCATGGGCGACACGTTCCGGTGGAAGAGCGAGAACGTGGCGACAACCGAGGTCTCGCAGATGCTGGGCCTGCACCCCAGCGTGCATGAGGCCAACGTGTATGGCGTGCAACTGCCGAACCACGACGGCCGCGCCGGATGCGTAGCGATTGTGCTCGAGGGGGAGCCGAACGCGGCCGTCATGTCGAGTCTCGCGAAGCACGCGAGGGAGACGCTGCCCAAGTACGCGGTGCCCATATTCCTGAGGGTAGTCAAGGATGTCGGCACGTCGATCACGGGCACCAACAAGCAGCAGAAACACGACTTGCGGGTGCAGGGCGTCGACCCGGGCAAGGTGGGCAGCGATGAGATGTGGTGGCTCAAGGGAGACACGTACGTCAAGTTCAGCCAGAAAGACTGGCATGAGCTGAACGGCGGCCGGGTCAAGCTATGACGACCTTTGTACATGTCGGGTTGTCGGTGAGTGCGGCTCTCAAGTGCTGCTTAATCGGTCGGGGCTGTTTATATGGGTATCAATGTATATATATGCCCTCATATTCGAGAACAAAGGAGGAGGTTACATATATGCTACCTACGTATGTAGATAGAGAAGCACTGGTTCGAACAAGAAAGAGGTTTGGTGTGATGGCAGTTGAATCCCCAGGGCCTGGCTCCGGTGCTTTACAGCACACATGACAACGTTATACCCAGTTTTATAGTCTTATATCTTGACCGAACCAAAGTCATGATTGGCCTGTCCTCAACGGATAGTAGCGCTTACATATGTCGGTAAGGCGATTCGACCTGGTTGGACATCAGCGGGCGCCTAGCAATAAGCTAGCTCCACCTCGACAGGGACCGTAGACCCCTAAAATTTCAGAAATCTCTGCCCCGCGATGCCCCGCCATCCACCAGATACTGTCGAGCCCCTCCATGACCATTCGGTTGGCACCAAGCTATAGCCCCAGAGGAGGGAAAAGATTTCACGAGACGAGCCATCCGTGCGTAATCCTCCCACAAAGCGCAAATTTCAGACCAGAAGAAGACTATCAGAAGAAGTCAGGCCTCCAAAGGCTTCCTCAGTCGTGCAACGCCGCAATGGCGTCCACCCTCAGCGCAGCGCCCGTCCTGTCGACGCCCGCCGAGCACACCTTCTTTGAAGACCCGACGGTATCTTCGGCGACGCCCGCCGCCGACCGGCCCGCGAGGAGCGACGATGAGCTGCACCACACCTACGAGATCGCGCGCACGGCCGCCGAGATCGCCCAGAGGCGTTGGAGGCGCGTGGCGCTGCAGTTCCCGGACGCCATGCTGGGCGATGCCGGCTGGGTCGTCGGCGCGCTGGAGCGGGAGTTGAGGGCGTTGGGTTTAGACCTGAGCTCCTGTGCGGACGAGAAGAAGGAGCAGGCCGGTGAACTGGAGACGGATTTCAACGCAAAGACGGCACCGGAGCCCAGCAGGGCGGAAGAGGCGGGAAAGAAAGAGAAGAGCATACCGAGGATATATGTCTTAGCCGACACATCATACAGTGCGTGCTGTGTTGACGAGATCGCGGCCGAGCATGCTGATGCCGATGCGGTGGTGCACTACGGGAGGGCTTGCTTGAGTCCCCCATCAAGGCTACCGGTTTTCCACGTCTTCACGAGGCAGGAACTCGACTACGATGCCGTCGTGGAAGCCTTCGAAAAAGAGTTCGGTGATGACAGGGAGCAGAAAGTGGTTGTTATGGCAGACGTCATGTTTCAGGAGCACGTGTCACCGTTTTGCGATAGGCTTAAGGAAAGAGGGTGGAATATGGCCAAGGCGACAGAGATCGTACGGGATCCAAGTGCGACGATACCAAACAGGCGGCTTATAGACCCAAACACGGCATCGGACTGTTCCCCTGAGCAACCGCCACCCGATGACGCCGACGACAAGACCGACCTGCAGGACTACCACCTCTTCCACATCTCAAGCCCGCCGATGGCTCTGCTTCTCACCTTGTCCTCCCGGCTTGCGTCTCTCCGAATATACCCAACACCCGCATCGCCCTACACCACGGCTACAACCTCTCCTCCAGACCCATCAAGGACACCGGGACTTCTGCGTCGGCGATACGGACTAGTGATGCGGTTGGCCACGGCCTCGATCATCGGTATCCTCGTCAATACCCTCTCGGTTCAGAACTACCTCTCCACCATAGACCGGCTCCGAGACGCCATTGCTGCGGCGGGGAAGAAGAGCTACACCATTGTGGTCGGGAAGCTGAATGCCGCAAAGTTGGCCAATTTTTCCGAGATTGACGGCTGGGTCGTGGTTGGATGCTGGGAGAGCGGACTGGTGGAGCAGGAGGATATGTGGAAGCCTGTCATCACCCCCTTTGAGCTCGAGATGGCCCTTGTGGGTGACGACAAGAGGATTTGGGACGGAAGGTGGTGGGGTGGTATTGAGGGGGTTGGTGGGGATGACAAGAAGGAGGGCGAGGAAGAAGCCGAGGAGCCTACGATCGACAAGTCTCACGAAGAAGTCAGGGAGGAGGTCGAAGGCGGAGTCTCAGACGAAGAGTCGGAGCCCCCGGAGTTCGACTTCCGGACCGGCAAGCTGGTCAGCAACAGTCGACCGATGCGTATGGCCATCCGGAAGAACCCCGCGGCTGCAAACGGTCCAACTGGGGAAAGTAGTACACCGTCCGGGTCTGCATCGTCGAAGCAGCCCTCAGCTGCCCTCGTGCAAAGGAAGGCGGGTGAGATCGCCATGGTCAACGGTGTTGTCAGTCCCGGTGCTCAGTACCTGATCTCGCAGAGGACCTGGCAAGGCCTCGGCAGCGACTTTAACAATGTGGACGACGAGGAGAAGGAGTATGAGGAAAGCACCGTCGTGGAAGAGGGCAGGAGTGGTGTCGCCAGGGGTTACACCGTTGGGCAAGACAACGGGCGGACTTGATCAAAGTTGGAATCCATCAGGAGTCCACGATCTCTTATCGGCAAGACCGCCCCATCATGAAGAGAATTTCGATAATGGGTCCCCATGCTGCATGCTTCTGCGAGGCCAGTATCGGTCTTTTCTCAAGAAGCGTAGGGCCTGAGGGAAAGCCTTGTAACACTTCGGGGACGCGCCCACAGTCATGTAGTATGCCGCGGCTCAGCCACCAATCACGTTTTGTGTCGCAAATCCCCCATGGACCCGTCTGTTGTGCCACTTCAGCTCTAGGTCGCAGCTTACTGGCCTTGCTATGCGAGGGCATCGTACTAGTCAGGATTTGGCAGAAATTGGTAAGATTCTTATGGTGCCTCCAACTGCCTCTGGCTTGTGCTTTGGGAATACGGAAAACTCAGAGGAAAACTGGCTAGCTAGGATGCGTGGCGGTGGGCTGAACACCCCCAAGGTACCTAAGATAGGCTTACATGTGAGACACTTTATGATATCCACAAGCGCAAGATAAAGACTCAAAATGAGACCTACAGTTGCTGGCGTCCCCGAACAGACTATCAGCCGAATCCATGGCTCACCTTTGGATATGTTTTGCTTTATTTCTGCTATGTGAAGGGGGCTGCACTCTCCCTTATCGCCGATATACTCCTAAAGAGACATAAAGCGCCGAGACTCAAGCACCGTGCAAGGCCCGTAGGGCAAATGGTGCAAGCTATCTTGCCCTTTAGATGAATTTTTATCCCGAAAACCCACAGGGGCGGTAAACGCCGTTCCACTACGATTCACTCAGCACTTGCCACTGACACAGGGATATCGCCAATAAATAGGGTCATCGGAGCTAAGGCAACGACCCTCAGCTACCCCTGGCAAAGTTATATACTAAACGCGAGACCATGTCTTTTCAGGCAGCAGAAGGAGCATATATATACCCTAAGAAGTTCTTTGCTCCTGTTTAGAGAGCACTCTCCCTATAAGCTTGCTACTCACATCACGTTTATCACCTACCCTCATACACCACGTCCACAAAAGGAAATGTCTCCCGCAACCCCAGGCGTCCTCATAAACGTCCTGTACCCGGCCTCAGCCGCCTCGGGCTTTGGCTTGGACTACTATCTCCGCACGCACATGCCACTGGTGGACAAGCACTGGCGGCCGCACGGCCTGCTGGGCTGGACTGTCGCCGTCATGGATGGCAGCAACGTCCGGTTACCATGTACAGGCCATCATGACGTTTGAGGATCTCGAGGCGTTCGAAAGTGTCATGGAAATGGGGGAAATTATGGCTGACATCAATAACTTGACCAGTGCTAGGCCGGTGCGGTGGGTTGGCAAGGTGGTTGGCGAGGGGAGCTAGATGGAGGTGGTAGGCCTTGCGCCTGGATGGAAACGACGGTAATACAACCGGTCTTAAAGAATCTTTCCGCCAGAACCCCCAAGTAGGCGGCCCTGAAGAAGATTCGTAGGCGCCGTGTCGCATCCCTGAAAGATTACAGACAGGTCCCATTATCATTGAAGTCATGTTAGTGTGACGTTGCATGCGGAATATCATGGTGATGCAGTGCGACGTTTCTAAGTCAAGACGGGACCAAATGTAGTCTACGGAGACTTTCTCCCTTTATTACCTCAGTCATTTCCCTAATGCCACATGAACATGCGTCCGTCACGATACCAGAGAAACCAGTTGCCTCCTTCCTCCTGTGTCCATATAATACACGTTTGCCCGGCGTCCGCCGGCTGAACCGCCACTCGAAACCAGATGCATGCCATGCATCTTTCACACACTATCCAAACCCGTTTTCTTCGCATGTTCATGCAGGATCTTGTTCTGAAAGTCTGTCAGAATTAGTTGGGGTCGACCGGGCACCCATCGCACTCCTCCGCCTGCCAGAATGGAGTTGCATCCAAATCCTTGGTGGCCGGCAGCGCAGAATAGTACCAAACCACGGATTCTGTTCAAGATGGTGGCAACAGGATCTCTAACGGTTCTCGGGTCCGGAACCGGCCACAGGCCACAATCCGAAAGCGATTGAAGGAGCGACCCAAGAAGCAACTTGTTACACTCGCCGACCATCTGATAAGGATATCTTGCGCGACATGCGATGCCATTCGCAGGTGATCGAGCGCGCGTAATGAGGCAGTCAACCGAATCTCGCAGTGGGTCCAACAGAGCTTGTAGGTACTGGAGGCGATGTCTACCGGTAGTTTCTGTTCGCAATCAGTACCTTTTCCAGACATCTGTAGAGCAGATGCGCTTACCGAGAAGACGAGATCGGGGAGCACAATGCGAACGAAGTTGATAGGGGTTGCTGAAAGTCCTAGGGATGCTTGGATCAAACGTTACAAGCAGGGGAAGTTCGGAGTAAGCTTTCTGGAAACCCCATGAATACCCAAGACTCCAGAAGATTTGCGAGAGATACCAGTTGTACACGTAGGGTTGATTCTCGAAATTCTGGCCCAGGCCCGTGAACTGTGTTGCCCAAGGGCGAAGAAGGTGCAATAGGTCATACTTGCGGCAAAGCGCGGTGAGATGGAATACTCCAACGAGTAGATGGCATTTCAACTCAGGGGCCTTGTCGAATTGACCGTGCATGATGTGGAGGGCTGCCGACCATGGGTCGACCTTGTCTTCAGGGAATTGAGCAATCCACTCTGCGCCGGTGGTATTCAATCTCTTCATGTTTTGGTGAATTATGTCCTTGAGAACAGCCGAATTCCCTGTAACTGTCGATGATCTAACTCGAAAAGCCGCGGCGCTAAGGCTGTGGTGATAGGCCGCGTTGTCGAGTCTCTGGCAGACGATGGTGCCGACGATGATGATCAGGTCTCCATCAACATCCAAGACAGTCTGCTCGGGAATGCAGTCTTCGTGACAGATGAATGAGTCAAGTTTGCGCTCGAGGCTCTGGTCGCATTCATCGACGCGACGGCGCAGACGCAGCTCGCGTGCCCGCTCATCTGGAGGTGGGACACTGCGCGCTCTCTTCACGGAGCCCATCGTGAACGAGTTGAGAGGTGTGATCAATGGGAATTATTTAGTGTGAACGAGGTGCTTGAAGAATGGAAAAGAGAAAAGTATGGATAAGAAAAAGAAGAAAAGCTCGATCAGAGCAAACCGTGTTTTTGTGACCCGCGGGGCGATGAGGTGAATGTACAGAAAAGCGGCCTTACCACCATAGCATAACCTGAGCAGACCGAGCAACGATTGCTGATAATGACTATCCTGATATTTGCTGATAATGACTATCCTGATATTTGCAGCTGATAGAAACCCGACTCAACCGCATTAAAACGTCTACATGGGTACAAACTTGATCGCATTTTGAGAAAGCCGCATTCGAGTACATCAGTAAAAGCTGCTTTAATTTGATCTGGTGGAACGTTGTTCGGTTACTAAAATGGAACCAGGTGAATAGATCTCTCAAATCGTAGAACCGCAGTTAAGGTTAGGACCTGAAAACTGCGATCTCGTCTTTTTGACAAGCAATGGTATTTCCTACTTTCTTGCCATACGATGCAAGGCTATCTAACATGGGCGTCTAGAATGACCAGAGCAGGTGAGAATTTAGGAACCCCAAAATTAAATTCTCGACTAATAGAAGCACTCAGACGTAGAAGTACGCAGCGGACCAGCTCATTTCACCGACATGGAAAGACGGTGGGCAAACGAGCTCTGAGATGTTTACAGCCACGTATTATTTTCTTCTTTCCCAAGGAAAGGTCTGACGTTATACCAGGATCATCACGATGTCGTACTTTGACGAGTGGCTTTTAGCGTTTCGTATGGGAAAGCGAAGTATAGGGTATCTCACTGTCAAGTTAATCAACAAATCATAAACGAATGCTCCGCTGGCCAGGCCCAGGTATGTCGGAAGAATCGGACAGAGACTACCACGGGCCAAGACATATTAGAAATAAAATGGTTTCTTCCAGACCACCATTACAAACTTCATTATGAATGCTTGCGGTAATATGGGGCAAAGTTCCCTGAAAAAGCCAAATAAATGTGACCTAGACACAATAAGGTGTCCTTCCATGATTACTCTGGTTAGATACTGTATAGCCGTGGAGCGATGTTATCTTCAAGTTCAATAAAGTAGCAAGCAACATTGATGTATTCACTGCGCATTCTACGTGCCTGAAATATCTTCATATCATCATGTTTCTGCACGATGGCCCCAGATTGTGAGTTCATTCGGAGGATAAATACAGTATGACATAACAGACCTGGATCAACAATCACATCATTGCAGACTCACACATGATATGTTCCGTTCCTCCCCCTTGACTTAACTTTCCTCCTTCTCCGCTCACCTTGTTTGATGTGCTTTACTGAAACGGAGAAAGCATCCAGCGATGCCAAAGCCGAACAATCCAACGAGGCCGCCCACGTTGACCGGATAGATTACGTATTTCTAGCACGATGAACTCTTTCGGGTTGCTACATTGATTTTGATTTTTCTGAAAAAGTAAGCGACAGAGGTGTCACAAACTCCCAACGAGACCAGTAAGCAATGGCATGAATCCCAACCATAGTGAGATGCTGTAGCCTACGTTCGACTTGGAGACGCTCACTGGCCCGGTGCTAGACGTCCCATTCTGACCTTTGCCAGTAGATGTACCATTGCGATTGCCTCCACCTTGCCGGCCCCCGGCAGTTGATGTTGAGGCATTGCCATTGGCTTGGAGACCATTGCTGCTTGCAGCAGCCACAAGCCCCTCGCTCTCCACCTTCTGTATAGCGGTCATCCAAATGTTGGCCATCTTGACGTAGCCAGCAGGAACGGCCGTGGCAGCCGCCTCAGCGATCTGCCGGATAACGAACCCTGACACAGCCTGGCATTCGTTGTTGGCAAAGTTTCCGTTTTTGTGCGTTCCCACGTAGGTCACAGTCGAGCCTTGCGCCACGAGCAGGTCTTGCAAATCCTTCCGATAACTATTTCCCGTGGTGGAACCAACACCAAAAGTCACGGAAGCCCCTATGGGCATGATACGCAAAGGAACTGTCGCATTTGCCCTTGTTATCAACGGGTCGGCCTCTCGTGTCTGGTGCGACGCGTCGGCTGGCGAAGCTGCGGCCACGCAGGCGAGCCACCCTTGAGCCACAGGTTTTGATCAGTTACTGATTCAGCGCGGGTGTCGCTAAGAGTTCGAGGCACTTACCAAGGATGGGGGATAAAAATGTTGTAGCGAGCATCCTAATTTCATCCGTCAAGACTGCTCAGCAGTCAGCTTGAAAGCGGCAATATTTCATTAGACATCGTCCGAGTCGGGTCAAGTAGCAAGGACAACGAGAGGCGGAACCAATGCCATAATGTACTCTTTTCCGCAGTAGTGGCCAGGTGTATCGTCTAATTAAGCTTTACGGCGTTTGATCGTCGCGATGTGCGAGGCAGGTTTCACCTTGCTTGAACTTTCGGCTGCCATGCGCCAGGGGCGCTGGTTGGCGAAGTCCATTTAAGTGACCGCCAACCAGCATTCGGAGGTTTGGGAATGATATAGACGAGCATCGCCCGGTCAGCAAAACTGCACTCCTGATCTTCTGGATGTCGGCTGCAAGTATTCCGGTGCTCATATTCTTGTGAAGTAAAGGTGCTGCTTGATCGCCCTGTGCCGACAGGGTTAGCTTCCAATTGGCGGCAGCTTTACGCGGGGGCCACTGGGAGCCTTGTTACATCTATGTTCCACTGTAGTCTGACCCTGAGCGAAACCCCAATCGCATCATGGTCGAGAATTCATTTAGCCAAGATGCTGGCTCATGTCACTGCGTTCGCTAGTGGTGGGTACCTTCATACTCTCCCATGTCCATACATTAGTCTTTTTATCTTTATAGACAGCGGGTTAGTGGTTCTCAGTAAGATGGCTCTATTAATTCCTATTGATCTCCACATAGGGCTAACTGACACACTACTCTCACGTCGAGCCGAATTTTCGGGTAGCATTGACGGAATGGAGGACCTATGTTGGAGTCTTCTCGTGATGCTCTTTCAACCAACGACGCCATTTACCAAGCTTCACTATCCGGTCAAAACCTATACTATCGAAATACATTCGCGGTTGCACGGCCTTGTTAAATGCTCAAGACTCTGTACCGGAACTATCGCCCTAACCAGAGCCTCCCCAACAAAACGCCAGGTAATAGATTCGAACATTCCACATCGACAATATGATGACGACTCAGCGTCTAGTTGTTGCAACAGAAGCCCGGTCACGTGAGGAAAGCGTTCGTGTCGACGCAGGATCAAAGGCATCGCGACGACACACCTCGTTCCGTCTTTGGCAGTGTATAGATCTTCTTCGATATCAAATCGGAATTGCACATATAGTTTATCGGTCGCCGTCAATGCGCAGAATCCGGGCCATGAATATCGCATTTCGGGGTCTTCTTCTGCTTCAAAAAAGATCGGTAAAGTCGTCCCGGACAACTTCAAAATGCAAGCATCCAAATGATGTGCACGTCCTAAGGAGTCGATACCTGAACTTGGGAATGACGACACTTCCGTTGCTAATAGTGCTGTCACGTTGGTCTTGTCTGGCTGGATCCATCCCTCATAATCTGCCGGCAGATCGGAAAAGGACACTGGCCCTTGTACACTGGCCCATGACCATGAAGGGATAATGTAGCTACCTTGCCATCTCTTGTGTGACTGGCGGACCGGACCCTGTGGATTGCTGAACCAAGTTAACTGCGCAAAAAGGCCATGTAGCCACATGCCGGAGTGATAAGATTGTTGAAACTGTTCGACGCTGTGTCCCATCCACTGTTGCAGAAGCTTGACCATACCGCCAATGGCAACTAATCTGTCATCGGGCTTCGTCGTCAGTGAGGCAGAGTAGGAGGCGATAAGATTCATCCACATATTTAGGAACCGACGCGAGACCACACAATTCTCATTCTCTTCGACCCAGAGCTTGCCCTGCTTGAATAAGCTAGGACGTGCCAACTCCGGTACTATTAGCGTTCGTATCGCCCCAAGCTGATACCCTTCATACTCGTCAGCCTCAAATACATCTTGAAAGCCTTCAGGAAATGCCTCGCAATATGTATCTTCTAGACATGACCACCACAGCTGTTCTCGAGTACAGAATAGAGTAGCTGGGGCAAGCTGTACTTCTTGGTGAATCCAGCCTCGGCTGGATAGTGTAGATCCAAGCACTGCCATCTCTGATGCGTCAAACCTTTTTGGTATGATGGCGAGGGCATTAAACTCGCCCAATTCGGCCCATGAAGGGTGAACGATTGGAATAAAATCTTGTTCTCTGCATTCGGGCATGAGGCCAGCTTTCCAATTGTCCGAGCTAGATGCAGCAATGTTGAAAAGGCTTCCAGCATATATTTCACCCATTGCCTCTGCTTCTTGTAGGAAGTCTTCCTCAGAATCTTGCAGGATGCACAAAGAGTCTATCCAGAGATAGCTGATCCCTATGCTTCTCAGAAGTGATACCGAGTCTTGAAAACTCTGAGGAAGAGACGACAGCAAGGCGCCGTTGTGCATCATCGCATCAAGGTTTTCGCGCGTCAACCTCGGGGGAGCTGGATCGAGCCATCTATGGCTCATCGTAACGTAAGCGACATCAAAGAAGTCCTCACGGTTGACTATCTCGAGCTTGATGTGATCTTCCATATCGTTCCCTACATTTAGAAGGCGTTGCGGCGGGGACCAATTGTGCTGCCTGTACGTGGTACACCCCCATTGGTGCTTGTTGCGACAGTTCGCAATCCAGCGTTTGATTTGCTTCAGACGATGCTCTGACGGCAAATTGAGGTCCCGTCCCCTTCCATCAGCTGGACGATATTAGAAACGAATCTCTGCCCTATACAGATCATAGATTACTGACCAAGTATGAGGAAAAATGCCGCGTCGCGCGATACTGGCTTCCCCTCCTCGGTACCCTCAATAAGTTTAACGATCATGCGATAAGCATGAGCAACACCAGAACGTGCGGCGCATCCGACCGCGGACTTATGGCGCATCTGGTATATGCTTCCCCAATAACTTTGTCGAGACGCATCCCAACTAGCTTCATCAATGTTCTCAGGTGACAATTTCGCGTGCGGTTGATTATTTACAATGGTACAAATAAAACATCCGCTGGAGACGGCCCGCCGAAAGCTTTCCAGTGTAGGGTGATGTGTGACCTTAGACTCTGCTCCGCCCCACGAATACACCGTTTCCTCCCGTCCAGATTCGTTCACGTTGGTCTTCGGCTGTGGCATGGGCGGTCTGTTTGGCTGATTGAAAATGCCCTGACAAATGGAGCAGAGCATCCTCTCAGCGTTACTTGGTGGCGTCTCTTCCAAAGTGGGAGTACGGAAAAAACCGAGCTCTCGGTCACTCTGTCGTTTGCGTCTGCTAAGTTCTATTGCCGAAGGCGCCATGATCTCCGTGATTATCAAAAGGCTGACCGCGACAATCGTAGACTGCAACAAGAAATGTTGTGAACAATTGGGTTTTTTGCACAAGAAGAGCACAGCTACTGCGGATGCCCTTAAAATAGGCGCATGCAGGCTCGTCCCTCAAAGCCGCGGCTGGGCAGAAGTATCTACCGACGCAGCGATAGGCGGGTGAGGACTGGGATTCCAGGCAGTCAGCCAATCAGAAAACCGCACACAGGAGAAACCCGCATTCTCAACCCCAGTGGAGTCGTTATGGACATTGAAATGACCGTGGGGGCTGGTGCTGCTAAATACAAGATCGAGTGTGTATACTAGGTGGACTGTATCAAGTTGCACCTAGTTGACTACTCCAGCTAGAGAGATCAGTTCTTTTTCTCAGGTTCAATTTACAATATCACAAATTAGAAAAGCTCATTGGGAAAGTAACTGGTATATCTTCGCTGCACACTAGAAACTCCCCCGTGCCCGTCTGAAGTGCCTTTATTACCGAACCCTCCAGTCATCTTCTTACATCACGGCTCATGGTCATCGACTACATCCAACTCGTCAAAATCTCTAATAATAGGAGTCAGCCCCCTCGAGTCATCGTCCCTCCTCCTCCCATTACGCGAACGGCTCACACGATGTGGAGGGCTCTCGTCTAAGTTCAGAAACCCGCCGTTCCCGGTGACTCTCGGGTTGAGAGCCGGTGATGGGAGCGGTCTTGTCGGCGGTGCTGACGGCATGGTCAGATCCGCATTCTGCCGGATGCTCTGTGACCTGGCCGGCCAGTCTGGGGAGGTCCCTTTCTGATCAGCTCGACCACTGAACGGCGCGTATCCGCGGGCACTCTTCAACCCCTCTCGGCTGCGGACTTGGGACAGCGGTACCGATGCCGCCTGGATGCTCGAAGAGTCGTCCGAGACGGTGCTCATCGCCGATGAGCCACCGTAGATGCTGGAGGGTGGCCCGATCCCGCTGGACCGCACGCTTCGTGTACTCAGTCCGTGCCAACCCGAGTTACCAGAACGGCTCGTTGATGCGTTAGGCGGTGGGTGGGGAGAGTGGTGGCCATGTCCCCGCATCAACCTCATCATGGAGCTGACTCTCTCCCCAGGTGCTGCTGTAGCCTCACCGGCGGACCAGGTTTGAGGGATAAGCCAGCAATGGGACAGTTCGTGAGCCGCCTCAATGGCGGGGTTCGAAACTCCTTTCCAAGGCGGTATCTTGGTGCCCTTCAACCGGGGTGAGAGGTGATATGTCACATTTTCCTTGTATCGGACATTCGGCGCGTCGACGGATACAGAGGCAAGCGTCTGGAGGATCATGTAGATGAGCACCCAGCGGCCACGCCGTGCGACCATTGGGTCAACGGCACCAATCTGGTCTGACTTCTCGAACCTGACAAAACTGTCAATCAGGTCAGATTGCGTAAAGTCTGAACCCAGAATGTAGATGTTGGTAGCTTCGGTATAAGCCAATTGGACACGACGCTCAAGGGCACGATCCTCAGCCCCCTTATTCTTTTCCTTGTCAGATTTCTTGAGCTTCTCACGGGATGAGGCTGGGGTCGACTGAGGCGGAATGGAGTCCGGGACCAGAGGATAGGGGTGCGGAATGTGCGGGAAGCGCGAACGGTTGTCCCATTCAATGAGCAAATCCTGGATTGGGAGGTCGACGGTGTCCGGGTCGAATGCCTTGTTTCCACTCTCCGAGAGCATCATCCACTTCCTTCCACTGCGGGTCTCCGACTCGTCCCAGACAATATCGCGATTGACCAGATAGTCATACAAAGCGCCGAACTCTTTCTGAAGCTTTTGGGCTACCTTTCTTGTCAACCACACATCTTCGCCGTCGGCTGACGGCTCCCCGGACGGAGGTGGAGGCCATTCTCCGAATGATGTGGTGCAGTGCGAGAGAAAGAACTTCTGCAGCCTGTCCGCAGCCGCCCTAGCCGGGCTATTTGCGATAGGTCCGCCAGGAGGCCAGACGTCGGCATACGCGAATCCAGCCAGTCTCTCCTCGGCGGACTGCACGCGCAATTGAGTCTCAAGGCATGCTCTTTCAAGAAGCGCACGAGTGATCGGGGTTATGTGTTTCCAGTCCGCGCACCGTTCCAGCCGCCCATACGTCCCCACGCAGTGAAGGAAGGCCTCCCGCCAGCCTTCTTCCCATCTCACGGCAGGAGACTCGGACCAGGCAAGAAGGGCTAGCGCCGTCTCGGGTTCGTTTCGACAATCATCGATCCCGCGCACCGACAGATAGTTCAAAATCATACCGACGTTGTCGGCATCTGGAGGCATGTAGTCCTCGAGGCGGGCATGCAGATCGGAGAGAGCCTGGTAAAGCGAGACACCAACAAGGGAAGCCTGGTATAGAAGTGCGAACACATTACGCGTGGTGATGACATAACGATGTGATTCGGACTTGGTCAGCTCAGGAGGCGTAGGGAAGTAGATCTCATAGGATATCTGGCCGTCCGCGTCGACCAGACTGGCATCTTCCGAAGTCGGCGGTGTGGGTTGGCCGCGACCATGGGCGTATGCAGTATAGGCCGGGTTGCCACGGCGGGACAGCATAGGTGGTGCGCCTGCAGGCGAGGGCGGCATGTGGATGTCATCCTCCGTAGAACCCTCTCTAAGAAGCTGTATGAGGGCCCGAGATTCGGTTGACTCAATAATATGGGATGACAGGCGAAACGAAGGGTTCGGCCTTGGTATTTGACCGCGAAATCCCAGGTAGACCAGAACGTCGCCGTTTGGATCCCAGAGCTCTGGATCCTTTCGCAACTTATTCCATTTCTGCACAGGTCTGCCAGCGCCGATCCACCGCTTGATGGAAGGTGACGTGGCAGATGTAGGCAGTGGTGGAAGCTTCATCGACGGAGGCGGTGGCACACCATTTTCTGAATCCCATGCCTCAAGCTGGGTCTGACTCAAAGTCGGTATCGGAGGTATGTCCATATGCTCATAAGTATCATGATCATTCATATAAGAATGGCCAGCGGCTGATTGCGCTCTTGGTTCGGACTCGGCCCCCTTTTTGGACTTCTTGCCAAAGCTGAACGCCTTGCTGAGACCTTTCCTTACATCGTCGCTTTTCTTGTCGATGGCGTACCGAAAGCCCGATCTTTCGATACCCGACACATCCTCGGTCTTGATGGTTGGTTTTCTGACTCGCGCGTATGCGAAGTTGTCCATAGGCCCCTGGTATGTCAGCGCGCCATCACGTCTGCCCCCTTCACTTGCGCCGCTCTGGCTTCCACTGCTGTAGGTGCTGAAAGCTGTTGGAGGGCTGCGGAAGTTCGTGTCCGGATCTCTCGGCGTGTCTGAGAACTTGAGAAACCGCCCATTTGAGGTCGCGTACCCAGTGCCTTGTGGCCCTAGGTAATCGACAACGTGGCTGTCCTCATATTCTGAACCGCGAGAATTGCCTGGCGGTACTGGCGACTTGAGTCCTGCTCTGGCGGCTGTGCCTTTCTCCTTGCTCTTTGTCTCTGTGATCTTCTTCCGCACGTATGCACTTCGTCCGGACATGATGGGCTGGCGCAACCAACGAGCGCTAATCAGAGTGTGCCTTCACCTCGTCGCCTCGGCCTCTATGATGGGAGGACGTGGGTGTCTTTCTATATCGTTATCAGGTGCGCCTACTTTCGGGCGGAGCCGAGGGATGACAGGAAAAGTGGAGTTTCCAATAGCTGTGAAAGTTGGTACGAAAGATTGTGATAATCCCTTCGGTGAACGAGTGACTGGATAGTCTGGCTTGGGCAGACTTGAGGCTGTCTTCAAAGCTCGAAAGATTGTCGTAGTACCCCGGACGGAGTCAAGGCGGCGTGTAATGGACGCAGGCCGCCGATCCGCCCTGTACTGGCACCTTGGAGCAACAACGATGTTGCCGTACGACAATAAGCAACAAATTGATGAGCAATGCGCCCTGCCTATTGTATATGTTCCCAATCTCAGGAGTGGGTCGCGCGCAGAGCCAAGATCTGGGCTTGATCAAGGGCTGGAGCTGCTATGGTAGGCGAACAAAACCGTTTGAGAGAACTGCCAGAACGCAGACAGGGAGGCGAATGTTTACAGAAAGCCGACCGAGGGGTCGCGAAGAGGGTCTGAGGGTGCGCTGCGATGTATCATCTGTCGTTTTGGGATGATCAGGCAGGCGGGCTCTCTTGCTTTTTGGGCGCTCTGCGCTGCAAATCAGGCTTGCTTCTTCAACTTGTATAGCACATCTTGAGATGCAGTTGGCCGAGAAATATTGCCCGTCTGGAAAACAAAAAAAAAAAAAAGGTTGGTCGACGACCACGACCGCATCTCTGAGCAACCCGCGCATTCATTTATTTCATTTAACTTTTCACCCGCCATGCGGTGGAAGGTGCTGCAAATAATATGTATGACCCGGCAGAGCCGTGTGGATGGGGTGACATGCCAGGTACATGGCCTGACTAGGGTCCATACCGTCGGTGATAGAGACTGTCCTGGTTCTAGGCGTTGGTGTTGGTCGGCTTCTTAACTCCAGGGGTGCGATAGCGTTCGAGCCCGCCCTCACCAGATGTGGACCTGCAGACGCTGGGCACACCAGCGCAGCCTATCAGGTATGTGGCCGTTAGGACGCACTGCCTGACTGTACTTCACCGGCTCTTATCCCACACAGACACTGCAGGGCCTCGGCGTCCTCTGCCTAGCAATGGTCAAACCCTTCTTCGGGGCAGGTATCTCAAACGAGTCAACAGCGACGGTACTACTTGCTCGCTTCCACTGGTGCTTATTGCGAAGTGGTGGGCCATCATAGCCACACGGGCCTAGCAATGTTGCACCAAAACGCAGCTGCAAACCAATACCTCCCTCTCGCAGCGATTGAAAGCCAGAGACAGCTAGGCGAGGCTTATATTCAAGCCGCCGACGAAAGTGGCCGATGACGAGAGGCAAGGCCAGCAACAACGGTTTGGCGCTATTGCGGCTTTCGGTTGCTCACGAGCTTGTATGCATGCAAACCCAAGTTAGAGCAAACCAGACAGGCAAACATTCGGGAAAGCAATCAACAACGTCGGAGCAACGGCAGGGCTAGCATGCCTCTAGACCACTCAGATACCTAGCCTGGCCGCTAACCGGATACTACCGTGCGCGCAGCAATGAGCTTGGCTTGCACAATAGAAATCACAAATGGAATCTGACGATAGATAAGAGATGACTTCGTGCATGCAATGGTACGATGCCTTGTCAGGGGACCCGACGGCCTGCCGGAGTGCCTTGGCGGCGGAGAACTAGCTGGGCCGTGGTTCAGTGCCGCGGTTCTCCAACGGTTCCAAGGTTGTTCGTTATACGCCAGCTGCTAACCAATATCTTCACTTGCCTCGTAGTCTGTATTGTGCCAGAGGATCAATCAGTGTGAAGGCGCGTTCAGCCCTGTCGAGCAGCTGGATATGAGGAGTGTCAAACTTGGGGGCTTGCGAGCGTACCAAACCCTTGGACGGTAGAGTCGCGTGGACGACATGGTCCTCCCCTGAAGACCAGCCCAGATCGCCTTTGAGCCCACTCTGATGCAGGTTGGTTGGACCCTTGCGAGCCCTATGGCAAGCACCTCCAAGACGGCCGAGAATTGTACCTACATCTGCGTTCAATCGGCGACACCAGCGTGAGCGGCCATTCTTGGGGCGTGTACAAGAAGCACACTCAATAAGCGCAACTGTGAATGAGCTTGATGATACGACACGGCACAATACGCTCGCGCTGTCTCCTCTCGATTGTGATTGCCCGCTCGACTTGCACCACTATGAGTGGAGAACACCACTGATGCGAGGCCTTCTGAACAGCGGACGCCCTAACTAAACTCTAAACACCACCATTGCATTGAGAGTGTAGCAGCGCAAGTGCCGTGGGATACACCCCAGAGCTCATGTGAGTTGGAGTTCAAACTATGCCCAGAAGCTCTCCCACCCTTACTGGCTAGCCTAACTCGACATCTCGTCGTTGGATTGGGTCGCAAAATCGGTGACCCTGCCTCCGTCACATTCGATCGCGCGACTACCCTGTTGGCAAAATTGGATTTCTGGTCGTCGGCAGCTTGCGAGATGCGAGGCCCCCACCATGTCCGTTCAACTGCATGGGTGGATGCTAAGCCCTGTCTCTTCGACTCGTGCAAGAACCGACAGAACGGTAGGATGCCCATATCGCACCGCACGAGGCAAGGGAGTTGGTAGATCATACTCCATGCATCCCATGCTTAAAAACCATCACCGCGGGGTAGACTGTTCACGCTCAAGGTGGCCAAACATTGAACACGGGTATTATTGTGTCTCCCATGTAACAGTAAGTTGGCTTGTTTCTTAAGGTTCGGCAAACCTGCGACGATGTTTTTAGTAGAGAGCTATACCAAAGGACCTGGTTGCTCAGTGTTACTTCGCCCCTCAATGAGAAACATGAGCATCTTTACATTACTTTTACACACAACAAAAGAGTCAAGAGTCATAACGAAAGTACATTTGGAATGGCTTCAGGGTAAACCAAGCAGGGTGCTGCACGGCCCAGATTTCCACTCGTACATCTTGAGCTGCAAAAGATCGTGGGTGTACCAAACAGGCATCAGACCCGCCTCAACTTTCTGAACTAGATGTTGGGAGGCACTTCCGACTAGGTCAAAGAACTACTGTGATATACATAGAGGTGGGTATACCTGCATGCGGAGCTCTTCTAACCTTGCCAAACGGCCTTGAATGGGCAAGCTTGCGGCCCTTATCTTTCCAATTCGCTTGGCTCACCTGAATTAGAAAGAGGAGCTGTGGACGCAGCTGCCGACATGGCCGTCAATCAATATTCCCCTGAGAAGCGCTGAAGCGAGCTGCATGGCTTATGCTGGGATGTTTCAGCGAATCCAGGTACTTGAACAGCTTTACCATGGTATACCACGATCGACTGGGAAAGATGGCGCCGGAGATTTTCAATTTAAACGCGTGGGCTGGGTACTCTTGGGAGTCCAGGGTCCCACGTTGGATCGCGCGATACTCGCGGTGATTATCCAAGCATCCCTGTCTCGCATTTACAGTGCCACTGCTTATCTTTCCGACAATGCCAGCGATCGTGCAATGCCCCTGCTTACACCATACATAAAAAAGGCATAGCGGAGGTGAGCTTTCTACCATGCTATGTGCACGGTAAAGCCCGATTCTCCGCACTCGATATGTACATAGTAATCATTAGGTGTCGAATTGGGCATGAATCCTAACATCAGTCCGGCTAACATATCTTACGTTTTTAGGTTGATAGTCGTACTACAACCAGCTCTACATAGTAAGTGAATAAAATATGGTCAAGTTAGTTTCCCGGCAGCCTTTTATTGCCGTCGTCATCGCTGATGCCATTCGGGTGTGGACTATGGCGGGCAAGATCTGGCTGTTCCTGATTGGGGTTCTTGCATGGGTTCACTTTTTCTACAAGGAAGCAGCAGCATCTCCCCAGCGCGGAGGTCTATGAGTTTCATTGGCTGATGTGACCGATGTGCAGGATGGTCGATCTTAGCACGATACCGTTCTCGGCAGTAGTTGCAGCGCTGACGGATGGCCAGAGCGTATCGTGTGTCTTGAGCTAGATTGCCAGACAGCCACGCTCAGCTGCGGGTTTCTATGCTTTTAACGTTGAGTTTTACTCTTTCCAAGCTACGTGCAGTATACAGTATTTGCCACATTGGGTATTTTCAATTTACAAGATTGTACTTGACGATATGTGATAGTTGTCCATATTACCATCCCACTGTACGCCATCCATCCGTCCCCTCAAGTTGAGTATATGTACCAGACTCTCCATCTTTCCCCAGCAGCGAAAGCCTGACTGCGTTGATAGCTCCTTCATCGACAGGTCCGGGCTTGGCCCCCCCTGATCCTTGTCCGAAATTATTCAGATTGGTAGCCTATCGGTCTCGAGTTAGATTTGAACGCTTTCGGCAAAGGACCCGCCGCAGACTTACTCTGAACCCTGGGCAGCAGGCGTTGACCTTCCAATTGGGAAACTTGTGAAAGTAATAAACCATCAGCATATTCAGCGCCGCCTTGCTCACGCAGTATGACGGCCAAGTTAAGACCAGGCCCTTGTGGTCAGAGATAAATTCGAAGCTTCCTGCGCCGGTTGACATAAATATCACCCTCGGATTATCGGCCTTTCTGAGAAGAAATTCAAAGTTCTCGACAGTTGCAGCTTGCCCGGCAACATTGGTCTCCATTGTCTGCATGATCAATTTGCTCATTGGCACCACGCTGCGATCAGGGTTATTTAGGTCCAGAGCTATGCCGGCCTGTTCATGGTCAGCTGTCTCGCCAAAACTTCGTCGGACGATACTCAGGATTCAATCTCGTACATTTGCATGCAAAACGTCAAGCCTCCCATGGCGTTCTTCAATCGCTTTGGCTGCCGCAGCTAGAGATTCTTCGTTGGTCACGTCGAGCTGAACTGTCTCGACTCCAGTGCAGCCGTCTTGCTTTAGGGACTGAGCCGCCTCTTCTCCTTTGGATACTGTACGACAGCCAATGATTACGTGGAACTTGTCGCCGTGATCCCGCAGCAACTTCCGGACGACCTCTAGACCAATTCCAGTGTTACCGCCGGTGACCAGCACGATCTCCTTGTCCGAATTTGTCATCTTGATATAAGTTAAGAAGTATCGCCTGTTATTTGGCCTGCATGAGACAAAACATCGTAATCCGTCCACCGAATGCTGTTTATTGCATTTATACGCTTGGTGGTGATATTTAGAGTTGGATGAATCATGACTCCATTAACTCCGTAAATGCCGAGCGCATATGCATTCTTCAAGAACATTATCCCCGACAGAGGCTTAGCCCGCAGAGTTCGGAATCGGACATGCAAATATACAGAAAAGCCGATTTACCCCAGTCTTCGGTCGGCTTTAGAATATTGAACAGTAACTCCGTGCTGCACAGAACCCGTCGTTTAAGTCGGATATTGAGAAAAGCCAATGTTGGATCAATCATACTGCCTCGATGGATAGTTTGTCATGTGACGAAAACGCATGCTCCAGGTACCCGGGACTTGACTCGCTTTTGCCCTTTCTCGATTGTGGGTACCAATCTGCTCCTCACAATAACTCAAAGAGTCCTGCTGGGCCATTTTTCTAGGACAATTTGGCAACTTAAACCAAGGATGGTGATAATTCCCGCACGCTCTGTATGGAAGAAATTTAGTCTGATCACATTGGATGAGGCATTACTCTAAATATAGCTTACGGGTGTAAATGAGATTAGTACTCTGTTAATATTGTTCAAGGCTAAAGAGACCGACTGACCGTCTGCTTTTGTAACACTTGGCTAGGTACCTGTGGCTCTCAACTTGGTAAGCTGAGAAGCCCTTGTAGTAACACTCAACGCAAGATCTTCGTAAATGAATATTTCGTGGCCTCGATTACTACTTTAACCCAAAAGGCCTTGTCGGAATGGTCCATTCGGCGGTGTATTCAGCATATGAAGTGAGACCAAGAGCTTCTGGATGGTAGGCTTGCGAGCGGGTTTGACAACAACTGGCAGAACTATGGCTTTCTAATTTAACTATTGGCCGCACAACTTTTCAATACAGCTGAACTGCCTCAGAAATACAGTGTAATTCTGATCTTTGGGAAAGAGAATGGAACTCTGGTCAGCAGAATGAACGAGACTACCGCCATATGCAATTACGCAAACACCACCCAAACGTTCCCAAGCGGCCACCATGTCATACATAGCACTCGTCTCCGTCGATAAGACTGGCTTTGGGGACCAACCGTGTGTGCCGGCTTGTGCAACCATACACTGGTAGCGATTATGCACGTCAGATACTAGACGAATTCAGCATGTGCCAAACGTATTTCTAGGTTTCTGAATGAATGAAGACATCCCGAGAATGTCGCCCCCTTTCCACTACAATGAACGGCCAATCTCTTCATACACTTTCTCGTCACAATACAAAATAGTGTACTGGCACAGCCATGTCAATCATATCATATTATCTTGCCTGCTTCTTTCTGGCGTGTGCAATCCAGATAATTGCCCGACCATTTGTTTCCCCGCTTCGCAAGCTCCCCGCTGCCCACTGGTCATGTCGGTATAGCAGCCTGTTCATCCTATACAAACGATTTTCTCGGTGTGAAAACGCAACCCTATTAGACGCGCATAGAAGACTAGGGCCAATAGTACAGTTGGCACCTGCTGAGTTGAGTGTCAACAACGTCTCAGGTCTCCGCACTATCTACATGGGTGGATGGAGCAAGTCTCCATGGTATCTGACGTTCAGAAACATCGGTGGTACCGTCAATATGTTCTCAATGCTGGATGCAGCGTCACACATGGCCCGGAGAAGAATCATTAGTTCTGTTTACGCTAAATCAAACTTGATCTCAGGGCCTTCTTCTGTCACGAGATCGACAAACGAGATCATCGGACGAGACCTAGTGAAACACATTAGTGAACAGGCTCGAAGTGGTACTGTAGTCGGCATCGTCCAACTCTATGCAAGAATGATGGTGGATGCGACTTCTGCGTTCATTTTTGGCATGGATGGACGTTCGAACTACCTTCATGACGAAACTGCCTGGAAATTATTGGCGAAAAGTTTTGGTGATCGATCACAGGGTGTGTTCCTCCCACAAGAGCTACCGGTATTAAACAATCTAGCTCAACGCCTTGGACTCAAGTCAGGAACTGGGCTCGATCTCGTCGATGCATGGTGCTTGGATAAGTGCCGTGATGTTGAGGCACGGGCAATAGCTGGGCAGCTTGAGGAGGGGGAGGCAAGCGTTTGGAGGAGTCTGGACAATGCCATAGCAAGGTCGAACAAGGACCTCGATCGAGACATGAGACGCAGGCTAGTTGCGAGTGAAATTATGGATCACATTGGTAAGTGTTGTTAGGACTGGTAATGTTCAGATCCTCCGCTGACAAATTCTACAGTTGCAGCTTTTGACACAAGCTCCATAGCCCTCAATTACTCTACCTACCAGCTCAGCCGTCCTTGCAATAGACACATTCAAGATGCGCTTCGGGAAGAACTGCGGAGTCTCCACGGGCAAGAAAAAGACGGCCAAGAAAACTCTTTGCCACCACTCAGGAGTCTGGATGGGCTGCCATTGCTCTCTGCAATCCTGATGGAGACACTGCGGCTGCATCAACCAGTTCCAGGCCCTCAGCCTCGTGTGTCTCATGCTGGGGCTACTCTGGAAGGGGTTGGGACGCTGCCTAGTGGAGTTCGGGTCTCGGCTAACGCGCTTTGCCTTCATCGAAACGAAGACGTATTTCCCAATCCCAATGAATGGACGCCTCATAGGTGGATGAAGGAAGGCGCCAAGGATGACGAAAGGCTCAAAGAGATGAATCGGTGGTTCTGGGCTTTCGGTAGTGGCGGTCGGATGTGCATTGGAAATCACTTTGCTATCTTACGTAAGTCACATGTTGCTTCGCTTATTCTGGCTATCTAACATGAGCTTCAGACATGAAGGCTGCCCTTGCTGCTATATACAGCAGGTTTGCCACGGAGATTGTTGATGATAGTGGAATCGAACAGCTTGAGTGAGTTAGGCCTAAGTTTCCTTTTGCAAACTTTTACCCTAGTCCATTGTCGACGCCAAGGAAATAAAAAAACACCGTCCCTTCATGTTCATCCCTTATGAATACACCCGACAGGGACTATGTTAACGCCCAGTATTGCAGTGGATTTACAGTAGGTCCGCGGAGAGAGTTTATTGCCAAGTTCGTGGCTGTCGGCGAAGAATAGAGGCCAGGCTGTGATCACCAGCATTTGGACATATTGTGGCACACACGTGGGGCCGAACTTGGGGCTTTGTGGGAAAATGTTTCTCAGCTTTACAGAAGCCCTGTTACATTTTACGTACACTTAATGATAGCATACTGATGTTCTTTACATCCAGGGTCGGATGAGCTCATCAATATGTCAAGTTGCCAAGCTCATTTGATGCCTGTTCAAGAGGTATTTGAAAGCCTAGAACCTGCCAGTTCCAAAAAGCAACCCCACGGTAGCCAGTCACGCGATGCCATATTGCACTTAAATCACGGCTGAAATATACCATCACAACGTGCGCCACGATGATAAACTCCAATGACGTTAAGGGTCATTGAAAATATCCCACAGCCGGCGCCCGCGGTAAGTTCCTTTCCGCCCAGATGCCAAGCTTCGAAGGTTCGGCCGCCCACGCGGCACCAAGAGTCCAAGACGCCAAGGCCCGATGGCTTGCCCACCACGTCCATACGAAGAGACCAGAAGGCGTACCAAGAGTTCAAAATTCCAATCAATGAGCGCGCCGAGGATTTCAGCCCGAATTGCGTGCTAGAATCAACGCATTTCGCAATTCGAACCAGTTGGCTGGGCCCATGTGAATGTGGTATAATGGACCTCGTATATGTTTGACCTTCCCACAGAGCACGCTTAGGCCTGTCATCCTTCTGAGGCGGCTCCAGAGTTACTTTGGCCTTTCGATTGAGTTGAAGGTCTCTTCAAAGTGTTATCTGGTTAGTCTGATCGAAGCTTTGGCTCCATAACCCACAGAATGGAGGTCAACAAGTCGGTTGACGTGGATAGCCACTCAGCCACGAAATCTCAGGATGAAGCTCCTACCCTGGTGGTCGACTGGACCGTTGAGGAAGAGTCAAAAGCCAAGCGAAAGTAAGCACCTTGGACAGACTTGTAATCACTATGGCTTCTAACCTCGTGCCTGTAGGCTGGACCTTATAATTATGCCTATTCTGACGTTGGGTTTCTTTTGCTTGCGTAAGTCGAATTCATATGTGCATGGAATTGCATGGAAATGTTGATTTTCTAACGTGAGTGTCAAACCAGAGTTGGATCGAGGAAATATGGCCAACGCCATTACGGACAATTTCATGCAAGATGTGGGCGTTGATCAGGATCAGTTCAACGTCGGCCAGCAGATGTTGTCGCTAGGCATTGTTTTGACCGAGATTCCCTCCAATATGATTCTCTATCGCGTTGGGCCAGGCAAGTGGCTTACTCTTCAGCTGTTCCTCTTTGGCATTGTCAGTACGTTCCAGTCATTCCAGCGTGGCTACGCGGCACTCATTGTCACGCGCTTCATCTTGGGTATCACCGAATCTGGCTTCATTCCTGGTGGTCTTTGGACTCTTTCCACATGGTATACGCGATCCGAAACTGCGAAGCGTGTAATGGTTTTCTACTTTGGCAATCAAATTGGCCAAGCCTCCGCGAAGTTGCTGGCCTATGGAATTCTACACATGCGTGGTGTTGGCGGCCAGCCGGGCTGGTTTTGGTTGTTTACCCTCATGGGTGCTTTTACGATCCTCGGGGGCTTCGTTTTCGGCTTCTGCCTACCCGACTCATTTCAGAACCCGCACAGTACTTTTTTGCCCAAGTTCAGCTGGTTCACGCCACGGGAACTGCACATTCTCCAGACGCGTGTCCTGCTTGACGACCCTATGAAAGGGAAGAAGAAGAGGCGAATTGGCGCAGCCGCGTTCAGTAAAGTTGTAAGGCAGTGGTATTTCCTCTATGTGGACGCTGTTGTGCTAATAGATCCAAACTATAGTTCACCGACTGGCGCATTTGGGCACACTTCCTTATCACTCTGTGTAACAACGGCCCGCAGCGCGCATTTGACACTTACGCTCCGACACTTGTTTCTGGCTTTGGATTCGGTAACCTTGTCAGCAATGCCATGGCTGCAGTTGGTCTCTTCATACAAGTCCCAGTGTCATTTGGTTTCAGCTGGTTCTCGGATCATTTGTAAGCCCCCTCCGAATTTAGTCTTATTGCACTCATCGTTGACACTCGGTCTGTCTCCAGTAACCGACGAGGTGAAACCGTTATGGTTGGACTCTTTTGCCACCTTCTGGGTTACATCTTCAACCGTGTCTTCACTGACGTCCCGCTTCGTGGCGTACGCTATTTTGGCGTCGTTTGGACGCAAGTCTTTGGCACATTCTCACACCCCCTCAACATCGCATGGTTGTCACTCGCCTGTGATGACTCTGAGCAGAGAGCTTTGGCCATGGCTGGGTAAGTTAATCTTCAGTCTTCACTGAACGCGCACCTCCGAATGCAACCAGAAACTAATCTACGTCTGCGTTTAGCGTCATCATGGGTGCCAATATCGCCGGAATTTACGGGGCACAAATCTTCCGATCGGACGACAGGCCGCTTTACCGACGTGGATTCAGTGTAGCCATTGCTGTGCTCTGCGTTGGGCTTACTCTTTCAATTGGCCGATGGATTGATGATGTGCTGAGACGCCGAAGAAAGCAGAGGCAGCTCGCGCCGACACCAAGTGATCAAGGCTCTATTCGTGTTTCTGACTCCAAGGATCGACCGACCAACGAGCTTTCCAACGCTGTGACTGATACTCTAGGAAGGGCCGACCAAATTGCGAAATAGAATGGCCCGGGTCGAGAACAGGTTCCAGATATGAATTTACTTTGGACGCGAGAGCCGCCGGATACATAGCTGTCCTTAATATTTATGAAATCATTCGAGTTTTCTAATACAAACGTGTGACGACCATCCTAAAGAGCTGAAAAGTGTGTTCTGCACTGGCTTTTGAAAGCCAGTGAGTACCCGGAAAACGAAGAGCCACAAAGTAAACGTCACGATGACACCAACGGTGATCCAACCCACTTTTGTGCTAACAAAAGAATCTGCCTGTAGAAATAAAGGGCACTAAGCTTGGAGCACGACGTGAGGTGATACCAAGGACGTTCCACCTGTTTGGATCTGGAAAGTCTACGTTGATCGCAGGCTTGAAGTCACGACAAGACCGTCATAATGCCTTTTCTGAAAATCTGTTTCTAGATTCTACACATGTCGAACACATAGGCTATTGAGCATCAAAACAGTAGAGTTTACACATGACCACCTCGGAAAGATGTCACGTCATCAATCACACAACATGTAAGTAGAGTATGTGGATCCTCCCTATCGGACTCTCCATGCCACCACAACAAGTATCATAAGATCTTCCAACCAACCCCCTCAAATCAAACGCAAACTGTAGGCTACTTAGATAGCACCAACGGCTGACCCTTTCCCGCGGTGAGAAATTAGCCACTGAGGCAATCTCATTCTCTTCATTCTTCTGCGCGGCCAGCGTGACAGGAAGTCGTGGGTTTATAGGGGAATCCCTCAAGAGCCTGCATGGTTGGGATGCTGTGGGACAGCCCACCTGGCCCTGGAAGCATCATAATGCTGCCTTTCACGCGCCAGATCACGCGCCGGAATGCTTGTGGTCTAGTGTACTCGAAGATAATTCGGGCTATTTCCAGACAATTACAATGCATAGCGCATCTTGATAGTATTCCCGGCCAACTTGAACGTACCAAAGTCAGACAAGAATGCCGCACGATGCATATATACATTTAGGACAGCCAAGACCACGAGTTATACATCATATATGCGCCTGGCAGAAGTTGAATCTGGTATGTCTAATCATCATCATTATCAACCTTCAGCACCATGAGTAGTTGGCTGGCTGGTAAGGCGAGCGTATCTGTCCTCGCTGGTAAGGGTCAAATGACAGGTAGAGGTTTTTGAACATGACACCTCAAGGAGAAGGTGGTGCTTCAGGGTCGAACGGCCGGGTTTCCACCGGTAGGTGTTCGGCTGGCATCGGCCAGTCAAATTTGTAGCGTTTATAAATCAAAGCCTTGTTAGGATGCATTGCACCTCTCTGAAAGGGCTCTGGTGATGAACAAAGCCTAGTTGATTGGGACGGAACCAAGAAAGCCATCCCCTGAAATGCTGAAAAACATACAATGTGGGCTTCTCTTTGCTGACTTGCCTTGCGTTGTGAGTTCATGTCGGTGGGCTGCTCGATGGGTGACCAAGTGCATGCAGTATGCTGTGCCCCCATCCCAAGTTTAGATCGTAGACAGGGATGGGTGCCCTTCAGGAGCAGCCAATTGCGGTACGTAGGACCAACGCTTTCCGCCATGGCATCTCTTTTAAGTTGATGTATTGCGGAACATAGGATCGGGCAACAGCCAGCCCCGATGGCAACGGATTTGGGATGTCAGGTAGCCTCCGAGTGGTGACACAGATACAGCGGGCAATCTAGGGTGGTTCTCATGGACTCGATGATCAGCGGCTGAGACAGCAATCATATCATGTTGTTATGACCATGAAAGGTAACATATTGCGAACGCCTGATCCCTTTCATGCAAGGTGGGTTAAACCGCATACTTGATCAATCGATCAACTGTATGATTCCAACATTACATTTGAAAGCTGAAATAAATCATTTTGCTTGAGAGGCGACCCTGAGCAGTCATTGCTTTGGACTTATGAGTCCTTCATGCAATAACCGCGCTCCATTCTGGCCCATTCTGCATCCCATCTCGGCCGTGTCCAGCGCATTGTGACGAAGATTATATAGTCCAGGACGTATTTCTATGCTCCCCTCAATATTGACTCCGACCTCGGTCCAGTTCCGGTTCTGCCTCACCCAGCTATGCTTATCTATCCAGCTGAACCATCCAACGCCTGCAGAGTCGTGGCTCCCATGCTCGACGATCCGCAGGAGATCATTGTCCGAGAGCGCCCTCTTCGAATTTACCGACACGACATCGTCGAATTGGTCGCACTCAGGGTCGGGGTCAGTACCTCGTCTGTCAATCCAGAACTGCGTGTGCGTGTACAGGCTCCTCACATCCCGTTCACCCAAGTATTTGGAGTCCTGACCCGTGAGAAAGGAGAGCGGAGCCAATGGAACAGGGCCGCCAAAGGGTTCGAGTGATTGTTGATTGCTTGAGATTGAGTAGTGCGCAATGTGGCTCTCTATTTCTGGTGATGGTTTGTGGGCTCCGGCCCACGGGGATGAAATGCCACGTTGGGATGATCCCGTGAAGAACACCGCGTCAAACTCTCCGTGCTTCACACTCGTTGAGCCTTGAGAAGCCACGGCCAGCCGATACAAGTGACTGACCCCGGGCGTGACGGATGTGACGCTGGAACCCAGGTGCAACTCAGCCCCGGACCGCCTGATTAGATCTTCGACCAACAGAGCGTTGCCGCCCACGATGGAGACCGCCTTCGAGCGCAGTGCCCCGGCGGCCATGGCCGCGTCCAAGACAGATGATTCATCCAAGGTTGAGCCGTAGGCATCCCGCAGGCACGGCTCTATGAACCTCTCCTGGTATTCCTCGTCCACGCTCATGCCTCGTAGGAAATCCCGCGCAGACGCGCCGAGTCCGTCTATAAGACTTACGTCCGAGAACTCCCGCCCGACATTGTCGAAGGTAGCGTTAGCCCCGAACATCTTCCATCTGTCCATCAACCCAGCCACTAGCCGTTGGAACTTGTCGGGCGACCGGCGGTAACGCCACTCCAGTTCCAGGTCCTCCTTCCGACGCTGCCACGCCTCTCGCCGGCGCCGCCGCGAATGTGGCCGCGGATCGAACCACCGGTCCAGGTCCCAGAAAAAAGAGGCATGGCAGACCCTGTCCCTAGCAAAGCTCTCCCCGTCCCAAACGTGGGCGTTTCCTTTCACCCGCGTGGTTCTCGTGGACAAGTTGACGGCCCGTGCCGCGTCCATGAGACACCAATCATCGTCGTAGAAGTGCGCCGCTCCGACTTCCAACTTCTCCCAACTGCCCGGCAGGGACGTGGTCCTGACCTGGCCGCCGGCGCGTGGGGCGGACTCGAAGATGGTGACGGAGAGCGGCCGGCTGGGGCTGGAGAGGGAGAGGTTGTGAAGGTGGAAGGCTGTAGCGGCGCCCGTGATGCCGGCTCCGACGATCGCGATGTGCATCACATCTCCGTCACCCGTGCCCTGTGCCCCTAAGTGGTGGGCCACCCCGATAGCCCGCATGACTGCCAGAGCCAGCAGCTTGGCGGTCGGCCACAATATTCGCTTGCCCATTGCGACGTAAGAAACTTGGTGCTCCAATGGCGTGGCTGGACCTCAGTCAATTCCTGCGAGTGCTCGATCTGGCGAGTCGCAGTGCGTCAAGCCATTAGATTGCAGACTGCAGTATTGTATTAATCAAGGCTGCCTGATCGCGCCTCATTGGCTTCATCGAATCCCAAAGGTGGCACAAGCTGACCGCAGGACAAGGGCGCCAATGCCACACGCACACCAAGGGTATGACATGACATACTATGTAGGACGCTTGTCACGCGACACTATTGATTATGTTATGATGTTTCACAGTTTTAGATATATCTAAGATCACTGGCGCCGTCATGCAGTTCTCCCCAAAACAACTCGAATGGCAACTACGACGATACACTCCCCTTGGTTAATTGTACCCGACCATCGGTAATTGCTTCTATAAGTCAAGTGCCTGCCAAGATCGAGCTTGGCTTTCTTATTATTTATATACATGTGCTTGAATTCCAAAAAAAAAAACCCGACCGAGACTCAAATGAGGTAGGCTTACATACGAGTCATTATAAGAGGAAGAAACCACTTCCTATCAACATGAACAGTGTCGTAGCTCCCATAACACCAAGCTGCGCCCACTGGAACACGGGTACTGAGACTGCGGCGTTGGCCTCGGTGAAACCCTTCATGGCACCATAAGTCGGGGTCGCAAAGGTTCCAGCAGAGCCCGTTGCAGTTACTTGGTTAGCAACAGCCGTAGCGCTGGGCATTTGAGCACCGTCGCTCGCAAACGCCACGACGTTGGAGGTGGTCGAGTTGAAGTCGGTCTTGGCAATGCCGATTTGGTTGTTCACCAGGTCATAGACGACGTAGGCGGACCGGAGGAATGTGTCTCCCAGCAGGAAAGGATCGCTGCTGAAGTTCTGGATACCGAACTGGCAGGCTTCCTTGCCCGCATACTGTCCAGATCTGAAAGTGGGATTCGAGCCCGAGGTGACCAGGGAGAGCACAAGCTCGTCCATGCCGACCGAGATCTTGGGGCCATTGTCACCGCCAAAGCCGAAGGTGAACTGACCCTTGCTACTGGCCATGGAGCACGGGACAATGGCGGAATCGACTTCGGAGGAGTAGATGGCACCGACTTCCGTCCACACCTGGGCGGCAATGTCGGTGGGGAGGTAGCTGAGGGTAGTGCCGGAATCCAGGACAACGGGGATGGGGAATTCCCGAGACGAAAGCGTATCGCTGCCAGACGATGAGTTGGCCGTGACCGAGGTCAGGTAGACGATGAAAGAGCTGAACGAGTTGGTCTGCTCGTCCTTGATGATGTCAAGACGGCTGAGGTCGCCCTCGTACTTTTCCGTGTCGATTCCGCCGAACAAAATGCTGCCCGTACTGGCGTCGAGGTCGTTCAGCCACAGACTGTAGGCATTCGTCGCGATGAGACCCTCGTTCTGCATCAAGACAGGGAGGTTGTCGTAGGCGGCTGACAAAGACTGCTCGGTGCCGACAATGGCTTCGTTGATGGCGTAGCCGACACCCACGAGACCGTACGGGATATCGGTGTCCTCTCCCAGACCCATTGTCATATTGGACAGCTTGGCGCCACCAATCTCGAAAACGTCGGTGAAATAGTCGCCTTTCGAATGGCTGCCATCGACGTAGGCTATGCTGAAGTCACCCTGGCCCACAACGGTGTAGCTGCTGGATTTATCGGGATTGACTGTGCAGGAAAAGGTCAGACAAGGTCGAGCGAGCGAGCATCAAAATCATGATTAGAACTCACAAGACCCAAAGGTGCAGCCGTCGCTGCTGCTGCTGCTGCTGCCTCCTCTCGACGCCGACTTCTCACATACTGAGGACTGACTCGAGGGAACCCAGATGTCGCTACTTCCGGTATCCAGCTGCAGTGTCAGGTTCTGGGCCGGTGTACCCACGGAGACGGTCGCAAAGTAGCCACCTCTTGCCTCCTCGTTGGTGATAACCTCGGTGTAGGTCGAAGCGGCGCGGCGTCGCAGGCCTTTCTTGGGGGCCAGGTCCCGCTTCTGGATGTCCCATTGCACCACCTGGGCGTGCGCAACCGAAGCCAGCAGCGAGCCGGTAGCGAGTGTTACGGCGGACTTCATGGTCGCACCGGGTTTGGCGACTTGTCGGGTCGGATTGGGCGGGCGAAAGTGGTGGAAGGAGTCGTGGTGTGGCCGGGTTCGAAGTCTGCGAAGTCGATGATGTCAACCGTCAACCGCCTCAGATTGCAAGGGACCCGGAGTCGGGACAGGCGCAACAGAAGGTGGTATTTCACTCGGCAGCAAGGGGTTGTGGAAAGAAAAATAAATAAATAAAGGGTTCACAATGCCAAGACACCGAAGTTTTAGGAGATGAGAGGATGACGCATGAACAAGGCACGAGAAAAAGAGAGGGTCGTACTGACAAAAGAGGACTGCGCCGCGGTTATTAAGGCGACAGGTGGTCCAGCTCCATCTAAGTAGGAAACAAAAAAAGAGATGTCACCCAGCCCAGCTGAATAGACTATGAGATGCCAAGAGACTAAGTCACCAACACAACCCAAAGAGAGGGGACGGGCGTCCCTGCGGCAGGGCTTAATAAGAGGCAGGCGACGATGCGGACAGGCGCTCCAAGGGGGGAGCCGGGTGGCGGAGTCGTCGCGTCGCATCGAAGCATCCAATCCTAGCAGCCGGAACGACCGGGGGGTTGGCAACCTTTGCCCTGTTCTGCCTGTCTGTCTGCCCTGTGATGGAGCAGTCTTGCAGTCTAAGTTAGTTCAAATGTCAAACAAACAGGGCAATCTTGACAATGCCAGTGCTGGTGCCGTCCAAGATCGTGGAGCAAATCACGGCCCCGGCTAACTGCTGTTAGCCTCCCTACGGCTGACTTGGCGGGTAGGGGTAGCTAACTCAGCGCTTGGCATCGCGGATGATGGCTTGGATGGCGATGCTTGTCGACAGTTAAGCTCATCCGCCGATGGCTCTTGGCCTGGCGGATCGGGGCAATCTGGGAGACAAAGAACAGTCCCTGAAAATGCGAAGGCGCTCTCGTCCCACAGCCGTAAGCATGAAACACTCAGGGTCGTGAGCTGAATGCCATCGACGTTCCCGAGACGTCTTTGATTGGCCTCACAGCTGAAAAGCCCTAGAGGTTGGACGGAACTCGGCTCAACGCTCTGCCAAAATAAGCACCGCCCCGCCCACTTAAACTCACAGCACCTCTAGCTTAGCCAGCCTACCTAGCGGTTCTATCATTCTGATTTGTCGGTGAGACTGTTGGCCACAGGCGGCTCAAACTCGACCTGAGGTCTTCAGAAGAACTTGCTCATGGGCGCCCTCCCGCGTCAAGCTGAGGTAGTGCTAACAAGTTGAAACGCTCCTTGTTTGCGGCCCCCTCCTCAGCTGCTGGCTGTCCCCCGGAAGCCGGAAGCAAGCACCTTGGGGGCTGTCCTGTCTGTATGCTGAATCGTGTCGACCGTCCGTTTATCTGACCAGATCGAGCAGCTTTAAAACGCGCAGCAGATCCAACATGGAGCGCTTCAATCAAAAGGGGGAATGAACAGGATGGACCAGACGGAGAAATTCTAGCTCATTTTGACAGCAGTGAACAGCTTCTTCTTCAGCTCCAGCACAGCCTGCAGTAGACACCATATGTCGGACATCAGCCGCATCAATCCACTGCGCAGCTGAACTGCCTGCATTACACGGTAAATTCCGCCCAGGCTTCAGCGTGAACGGCCTGGGACCAGCTCACCTAGAACCGGAGAAATCTAACAGCCGTGTGTCGCACGTGGCGGTTAACCCGTCAACCAGTCAGCCGTCTATTCGTTGAGTAATCAACCCCAGGTACGCATGGTAGAGGATTGCATATGCGGCTCGGCTTGGGCAGCAAGAGAGATAGAGAACATGCAAAGGCGCGTTGCTCTCCAGCTACAAAGACTGACGTTTAGATGCCACTTGTCCCATCAGTATAGACACTTCCGGCCCCAGTCTCAACTCTTGCCGTGTTGCGTTTACCTTGAACCATGGATGGAAGCAAGTCGGTGACAAACAACCTGGAACGATAGTAGTATATAGTTGCGACGATGGAAAAGAGTCTGGAGGTGGGCGGCATCCACTGGGGCCACTAGGATGATTCTCCGCCGGCGCCGGCGGCAATTGGGACTCTGGAGAACTTTGAGTCTGCGGGTATGTTCCAGGTGACATCATTATAACTGGGGATCGTGTCCTACCGATTCTGAATTTCACGCGATATGTAGGCGAATATCGGGTTCTTATTCGCGCATCGTATCGCATAAGGAACGGACGAATCGCCGCATCTTACTCAACGAGCCAACTCGGGTTATCTGTTCCTGACTGAAATCTCTTCTTACGTGTGACCGACGCGTAGACGACTAGAGCATCCGCATCTCAATACGCCCGATACCTACCGACCCTCACCACTTGAACCAACCGGAGCTCTTAGTCCGACTCCCCCACAACCGCCAGACTGGATTCACTATCTGAACGACATCAGAACAGGGAAAGGAGGTGTCGCCAATTGGCCAAGGCGTATCGTGAAGTCTGGACCGCCTGGTTCTTGCGTCAACCTTACAGCTGGCATTAGTAGTACCCAGACAGAGATCCGGAGATATCTCCGTGCAGGGGCACATACATATATGCCCGAACCCACCTCACGATACCTTCTTGGACATTCACCTATATTACTTGCCTCACAGCTTTTATAGACGTCTTTCATATAACAGCAAGCATTTTCCTCCGGATCAGTACCATCAGCGAAGATACCCCATACCCAGTCCCGCGCTGCCTTTCCATATACCCTCTACCTTTCAGCAACGGTTTCCACTCGATTCGAACTTGATACGTCACAGACACGATGTGTCCCTCCAAAGAACTTCGCACAGTCTGTCAGGGCTGTAACAAAGTAGGCAGTCAACAACATTTCGAGATCTACTGCCCGGTGGGGCGGCAGCAGCACTTTGCCGCCAAGACAGACTGCCCGCACTACAAGCACGAGGCCCTCAACGTTGGGTCCTATATCTGCGACAAGTGCCTCCACGACATTGGCTGGAACAGCGAGATGCTCACTGGCTAGGCCAGCAGCTAAGCATCATTTGAGCCATTTGCATGACCAGCACTTGTACACACACTAGCATTAGCATCATGGGCAGTAGCATATACCATACGAAACTGGCGTTACTGGAGCTGGCAATCGCATAGCACGGTAAATGATACGGACAATCTATGAGACTTGGGCCCTGGATAGAATAGAATAGAATAGAGTTGGATAGAATAGACATGACGACGTACCTGATCAAGCCTCATACTGCAAATGGTTGTCCAATGGCTCTGAATATGTCCAGCGAGATTGATCCTACTGGAAACGGCTGCTTGCTGGCTTGCTGGAAGTCCCAACGCGGTGAACAAGCCACGCAAGGTCACAGGCATGGCCGCGCAAGGTGCCACAATCTCTTACCCCTGGCTTTCATAGCCCATACCGATTTTCCACCACGAGGCAAGCCCTCGCCGTTCCATCTCGTCCCCGAAGGCAGCCACGGACTCGACCTCGTTGAACGGCGCGGAGGACGATGGCGCCTTTGTCTCTTGCCCCAGCAGCACCTCACGAGCCGCGGGCTTCTGCGCGCACTGGAAGTCCTTGTACCGCAGCTCGTGCACGGCGCTGACCCAGCTGCTCAGCGACTCCCCATCGGCGCTCTCGGCGTACATGATGCCCGGCGACCCGCCGTAGCGGACCAGGACGTACGGGATGGAGCGGTGCGCCGCGGCTTTCTTGACGCGCTGCAGCTTCTTCCGGGACGTGATGTGGTGCGTGCGGATGAGCGTCGTGAAGAGACGCAGTGGGGAGCTCATCGCAGGCCAACTGCGCGGAGCGCATCCAAGAGTAGTTGGGACAGGAGGGACATGTAAGAAACGGTGGACTTCGTCCGACGCAAGTCAGGAGCAGGGACGGCTATTTCTCGGATGAACACCGCACCGGGTCTTCTGATCATGACTGATTGTATCTTGACCTGGCACATGCAATGCCTGAGAGACAAAAGCATTAAGCATTAAGGTTAAGTTATGCTGAGCTTCTGTCACTTGCTTGAATGCATGGAAAAGAAGTCGTTGTCGACTGTGCTTGGCAAACCTGGTAGGAGTGCGGACAGCTGCGGTGGCTGCTCACAGGTGCTGGGACGCGGCACCAAATTTAGTGTCAAGGTACTATCCCCTAGGGGATTTGGGGGCGACGACACTCTTCACGACAGACCGCCGTCAACTTTGGCCGAAGCATTATACTACATCGAATGCGGTCAGCAACCGCAGCATGAGTACGACTCCTTCGACACTTTGGTAGCATGCATGAACCGCTCATCAGTTTGGCTAAAGTGGTCACATAACTTTTAACATGTTGCGCCAAACTCGGATTGGGTGTCTTGTTCCTATGGTTCACAGAGTTTAGGGTTTTGACGACACTTACATCGTGGCCGGTTCTCAATTTTGCTTCTCTTTCGCTGTGCTTGGTAAAGGAATTCAGACTTTGGGATGTCTGATCAACCGGAGAGCCATTCAGAGACCCTGGAGGAGGCTCGGGCACGGCTCATGTGCACCCTGGACTCCATCGCTTCGGGAGGGGTGTCAGATGAACCACATGACCAGGAGGCAGGCGTGCTTTGTGCTCAAGCCAACCTGGGCATGACAGACTATGGAAGGCATGATGCCCCTGTTGAGGATAAAGAACACGGCGGCACGACGGATTCATCGGTCATGGAACTGAGCACAGCTTCAGCCACCAGGACTGGGTTAACCAAGGCCGCCCCGGTGAAGGAAATCGATTCGGTCAGCTTGTCGAAATATGGCGACTTTCTCGATGAAGCTGACTTCGTCGCGCGAGCCACTAGAGATCAGAGGCGTGCTTGGGTTCGAGCTAACCTCGCGCTCGACACAGCATCCCGAGATCCTTCCCACATCTCTTCCGACAGAGGATCCCGTGACGCTTTCTGCTGGATATGCGCAAGGAGGGGCCTGTTCAGAACTTGCCCGCAGATGCTGTCGCCGGAGATCAATCCCAAAATCACGATAGCTGACCACGTTGGCGCAGCTGTTTTCGGAAATGACGTTGCTGATCCTGGTTGGAACCCGGAGAATAAGAGAATTGTCTTGTACACCGACGCCGCCACGAAAAACGGTAACGAGGATGGCCCAGGCATAGCTGGCGCTGCTGTTACTTCCAGATTCTTGGGCCAAGGCCCCCCGTCGTGGTCTAACGCTTCGTACGCCATTATTGGGACGCATCACTCGCACAAGGCAGAGCTATATGCAATTGGGTTGGCATTGGACATCGCCGCCTGCGAGATCCAGAGAATGGTCGACGACAGCCGCCGGCGCGGCTTCCAGGATGGCAATCAGGAGCGGCCGGAGTTCCCCAGCGTGATTATTATGACGGACTCGCAGTCATCCCTTTACTATATCCACGACTTCACCTGGCAAGACACTGTTCCTGAGATATTCTCAGACGATACATTCACCAACCTGATGGGTCCGCTGAAATGGATACTTCAGCTGGGAGTTCGAGTCCGCTTCCACTGGGTGCCGGCGCACACGAACGTCGACGGAAACTGTCGAGCGGATGCCGCGGCTAAGGCTGCCAGCGTGGAGTCGATGAAGTTCTACTCGGTACTGGCAGACCAAGGATCCCGGGATTGTCACATCGTGAATATTCAAGGCCATCCGCATGGCGAGCCCAATGGTGACGATTCGCCCTTTTCAAAGCCCAAACCTCGTATCTACGCCAAGGTGGCAACCCAGATCCGAGCCCTTGAAATAAACTTCATCAACAAAACCTACCGTGATCGGTATCAGAGCTGGATTGCGAGATTGATATGAGTTACGAAAAGCCTCGGAAAGGACCTTTATTCAGCGGCCACAGGCCAGGACATGAATACAGAGAAGAATGCATTAGCAAAGCAACTTTATCGGCAGCCAATGTGTATTCGATCAGTCGGAGTAGTTTGTTACTATTGGTCGGGTTTTCGTCATCCTGACAGAGATAGCTCCAGCTCGATGCGTTTCTACACTGGACAGTGATATTACAGAAGCATGCATTTACAATACTATCCAGGGTCACCAATGAGACAATCACGAGTTTTCGAAGAATGTAAAGCTCATTATTTATTATGGGGTGTTGATTATCGGCCGCTCTTTGTTTGGCTGAAACGCTGCGTTCCTGATATTGCTGTTGTCTCAAATCGCGTAGCCACCAGAATTAATCTGTCTTGGTTCACCTGCCGCCTCGAAAGTTCCATTGGGTAGCAACCTCAGGGCCTGTGCTGTGCTCGAACCTGGGGCAGTCCAGGTCACGTTGTGGCCAAGGCTCTGCATGAACGCAACCGTGCTGTTGTCATAAGCCCACTCGAAGGAGACCTGGTTCGGTACCAGCTGGTCATGAAGCCTGGGTTGGGCCAATGCCTCAGGCGCGGTCATGCCCTGGTCAATTACGTGGTGGATGTTTTGAATCGTGGCTGTAATAATACGGCTGCCACCAGCCGATCCAACTACGAAGTAAAGCTTGCCATCCGCAGTCTCGACAATAGTGGGTGAAATCGATGACAGAGGTCGCTTCCCAGGTCGCACGTAGTTTGAGGGGCTGGGAATATAGCCGAAAGCATTGCTTGATCCGGGGATGGAGAAATCGTTCATCTCATTATTCATGATGACTCCAGTCTCAGGGACCATGAGTTGCGATCCAAACAAGGTATTAATAGTCGTTGTCAAGCTGATCGAGAGGCCGCTGGCATCGGCCGCGCCAACATAGCTCGTACCAGGGGTCTCGAGACTCTCGATACCGGAAGGGTCGTATGCTGATACGTTCTGAGTGGCGACGTCCGAGATCTTGGACCGGATCTCCGCGGCTGCGGCATCAGAAAGCATGGACTGCTGGTACTCGAGGATACCATCGAGGAATGAGGGGTCTCCCAACTTGGTCCGTTGGCCATACGCGAATCTCATAGCCTCATCAAGACGGTGAGTCGTAAGGTTGATGGCGGAAGGGTCGTCGAATCCAGAGTAGCCGTCGACGATTTTCAAGGCGCTCAAGGCAACAGAACCGCCTGCGGGGGTACCGCAGGTAGTCAACTTGTACCCGCGGTAAGTGATCGACGAAGGCTTCCTCAAGGCTACGGTGTAGTTCTTCAAGTCTTCCAAGGTCATGGTCCCGTTGGATTTCTGCAGTGCAGAGACAGTCGCGTTCGCAATGGCTCCCGTGTAGAAGGCATCAGGTCCTTCCTGGGATATTACCTCCAACGTGTCTGCATAACGCTTTCGCGTCATGGTGTCATTCAACTGGAGTCTGGTGCCATGCGGTGCAAAGTCCATAGCCCAAGACGGGTCTTCGGTGAAGAATTTGCCGTTGGGGGTTACGGAATCCATGTAACGAACCTGGTCCTCATCCACCCTGAAGCCTTCGCGGGCTACCTTGATTGCCGGCTTCACCACGCATTCCCAGGGCAATTTTCCATAGTTCTTGTGCAGGTACTCCAGGCCTCGAAGTTCACCAGGTACACCACTAGAAAATAGATCAGCTCGACTTAGACTCATATCAGGTATATCAAAGCGGCTCACCTCGCGAGTCCTCCGTACAAGCTGGCAGCGGTATTGTTTGTGTACATGTCTTCGAAAGCTGCGGCGGGCGCCGTCTCTCTGAAATCGATGAACTCGTAGCTTCCATTGCTACTGCGAACGAGCATGAAGCCGCCGCCTCCGATGCCACTGTGAACCATGCCGATCACGCCGACGCACAGCACGGTGCCCACCAGCGCATCTGCTGCATTGCCGCCGTCCTTGAGGAGCTGGATGCCGATCTTGCTGCAAACGTCTTTCTCAGATGCCACGGCGCCCAGTCGAGGCTCGTGGCTCTGGTAAGGCGATCCCGTAGCATACTGCGTGATGCAGGCTAGCTGGACGAGCCATGCAATAGCCGTTGTGCGGTACCGTGGGAACATGTTGGCTTACCACGCACTTTCAGGTTTGGTGTCTTTGAAGTATAAACGGGCAAAGTCACCAATTGAATCCCAGCGGGCTCGTGCTCGTGAAGTTGCACAAGATGAGCGAACGTGGGTGGGCTGGAAGGGAACGGGAAGCTGACCAGAGATCGGGGCCCAGGCTGGCAGCTCGGAGATATAGGTGAAGATAAACAACGCAAAGAAACGGAACCGCCAAGGCGTTCCTACACTAGACGCAATCGTAAATTCACCCAGGGGAACAGTCAGCGAGGAGCTATTTGCCGTTTGGGGCCGGTGATGACGATCCTGCCTTGCCTGACATGCATACTGCGGGGAACGAGCAAGGGACGCTGTAGCGGGGCTTATCAGCGCGGAACGCCCTCGTTACGAATTGCGTCCTGCGCACCCTGGGTACCTGGACCTGGGTAGGCGGGCGGCCGCCAGGATTACTGCTAATATCGTTTACATCACGCGCGGGCATGGGCACGCCTGCAGATAAGCATCATTGGGGCGTGGGAAAACGCCGTCTGAAGGATTCCTGCAGGAACGAGGCGCCTTCTGTGTCTTTTTTTTTGTTGACGAATTTGGCGTCCGAGACTGGGCGGGCTAACCAAACGGCAATTATTTGCGAAGTTCCAATCCAGGAAGTACGCAAGCAGCTCATTGGCTACATAGAGACATAGCACACACCTGTGGCAGAGACACAGTTGCACTCTATGTTAAAGTCAAACTTCGCGATATAGTCTGCCTAACAAAGCTCCCTCAACAAAACCCACTTCCGCTTTTGAACCTGAGCTCTTGGCGGTGTGACCTGAACTATAGCACTCACAGGACTTTCACAGCTACTCACTTCAACCGTGTCGGCTCTACCAAAGCGTCCGGAAAAGCGAGTGAGGCTTCCTCTTCAGTTCACGAGGGTCACCCACCTCCACGATCCGTCCCTTTTCCATGACCACAACGAGATCCAGGTCGCCGATCGTCTCTAGCCTGTGCGCCACTACCAAGACGATTTTGTCCTTGAATGCCTCCCGCAGCACCCTTTGCGCTTGTTCATCCGAATGGTGGTCAACGCTACTAGTGGCTTCATCCAGAAGCACTACAAGCTTTTTGCTCAGCAGGGCCCGAGCTAGGCAAAAGAGCTGCTGCTGCCCGTGAGATAGTCCGAGGCCCCCGCGGCTGCTGATGGTTTCCCACACGCCAACTCGAGATAATGCATCGATAAGAACCTAGTCACCAACAACCGTCTCCAAAGGATCAAGGTTCGTACGGACGGAGCCAGGCGGTGTAACGGAATTCTGGGGCAAGGCTGTGAGATGCGTTCGAGGCACTGCGCTCGGTACCGACGCGAGATCGAGTCCGTCAATTGAAATGAATCCGGACTGGGTTTGGGGAAGGTTTAGGAGGCTTAGCAACCGTGAACTCTTACCGAAGACTCTCTTCCTGAAAGCCGCGCTGCCAGCCAAATGCTCGGATAGTTGCCACGCCATTAAGGGTCTCAGTGAAGTGTGTATATAGTGGCGACTTGGCCTAGCCAGTGAGTGACACCTGCGTCCCAACCGTTCCAGGAAGTGCCCAGAGCGCGACCAGGGCAATGCGGAAGCAAATTAACGTTGTGACTGCTGCCTGTGTGCAGAAAAGCATGAGATATGTTGACCACACTGGACGTCCTCTGCCCCCATGGGCGACTTACAAGCTTAGCCCACAGGAGCCGTCCGGCACGCACACAGGTCTCCCTCTGCCATAGCGATATCGTCCTGGCTATGGACACTAAGATGAACAAGGCAGAAGGGAGAATCCCCAGAATGCCCTGTTCGAACAGGAGCGTGAAGTCGAACACATCATCCTCCTGTGGGCCGAACGCGATGTCGGCAGTATCGCGTTTGTAGGACACGTTCAAATCATGTAAATCCATGATGGCCGGGTCTGTAGTTCAGTTAGAAGACCGTTTTCTCTCACAACAGACTCAAAGGCTTCGTCGCGTTTGTTGGTGATTCTAGGCGAAGGTCTACGACAGGGCTCGTCGGGGATGGTTATAGGGTGATGCGAGCAGTCGGCCCGGTCCTCTCAATGCTCTACTCATCATCCGCGGTACGAATCCGGACCAAGATCAAGACGTAGCCTAACTGTATCTGGTAATCAAAATTCGTCAACCACGTCTATCACAGCTTTGGCTGCTGCTTGTTTACCTTAGATCCGAGATTACAAGCTGCAGACTAGAGGCTCACCAGTAATTACCATATATGGTTAGAATATATCGGAGACTATGACTCAGCCGGCGTCTCAGCGATGCAGCCCAAGAGGGAAGGTAGTTAGTAAACAGGTAATTCTCATCTTTGCCTATATACGTTGACAGGCATAAATCGTATTATAACACTATATTCCCTATTTTAACTTGATCCAGAAATTATTCAATTGAACTACAAAACGCATACTTGATGTGTGCTTCAGATACAGAACTAGGTCACTCGTATGGCCGCCACCTTCGTGTGGATTGAGCCCTCTAAACAACACTTGCTTTTAGGAATCCTGAGCCAGGTGCCAAGATTTCCAACACCTTAGCCAGATGGAATGGTTTGGTGTCAAGAATGTGTTTATGGATATAATTTCGGAGCAGTCTCAACATGCTGAATATGCTAGTTATACTACCAACTGCGATATAATCTACGATATGCACGAACATTTTTGAGAAACTGGGGATTCCGTCCACTATTCATACATAAACTAATCTGGTGAGCGAGGACAGGTCAAGACTCGTTGCCCGGAGATACAGGGTGTTGCCACGCCTGGTATGCCACCCAAGACTGAAATACTCCTACCACTAAAGAAAGTATGCCTAAGAATACCGCTATAATGACACCAACGAATGTAGCCATCATGACATACCGTGCGCCGCTCTTTCTTTCAAACCATTTCTCCATTATGCCTCGAGGACTAGGGCTTTCAACTTCATCATAGAGCTCCATCAGTCTAGTCCCAAAGTGGCGGTAGGGAAAGTCCTCGTCGTAGGCTACAAAATCATAGTTTACGCAGTCTGGATCTAGAGACTGTTTCGCGACAAGACGTCTTAATTTCAGTTCTGAATCCGTCCCAAAAGGAAAGAGAATCATCTGGAGCGAGTGGAGCGCTTCAAGAGCGACCTGTGCTGGGATATTATTTCTATCCATTACCTGTAAGCAAGATCCGGTCTCTTCTCTATAAATCTGACCAAGGTTTACAACTTACTTGAATGGTGAATTAGCTATGGCCAGATGCTCCTTTAAAACACTAGTGTAGTGATATATTTCAACCACGCCATTCTTCGAGTCAAGCCTGAGATGGTTCCGGAGATCCTCGGTGCCGCGGAAAGTCAGGCGGGCAATTTTCTCCAGTCGCCGCGCGGTAATCGAGGACTGGATATCGCGTGACTTCCCGGCGTGATCCAAGACATTCAGCGCCCCTACGTCGCCTTTGGGGAACGCGCGTGAGACAAAGCTCGAGAAGCTTGCGTCGTTGTGCCACGGTATTAGCTGAGTTCCCAGCTCCGTGCCCAAATCAAGTATGCCGGACGGCTGCTGCTCGGCGGAGCAGTTCACCATGGTCATAATTTTGACGACAATATTGAATGCGCGATGCTGGTCGGTAGACGAGGGCGACTTGGACGGGCGCTGAGAGAAATACTGGTGGGTGAGCTGGGCCCGGAGCTCGTCCGGCCGATCCTTGATCAGCCGGATGATGTCGGCGACATCTTGGTGCGACCGGAGCGCCGGCTGATCACCGTAGAGCAGCTCGGGGACATAGGCGGACGTCACATCCTTATAAAATGCGAAATAGCTTGCGAAAACGGGCGCGCGCTCCCAGGCGCACTTTGCTCCGCTGCAAGATTGACCGCCTTTACAGCTCGCGCAAAGCTCCCACCCCCAAAGGGCTTCACAAAGCCGTTTCAGGTCAACGTCGTCCACTTGATCGAGGGGGTACGCTGATTGAAGTGAGCCAATCATGTCGGAGCGCCTAGCCTCGGTTTCCCCGGTCGCTTACGCACCAGAAGTGGAAAAATGGCGACGCGACAGCAGGTAAGTGGGATGACGGGTCTTTATGGCAGGTATTGGCTGGACCTCAATACCTAGGTATGTAAGCAATTCACCGAAATGTGATGGAGCTGAAACAGGCCTGGCGGTGCGTGGAGGGGGAGGGAGGGTTGCGGCAGTGCTGGGCGCCAAAGGATTGTCGAATGACAGAGGGTAGCCCATGTTGACATGAGTGGGTGGCGGTGTTTGTACATATCGCCAGGAGCTGAAAACATGCAGCAGTTAGCGGCCTCCCCATTGCCAGGACATCTCCCAGAGCCTCGTCTCCTCTGCCTTCTTTCACAACAGTTCAATCGCTAGGTCAAAACATCTCATCATCTCTGAGGCGTTGAAAACGAATATGAACGACAATACCGGGTCGGCGTCGCTGTCGGCCCCGCTTGAGGTGCAGAAGCTCCGGATCCAATCGGCCGATCTCGAGCCGCGCCGAGATTCGGGCTACTTCACACAGTCACAGACTCCGGACCGAACCTCAAAGCAGTCGAGCCGCAGCTCGTCCAACTCCGTCGACAGGATCCCTACCCAGACGCTGGTGTTGCGATCAGGAGTCAAGGCTGGCGATGACCTATCCGAATTTGACATTCACGTGGATGAAGCCACAATTGATCGGTTCAAAGTCATACAGTTGCGGATTGAAACACCGTTGTTGAAGTATGTACAGAAGACCAAGGGAAAGTACCGCGCCATGGCCATACGGCTGATGGTCCTTGGAAAGACAGCTGCCCAAGCGAAACCGCATATTGTGGTGCTGGCAGCTGAGGACCAGTGCAAGCGTGTGCGGAAGTTCTTTGATAAGTCGTCGGTTCAAGACTTGGTTCGACCGTCCGATAAAAGCTTGCCATCATTTGAGGTGCTTATCTACGGGCGGCCTCCAGACCCCAAGAAAGCCGAGGATGATATCGATGTGTTGGCACCCCTCATTAACGGCGACGTTGGCTTCACCGCTGACACCTTCTGCGGCGCTCCTATTGTCATCCGTCACCCGTCTGGAACAGAGAAGAGAGCCACACTGGGAGGAATTATCAAGGCTGTCAATCAGCACGGGGATTTCAGACTCTACGGCCTGACTGCGGGTCATGTTGTCGGCAACTCAGACGATTATATGTCAATCGCTTCAGCCAGTGACAGTGTGCCCTCGACAAGTGACGAACTATTCCTATCAGACTCGGAAACAGATTCTGACTGTGAATCTGACTTGGAAAATCCCTCCGAGAAGGACCGCACATCTGCCAGCGAAGTTGAGGAGCGCGCCTCAGAAGCTGGAAATTTGGAGAGTTCCGAGACAGTGTTGATGTTCCAGGACGGCTCGACAGCTTGGTCATCTCTCGAGCTCGGTGTCATGGGAAGGATCTCCAAAAAGAGCCCCCAAGTGGCTGATCAGTCTGATCGAGCAACAACCGATGTCTCTGCTTATTTTGACTGGGCTCTCATTGAAATGTCGAAGTACAAGCCAAATCGACTGCGCCCTCGCACGCACAACGCTGATGATGCGGCGGACCCTGTAGCCACCACATCGGGTGACTTGCTGATGCCACCTCCATCTTCTGATTACAATGGTGTGAGAAAGTCGGTAGTCGTCATCACTGGATCTGAGGGACCGAAAAGGGGGACTATCTCGCCGCTTCCATCGAGAATCCTTATGGGTCCCGGCAAGGTGTTTGTGGATACATTGGTAGTGAATCTTGGTTTGGGAAAAGGTTTGCATTCTAAACGAGAGTAGTTGATATGGTCAAGGACTAACTGTGGCTTAGAAATTGTCGACGGTGATTCGGGATCCTGGGTTGTGAACGAGAGAACCCTCGAAGTCTATGGACACGTCATTGCTTCCGACGCTTTTGGGGGCGGATACATCATGCCGATGCAAGATACTCTTCGCGACATCTCAAAAACCCTGCAGGCCAGGACGGTTACAGTGGCCTCTCTAATTGACATGGCCAGCGTTGCGATGGAGAAGATGGACTTAGCCATCCCCGACCTTGAAGCGGAACTTACAACAGAACTAACTAAGACCCCTGCATCAAATGGATGCTCGATAACTACCGATTTAGTCAACGGGGGAGCGAGCGAACTTAATCCGCACAAGCGTAAAGAAAGTGAAAGAAGTATCCATTGGAGACGGAATTCACAGCCACCTCATGTAGATTTGGAGCTCGAAGGAAGACGCCGTGCAAGGGAGCGAGTGATAGATGATTTGATCGGTTCAAGGACTCGAGCGAGACGAGATTCTCGAGTCGTGGATACTCGATATGGATCGAGGCTTCTAGAAACTGACGAGAAAACTGGACGGGACAGGGACCTCGAACCAAGGTACCGTCCCAGAAGGTACGAACGAGAAAAGTCTGTCGACTTCGATCGCCGACCCCAACAAGATTTTTACATCAGACCAAACATCTTGCACAGAGGAGATCTACGGGACGAGTACGAGTCCCCGGACAGAGCTCGTTTGTATCGTCGCTTCCACGAATCCGACGACATTCAGCGTGGGCGTCTCAGCGACTTGGAAGCTCCTAGAGCTCGTATTCCCCACCCGAACGACCGAAGTTCGAGTCTCGATCGAAATGAGCGTTCTGAAAGGGATCGGAATCGAGGCTTTGGCATAGCCCTGGACGACCATTACAACAGAATACGGCCAGCCAGATACCACCATGACGATGAATACACTTATCCGCAAGTTTCCATAGCACTTCCGCACGGCAGAGATGACTCCAGAGTCTCCCAATCATCCACCAGGCCATACCATTACACGCGCCGCCGAGACCGCTCTCCACGCCCGTCCGGCTTCACAGACTCGGGTTACAGCACGGCACGCAACTCTAATGATACAATGTTTATCCATATCTCAGGCGAGAGAGGATATGACTCCGGTTACAGCACGGGACGCTCCTCCGGTAGTCGCTCGGCGCGCCACTCGACCACTAACTCACAGGAAAACACACCGTTGCCACAGCACATGGTTACTGTCCATACCTCACACGGCTACGCGGAGGGACCAAAGGATAGAAGTAGGCGTGTTGCGAGTGAGGAAAAGCTGGTCGATCAAAGAAGAAAAGAGATCACTGCCTTGAGAGAAGGAGTAGACAGTATAGGACGAAAAGATTCTGGCGACGCGTTGCAGAAAGAGATTGACGCATTGAAACATCGAATCGATATGATGGCGGCTGAGTTGAAGGCTAGCACAGACGCAGTGGCTGAAGCTCTGCCTTCTATTCGCGGTGAATTGCAAAGGGGAAAGACGGTCAAGGCACATAATGAGGAGTCACAGAACCTAGATGGCAAGGACGAGAGCACAACATTGTGGTGAGGTTCCGGCTTAATATGCAGTTTGTTTCGAATATGTAGAAGACTCACGCCAGCTGCTCTATCTCGGTTGTCACTGAGGAGCACCACTTTCGTACGAATCGATAGGCACATAGGTATAGGTAGTTCCACTCACTTCGTTGCATCATTAGCGGGCATGCTTCCATTGTGCACGCATTTCGCAAGCATTCACGGCAACATTGAGTTCCTTTCCTCCCCAGTTTATAAATTTCACAATACTATAGACTTGCAACCTGAACCGAGAGATTTTCTACAATGCCCCGCTTTGGTCCCGCACTCCGTGTCGCGACAGCACTAAGATGATGCCGAGGCTCCTCCGGTGTCACGACTCCGCTTTGCGTCAAGGGCCGAAATACCGGAAGGAGCCGCAAATTTGGCCATCTCCGGTCGAATTCATCTTGATCCAAAGACTTTCATTTCAATTGACATCTTCAAAAATGAACGCGAGTAAATATGATGTGCCATCTCAGGCACAGAAAGTCCTCGAGGATGGCATCTTGAAGAACCCACTGATGCAGGGTATCCCAATCGAACTGCTTTCCCTCAGCGAACTTGTCCGGTTTGAAGGTTCTTCTCAACCGAGTATTCCTATCAACTGGCGTTTTGCCGAGAGCATATCAGCACTGAAGGCATTCGAGGCACTTATGCTGAGCCACCTGATTACTCGCAAATATGGCATGAAGCCTACGGAAATAACCATTAACACGTATGTATATTCCAGGACTCGTGGCCGCCGCAGCTAAACGGTACTAGCGACCATGCTTCCTTGTTCTTCATGTCGCCGCTAGTTGCTCAAGTCATCAAGGATGGCAAACCGCAACCAATCAGTATGCTATCAGAAAGCATGAGAGAGTTTTTCCCCAGTCATGACTTGCATCGATCACAGGAAAATCTGCATAGACAGTTGGCAACCAACATATACAAAACTAAGGACGGGAGGTTCTATCATGTACACGGTACGGTTCAGAAACCAGCCACTCAATGGCCGAACTTTGGGCGTAATCATACCTAGGCTGTTTGCTAATAGTGAAATTGCGCAGGGAGCATGAACCCTGAGCCAACACTCACGGCCTTGGGTCTGCCAATGGATGGAGAGTCACAGGACACTTACGACTCTGTGGCCAAGAAATTCCAGGAAACAGTGTCCAAGTTGGACTCTGCAGAGATTGACGAGCTCATGAATGAGCAGTATAGGCAGGCAGGCACCATTGCCTGGAGCTCGGACGAGTTTTTCGCTAGCCAGCACGGTCAGGAGAACGGACGTGTAGGATTGTATGAGATTTCCAAGGACTCTGCTTCGTCTCAGCCAGCTTCATGGTGGCCCGAGAATGAGAGTAACCCGTCGTCGTCTAAGAGGCCCCTTGCTGGACTCAAGGTTGTTGACTTGACCAGAGTAATCGCCGGTCCAGCGATAGGTCGAGGCCTTGCAGAAATGGGCGCTAGTGTCATGCGAGTGACGTCGCCTAATGTTACCGACCTTGGCGTCCTTCACCAAGACCTCAACTGGGGCAAATGGAACTGTCATTTGGACCTGAAATCCGAAGCTGACAAGGAAAAATTGAGGCAGCTGATCAAAGAAGCCGATGTTGTCGTTGACGGGTACAGACCTGGCGTTATGGAGCGCCTTGGTTTCGGTCGCCAAGCCGTTCTTGATTTGGTCAAGGATCGCCCCTATGGCATTATCCACGTCCGAGAAAACTGCTATGGCTGGCATGGGCCGTGGCAACATCGATCTGGCTGGCAGCAGATCAGTGACGCTGTAAGTTGGAGTCCTCCTCGGTTATAGTACACGGGTAGAGTTGGTCACTGACCAAACAAAGTGTTGCGGAGTTTCCCTTGCGTACGGTAGGGCTATGGGTAACGATGAAGCGGTTACCCCGGTCTTTCCAAACTCCGACTACTGGTAAGTGTGCTCTAATGAGAATTGTATAGCGGCTCCATTATTTTGTCCTGCTAATGTTCCTCACAAAGCACGGGTGTCTGTGGAAGCACCGCAGTCTTGGCAGCACTGATCAAAAGAGCTGAAGAAGGGGGCAGTTATGGGTTAGACGTAAGTAACACTGAGTCTGGGAATCGCTGCACAGAATTGACAGTGGCATCTCTAGGTGTCGTTGAATTATTACTCCCAATGGCTAGTTCGGTCCTGCGGTGTCTACAGCGACGAAGTTTGGAAAGAGCTGTGGTCCCGACATGGCTCACCTGTTTTCCGACACTACCATAATATGCTCTACCTGCTTCCTGCTATGATGCGACTTCTGCAGCAGCACGATGCAGCAACGCTTTTTCAACCAAGATTCTTCGAGCCACGCCACGCCAAATATGTTGGAGCGACGTTCGTGCAAGTCAAGCCGATCGCTCAATTTCATGATGGAGCCGTTGAGTTCAGATATAACGTAGGCACTAGATCAAATGGTGTCGACGAGCCCATTTGGCCCCGAGATCTGACAGTCGAGGTTGTGGGCAAGGAAGCGGCGTCAAGGATATAAGAACAGAGATAGCCTGGTAATGAGATGCAAGCGGGAGTAGATGCCTTCGTGCTCCGCTGTGTTGGTACATCTTTATTTTGGATGGCCAACCAGGTCATTGTACGGCAGTTGACCTAAGAGACTGATTCAAGCTGGGAGGACACTGAAGAAACTGTAGCTGTTGTCGCAATCCGTCCGTGGCTTTGCAAGCTTATGTAATCAAGACTCTAGCTTGCCCACGCTTAGATCTTTTGGCTTGTATCCTCTGGGTACCGCTCTGCGACGTTGGCATGATGGATGACTTCAATCCAAGCCAAACTGTCTACTCGTGCCATTTGCGCAGCCAGATTGGGGAGAAAGGCATTGCGTACAAAAAATACACCTGTGCTGAAACCGAGACATCATCTGGGTCCGAAAGCAGATCCTCCAGAGTGGAGACGCGCGGGCACCGAAACCCGAGATCACCTGACTGCCGAGCTTTCCGTTGCCGAGTTTCGTCTGTGCAAGTTGATCGTGTGGACAATCAACGCTCAACGCGGGCAACCTGTGAGATCTACCCAAATAGTGGAAATGGCTAACCGGTATTCGGAGTTGTCGCCGAGACCGTCGCGGACTTGTGACCATTGCAAAGCTCGCAAGGTTCGATGCATTGGTACGTTGGCTGCAGCCGACCGACCTATTGACCCCCCCGTGCCCTATTCCAGGCCCTGATAGCTGATAATGACGTGCAGTGCAAAATGACCCCTCGGCCTGTAGGAGCTGTATAGTATGATTATCCCACGTCACCCCAACGCTATAGTTTTAACAATGATAGTAGAAACGCAATATTACATGCCAGTTCAGTCAAACTAAACGGCTTGTGAGGCGGACGAACCCTGCTCAAGTTTCTGGTATATAGGTGCCCCAGGTGCAGTAACGGAATTGACTTCCTAACGATATCGACAGATGCCAGCTCCACGCCCCAGACTCAACGCAATGGACTGTACATTGATCGTGTTCTTGGTAATCCTGGACACGGTGGCGTCAGCATGAATGATTGTTCGATCTTCAAGGTAGGGTTGCGAACTTGGAGATGAAGAAGCCAGTGGATACTGACTGAATTGTAGATTCATGGCCACCATTGTGGGCTGCCTTTCACATTGTAGTAATCCGTAGTGGCCACTAACCAGCCAAATAGTGACAAGCTCGAACCTCGCTGTATTCTCCGAAAATAGGCTCCGACTAATTTCGCAACGCCTCGGCCACAACCAGGTTCAAGAACTCATCGATAATATAACAGATGTCATCAAGACTCGAGCTACCTTGGGCAAAGAAAATGACAAGGTCGCTGCCCTTCCATTATGGTCGAGCAATGCTTCCACTGCACCTTTTCCTGTTTCAAAAAAAGATGCGTCGGCATACATTGCAGCATATTTCAACTACATTCACCCATCTTATCCCTTCCTAGACCGGCAAGAGTTCGAGCTCAAGGCTTCCATGTCAAATCTAAACGAATTTCTAGAGAACCAAGCAGCGTTTTCGGCGTTATATCACGCGGTACTGGCCCTTGGATGTCAATATGTTGGCGAGTGGTCTTTTGATCCAGGAAAAGGGCAGGGTTCCCAGCTCTTTCAAGTTTCTTTGAGATTGTTGCCACGTGTATTGCTTCCACCTGACGATTTGACTAGCCTCCAGGTAAGTTCTTGGTCGGTTTCTCTCCTAGCCTGCTGATGCCCTGCTGACCATGGATAGGCCGTGACAGCGATGGTACGTTTGAAACGCTCCAGCTACTCTACCCGTATTATGGAACTTATTCTACTATCTAGTCTATATTCGGCATCAGTTTGCCCGGCATGCACATCGAAGACACCTTGATCATCGAAGCGGCAAGGATAGCTATACGCCTCGGGTCCCATCGTGGCATCACCGCAGGTGGGGCCGAGTCCTTGCATTATAAGGCATTCTGGGTAATCTACGTACTTGAGAGGATGACTTGCTTCTTTTACGGGAAAAGTCCTGTAAGCTGTCCTTCTAGACTCACTGTCAAACTGCTGATTAAGCCCCTAGGTACTGGCCGATTACGACATTGGATGTCCTATTCCTGACACTCCTGAGTCAGAAATAGAAGGGGTAAACTTTTTCGTCGTTATTCTTCGCGGCTGCAGAATACTATCGAAGACATATCAGATGCTGTTCTCTGCCAGCGCTACCATGAACACATCTGAACAGTACTTTGACGCCGTTGATTTGATCAAGGCCGATATAGAGCGATGGACGGGCTGTATCCCTGAGAAGTTCCGCCCTGGAATGCCATTCGTCGCAGGCAACACTTGGTTTACTTTCATGCTTCTAAGGCTTCATGGGGTGTATCATGCTCTTGTGATTTCTCTTTGCCGTTTGGAGCTGCATGTTGGGGCAGATCAGCAAGGACCTCGGATGGCAAAGACGAGAAAACTACTAATGAACACAGCACGTACGGTATTGCAATTGACGACTTACATCGATCTGAAACCTTATACCCCGTTGTGGTAAGTTTATATATACTAATGCGACAAAGATTCCCGTCTGACCACAAACTTCAGGATGTTGGGGACCATACCCTGCTCTGCGACGTTCATCCTATTTGACTTCATCATTCATAATCCGACCCACCCTGAAACGGAGGCCAATCTTACACTCCTAGATATGGCCGCGGGTTACTTCGGCCGCCTTCAATATGCTACTGGGGGGGATTTCCCAGCCCATCTAATGTCTGGGTTTGCACAGATCGCGACAGACTTTGTTCGACGCACTCGCTTTGAGAGCAGCAAGGCCACTCCCATTGCCGTGAACGACCTCAACCCCACGCTAACAACTGAGCCTTCGGTCTCAGTGCAGACGCCTTTAGATGTATTGCAACCTAGTAAGTCACATAGCGCTTTTGCCGTTATAACTAGTTTAACTTGAGCGCGTCACAAGGCAGCTTCACAAAATTTTCTTTGCCGGAGGACATCTCTACGGAACCACTGTTCTATCCTGTCACAGGCTTTGAGTTACCTTTAAGCGAAGACTCAATCACGGGATTCAACTTTAGTGCCTTGTTTGATTCCATGATGCCGGAATTTCGACCCTATTAGCAACGCATGTTGAAGTTTGCCTTTACAGCGCCGCGGACGAGGACACGCTCGAACTTGTATGTGCGAGGTAGCGGAAAGGTCAAATTGCGAATTACCCGGCGCACGGAACAAGCTGCTGTTGACAGGAGCTGGACTACAGGCAGGATAACAGGAGGCATCGACGTGGATATGTGCTTGACATGCCTTTTTAACATACTTCAACAGACATCTCGGAAGGCTAGGTCGTTTTCACGGCTGAACAGCGGCGCGTAGTATCACACGAACGGACGATGCCTCGTAAATGAAGGTTGCACAAAGTAATCAAACATTGTATCTACATGAATCGAATTTGGTATTTTACACTGCTTGAGTAAATGCATTGAACGAATGCCGTATTTGTTTAAACGTGACGAGACCAGCGCTGTAACACCAGTTGTAACCGTTGTAATTGCATGACTCGGGGCATGGGTATATTATCCAAACCATTTCGCATCTCCTCATGTGCCTCATAAATCGTCAAGAATCCCCCTTTTATTTTTAAAGTTCCCAAAAGCTCCATCACGGTACAGTTTCAGCTTCAACGCTACTCAGCGTCGGGATGACGGTCTGCATCAAACCAGTATCCGGGTCAAATGTGACACGGTCGATAGTAACCTCACGCATGGTACCGTTGCCGTTGGGAATGGCGAAACGATGATAAGCCATGTACCAATCATCAGTTCCCAGTATACCAATGATGGAATTGTGACCGGTGCCCAGGATACCTTGTGCCTCATCCTTTTGAAGGACAACCCCGTGATAGGTGTAGGGTCCGGTGGGGCTCGTGGCTGTTGCGTAACCAACCCGGTAGTCAGGCGATCGGGTGTCATCGATGGAGTAGGTGAGGTGGTATAGTCCATTGCGGTAGTTGACAAATGTTCCCTCGCGGTAGTCTGTCAGGCCAGTGATTTCACCAATGGTTTCTGGCTTGATTGAAAGCATATCGTCGGACAGTTCAGCGTACAAGCAGTTTCCATTTCCCCAGAAGAACCAGTATTTTCCAGTGACGGGATCAGCAAATACGTCGGGATCGATGGCTTGAGATGAAGTGAGAGATTCCGTGTTGGTAATAAGGGGGCCTTCTTGTGCTGTGAATGGTCCTTCGGGAGAATCGGCAACAGCAACACCAATGTTTTGTGCGTTATAGGTGGGGTTGTGGCCGCAGAAGTAGAAGTAGTATTTGCCGTTCTTCTCCGCAATCGTTGGGGCCCAAGCGTTTCCAGTTGCCCACGGTACGTTGCCGTCAGGTCCGTTGAGTGTGAGAATGGGGTTATCATTGCGTGTCCAGCTCACCAAGTCAGTCGAGCTCCATACGTAAAAGTCTTTAGCTCCCCAGTCGGACAGACCATCGGTCGTCGGGTAGATGTAGTAAGTCTTGCCAAAGACGGCGATGTTGGGATCAGCAGTGTAACCAGGAAGAACAGGGCTTGCCCGCTTTTGAACAACAGATCTCTTTGCTGAGAATTTGGCTGAGATGGCACTCAGTTCATCTGCTGTGACTGGAAGCACTGTTCCGTGACGAGGACTAGCTGGGAGACTGTAGGAGCTGGCTAGCTGCCAGTTGGGGTTGGAAATATCCTCAGTCTCTAGTGGGAGGTAATGTCGGCCACTATACTCGTCAACAAACAAGTAGTATTTGTCGCCATTGACATCATTTGGGTTGGATTTGAAGATGGTCGGACCTTCGACATTACTGGTGCCGGCTTTAGCACCGATGCAGCTGGCGACGGTGGTCCAATTAGTTGCCAAGAGGTTGGTAGAGCTCTCTTGGATAATATCGGTACAGCCAGTGGCACTTCCTCCTTCGTCCTTGGTAAACCGGTAGTAAACGCCATCTACGTCGATAACGGTGGAATCGATGCGTGACACCCCCGAATCCTCCCATATGACAGGCTCACTGAACGTGACAAAGTCTGTTGTCGTAGCGTACAGAACGCGGTGGTAGGAGGTGCCTGTATGGGCAGTATCGCTCTCTTCGTAGAGAGAGGATGCCCAGAAGACGACATAGGCGTTGAGATCTTCGTCCCAGTACGCTTCAGGTGCCCACGTGTTTCCTGCCGTTTCGGGTGAAACAAGTACGTGGCGCTGCTCAGACCAGTTTACCAGGTCGTTGGACTCCCAAACCTCGAGATAGCGACTCCCTGTGCGGACTGAAGCACCCCACGAGGTCCCAGAGCCAATGGAAAGGTCTGTGGCAATGAGGTAGAAAGTATTTCCGTCTGGGGACCGAATGACGAAAGGATCCCGCACCCCTCCTGTACCCTTGGTTGAGGTGAGGATGGGTTGATTGCCGTTCAACTCTGTCCAGTCGAGGGCATTGTTGCCGTTGCTTGCGGCGAGGTAAATCTTCTCTCCAGCAAGAGTGTCATTGGTGAAAAAGGCAAAAACATAACCATCATACGCCGCTGTCTGCCTTGCCTTGTTTCTGTAGTAGGCTGGATCATGTATAGCAAGACCACTCGTCAGCGTTGACCACGCGGCGATGGCAGGAATAGCTGATCTTAGGATATGCATTGCGTGTACTGGATGGCATTATACAACGGGAATGAGACGATAGCACGTTCGTCGGCATTGAAGCGTGGTCAGGCTGCATAGCCTGTGATTTATATTTCACAGAGCACATGTTGCTCGCGGCACGATGACGCGGAGGTTCTGTGCATGTTACTCCCCCAGACCCCGTTGCCACTGTTGTGATCATCATGAGCGTCCGAGGGAAGTGGGTCATAGCCAACCCGTGGGGTATTGGCTCTTGTCATCGTGCCTTGGCTAAGGCTGGTTGTGACCGCTTCATCCACTGCCCAATGGTCGCCTGTGTGGTTTTACCACCAATCCCGACTGCACTACGCCTGAGCCATGTCTGTACTCGAGATGGGGGCCCGATCTCCTGGCTGTGTGATGACACGGCATAGGTCAACTCCTGCTTTGGGATTAGCCAACATGTGCCAGAGTCCGGTCCGTAAGCACGACATAGCGCCGACGATAATCCAATACAGCAGAGACTGTCGTGTGCTGGAGGCGTAGATCGCAAGGCAGCGGTCGGCTGTGATCGGCAAGCCAACCTAACGTCTCCACGTCCCCTCACCGACCCCATACGACGACGTTGGAGCAGGCGAGGATCCCCCGCAAATACGACCCCATGGGTATGTGGAGTCGACCACATGATGCGCTCCAAAAACAGGGTTCATGGTCAGTGCATACCGGGCATCGCGTGCCATTGCATCGTGTCAGCTGAATCAGCGGGGATTACGGAGCCGGGCACACGGCTTCGGGCGGTTAATCGTCGTGATTGGTCGCCAGACTATTGGGGTGCCGGCAGCGAGCCGGCTCTGAACGCTAGGTTCTGTGAGGAAGGGATGCGAGCCCTTGCTACGTCACCCTCATTTGCCTAGGGCTGAGCATCGCGAGGGCATCATTACGATCCTCGTTATTGTTCATAGATTTGCGAAACCCAATCTTGGTGAGTTGGAAGGTTATTTCAACGCGATGCATACTAGGTATCACTCCCTCCACTAACACATTACTTCCTAGCCCAAAGTTTTCTCAAGTGGGCCACATGACTTGGACAGATGCCGTCCAGGGTCGTACTCAGAGTGGCGCCCGTAGTGGAATCTTGACAGCTTCCAAGGACAACTCGGTTTCACGCAGCTACAGCCAGGAACCATACTTCCAACTTATAAGCGCCCGATTTCTATTCGTGGGATGCGGTATTTGGGTCCCACGTCACATTGAGGAGCTTGCCTTTACGAAGTCACCTTACCCTTCACAATCGCGCATGAACGGAGAAGAAGGGAATGAAATATTAATGTGTGAACGCTGTCCACATATTACGCAAGGGCGTAAATGGATGCGCATAGTCACACGCTTTGGGTGCAAGCTGGCACTACCCATGTACCGTGTCGCAACCTTGTCGGCCACCTATGAACCGTTCGATAAGATAGAGTGGCTCCTTGTTTACCTTCCTGAAACCCATGGAACATATCGAAATGCGAACCACGGACCTTGTAGCGCTAATGCAAGGAACAGCTGAGATGCGTATGACTGCCGTGATATTTCCCGCATGAGAAAGCCACGCGTACCTCGGATGAAAATTCCACGGCTCTCTTCTCAGGCTCTTGACACGACGCCAAGATTCAGAGACCTTGCAGTACCACCTCCGCGACACGGCGTACTACTTACTCCATCGGCATCTTGGTATTTCCTCAGCGTCCAGTTGAAGACCTGTGCTTGCATTCCAAGCCTCCTGGATACTTTCTGGATGTGTCGGTATAAACCATGAAACGTTCTTTGACTGCATCCAGAATCCTTTGATCTATTCCCGAGGAATTACGAGCCGGTGGGCGAATCACATGCCAAACATTATAGATCTTTCAATATAGCATATCCCAATCCATTCTAACCAGGTTTACAATATCACAAATCGCGGTTTTCTTACTAAAGTAACTTAATTACCGCTAGACCGACTGCGGGAACAAGGTCATACTCATTGAAACTTGTCGGAAGGTAAAGTAAGATCTATCAATGGGGCCTAGTAATCACGGCACTATCTTGATGGAGTCTCAAGGAGTCAAGATGATCCATAGGCTATATTGGATTTCAATGAACTAGTGGCTCCTGGTTCTCCCTTACCGCCAGCAGCGGTGCCGTGTTAAATGGCGAGGCACCGAAGTGGCGCTCCGAACAACGTCTCAGACAGTCTTGTCGCGTGTTCCACAGTCATGTTGGGCTCCAGGCATTTTGAAACCTGCGGCAGGTTAGTGAGTCTTTCGGGAGGGCTTGACTTAGTAGTATGCATTCGTTAGTGTATTTCATGCACTCGATAATCAGCTTGTAACCTAGAGAATAGTTTGACACGGGCCGAGCAACACAATGAATATACCAGCCCATGCCAAGTAAGTGAGGCGCAACGCCCTCTGCGCCACACCTTAGAAGCCACCAGGCATGGTCTCCGTACGCCCACGCTCGTGGTTTGTTTAACAAATATTGGAAACACTGAACTCATATCGGCGCTAGTCGCACAGGAGTTCCAGGTGTGACAGGCTTGAAGGTATGTGATTCAAAACCTAAACCGCGAAGCCCTTTCTTTTTAATCATTATCAGAGCAATCGTCTTAGATAGAGCCCTCACATAGAAGTCTACGAGTAATTCAATTTTGCTATGTCGAAGTAGCCCAATCCAAAGACGATGGACTGTCCAGTGCATGATGCTTCAAGTAAAAACTAAGCGCCAACGCACTGGAGTCGGGGTTAAAAGCCTCCGGAACTTCTTCGCCATCTACATTGCTCCCGATACTAGCACAGCAGGTGGGTACCGATGCTGGAATCGAGACAAATTTAAGAAAATTGAACAACTGTGGAGATGATTGGCGACAAATTATTTGGACCCTGGAACGTTCTGTAGGCTAAAAACAGTGAGTTGGCTACCCTTCGTGCTTTTCTCGGGGGGCAAATGCTTACAGGGACCCCATTCTGCAGTAGAGTAGCGCCTTAATCAAAAGTACCCTGGCATCCTGTTGATTCGCTCCGATATTCAACGAAAGAAAGAAAAGGGCCGGATTCTGCCATGCAGGCAATGTAGCAATATTGCACATTGATGCAGTGTCAACCAGGCGATACCAGTCTGCCAATCACGATCTCCCATTCTACGACAATGCCTAAGTGAACGCCTGGCACAGCCACGTCCCAATTTTGTCCGACATCAAAGGCGGTGTTGACTGAGCCCCTGACGGGAATGTCATCGAGACTAGAACAATTGTGAAGCATCCTTCCCCCTCGGCTTTTAACTCTAATCTTATTGTTGCCCTTAACAATTTGGCATTTCCATCATGTCATTGCAAATGAACTCAGAGTTAACAGACATGTCGCTTGGGACTCTCATATGCACTTTCATGTTTGCCCTCCTCTCCATCCTATCCGTTTTATTCTTGCTAGTGGATTCTCGTCGGTCCAGGGGTAATTTAGCACCAGAGGATGTAGTAACATTGTGTGCATTCGCTATATCACTTACACTGGTAGGACAAACTACCTGGGCCGTTATGGATGAGCATCGAGTTCGATACACTTCGGGAATCACCCAACACGATGTCAAAATGCTGATGAAGGTGCTGAGAACTCCCCGCATTTTTGGCATTATTGGAACAATTACTGACGGCATGTGACTTTTTAGTCATTCTTTGTTCATGAGATCATGTGGTCATTAGCAAACACGTTGATTCGAATATCGGCTCTTATACATTTATACAGAATATTCAGCCCAGTCAACTCGATAAAGTATTCGGCCTTATTGTTGATAGCATTGTGTGCCACTCATGGACTGGCCGCTTTTGTTGCTCCTCTCTTGATATGCCGCCCTATTGAGGTGTTCTGGGACCTCGAAGTTCAGAATGCTTGCATTGCTGCATATACCGGCATTGAAGCAGCTGGCTTGATTGTGGACATACTGATATCATCCCTGCCATTTTCAGGTCGATCAAGGCTTGCATTGTCAACAAACAAGAAACTGGGACTCTCATTCCTAACTTTAGCCGGTGTCATGTAAGCCTTCGAGGTGATTCTAAATGCACAAACATCTAATGAAAGGTAGTATCACCATTATCACTGGTCTTCGCATTGCTGCTATTCAAAAAGAGAGCACCTCGGGATTCATTTATGGCGAAGATGGTCTGGGACTTCTGTCAAACATTGGTTGCTTACTTAGCGTTATATTATATGGTGTCCCATCGGTCTGGAGGCACATAGCGCGAGCCAAAGAATCAAGGAATCGATTCTGAGATCGTGGGCTCTGTCTATGATGCTGGTTGATTGGAGCCAAGGCCCACATCTCCCTAAATTTAAGAAAAAAAAAATTACTTGAAAGTTACTTCCATAAAAAATCCTACGATTCTTGTTTGACGACGATATTCTAAAGCGCGACAGAGAGAAGTAAAATGAAAAAGTCAACTTGACTCTCGTTTACCGAATGCGAAATCCCTCTTCCCGTACATGCTCCATATCGAGTCTAAGTTTTGTTGTCACACCTCGAAACTCGACGTGGGTGGCCAAGGGAACATTAGTTCAAAAAATCCGGATCAAGGAGATTCCAGCATACCTGCGGGGACCAACAAAGACTTGCACTGAGTTAAAGGTTCACGGTGGCGTCTATCCTTGTCTTTGTGTCCTCGCATTACAAATGAGCCTAGACAAGGAGTCAACCCTTATTCAACAGAAACCTGCCTAAGAAGGGGTGGTGGGACCTCAATTATCATCGTTCGGAGAGGCCTGACTATTGATAATATCCAAGACAGTATGCTAGTATCCCACCGAAGCATCATGTTGCCGTTGGTAGTCTGGGTTTGGGTTTTACTCGGCCCAATGCCAGTTGTGTTGTCCCAGCGTACAGATGGGCAATTTTGGCCTTGCAACCCGATGAAGAATTCGTCATGTCCTCCAAACCCAGGTCTTGATAAATACAACTACTTCTTCGACTTCACACGACCCGATGATTCTATTTGGAAATATTGGAAAACATCGGATTACATTGGCACACTGCTCAGTTTTAACAGCCAAGGGAAGAATGGAGCCGAGTTCAGGTTTGAGAAGAGATACGACGCGCCTCAGTTTATGACAACTTTTTCGATTTTCTTTGGCAGAGTAGATGTTGTGATGCAAGTGGCCCCCGCTATTGGGATAATTTCTTCAATCGTCCTTATGTCGGATGATTTTGACGAGATCGACTGGGAGATGTCCGGAAATAACTTCAACCTGAAGCAATACCCTAACGGAGCTGTCCAGAACAACTATTTCGCAAAAGGAATCGTCGGTTCCTACGACCGCGGTCAGTTCATTGAGTGCGCAAATCCTGGACGGCAGTTTCGCACTTATTCTTTCGATTGGACCCCGGAGAAGTTGGATTGGCTGATTGACGGCAAAGTCGTCCGCACGTTTCTGGCTAAAAACGCGGATAACAACGAACACCAATTTCCGCAAACTCCGTCCAAAATTCAATTAGGAATCTGGAATGGTGGAGATCCAGACCAACACCCTGGAACAATAGGCTGGGCCGGCGGACTGACAGACATGTGAGTGAACTCATGTGCGACTTTACCAATTCATACTCTGATACGTGATCGAACAGGACCAAGGTGCCATACTACACATTCGTAAAGAGCGTAAACATAACGAACTACAACCCGGCTCAGCAATACAAATGGACGGATCAGAGCGGAAGCTGGAAGAGTATCAAGCCCATCAACGATACAGCTCCTAGCTCCTCGAACACCGGCATTAAGTCCGCGGCGTCATCTATACCTTCATCTGTTACTACGCGTACTTCCATGTCGATGAGCACTCCCAACACTCCTAGCACTCTCAGAGTTTCTAGCTCTCCCAGCTCTTCTGGCTCTTCCGGCTCTTCTGGCTCTCCTAGCTCTCGAGGTACTCCTAGCAGCCCAAGCAGCCCATCTACATCAAAAGTTGTTAGCACGAGTGCCATATCAGGTACTCCAAGTGTTCCTGAAAAGCTTCCAGGGCCAAGTCCGATCCAATCAAGACCTAGTGTCAGTTGTGATGACAGGGCTTGTACAACTGAGTCAGTACAGAAAACGGCAGTAGCGAACGCAGCTATGTCAGTGACATCACCGGCATTGGGCAAGACCGTCAGTGCTACACCAACTCCAAAAGCCTCTATAGTTGCCTACCCGACTTCTACAACTCCGCTGAATCCTTCGATAATGATGTGGCCGTTGCCTAAGTCCAAAGACGGAACATGCGCGTACCGAGGATTTAAAGTCTGCAAAGATAGCGGGTTTGGGGATTGTTGTTCGAAATGGGGGTATTGTGGCAAAACAGATGAATACTGTGGTGCGAACTGTTTAGCGCGTTGGGGACTATGCGGAAGTTCTGCCACGGGTAAGAAAAATGTAGCGCGCGAAGACAGCAACTGGAGTCGTCGGGATCGCGCTTATCCCCCTGGGCGCAGACCCAATGCCACAGAGATCAACTAGCTTTTAGCCATTGAATGGCTTCTTCTCCACGTTGTGGTGAATATATATTCTCTCCCTAATCTAGTCAGCCTCGGTCATACATGTGTAATCAAGTAAATCTTTTCGCCCTCGTGCATCGTACGCGGAATTTCATTAGTGATTGCTTTGTTTATCACACATCACATGTTGGACGTGGGCGCCCCTGAGGCACAAACTCGCCCATGCAGAGTTGAAGAAGAATTGAGCCGCAATGAGGATTACGGAAATTCGCTCTTCCGATAGCTACAAAACTCAGGAATAATCCTCATAGTCAGGAGCGAAATAGTCTGAACCATTTTGTAAAAAGTGGAAATAAAAGCAAAAGTGACACAGTTGGTATGATCGTCGACTTCTCGGTTATTCACAGCAATTAATCACAACATAACACATATCTACAGGCCCCAAGTGATGTGGCATTCTGGTCGAAATCTCACTAGAAAAGAGCTTGGGTTGCTAAGATCATTGACTGTGGAATGTTCATTGATTACTCCCTGCTCCATGGTAGTAGATGCAGATGTCTATCCTGGTACGAAATATTCCTATATTTTTATAAATTTCCTTGGGAGATAGAGTTTTGGTGAAATAGAAACTGGATAACTTGTTGGCGGCTGGAGTTAAATTCAGGTGATAGTACCAGAGATTTTTACTTGGTAGAATACACACTTATCCTTCATCCCAAGAGGATCATGCAACTACGATGATGTGCGATTCCTTGGAAGTCTCGCAGAGTTCTGTTGCGATCTAACCCCCCCTTGCGTAATATGACACATGCCCAACGACTACGACTTAGTTCTATCAAAGAGAGGTTTATGCTCCTCGTGGACATCGTGCTCGTACTCATAGTCAACATGAACAAACGCTCTCTCAACATCGGCAAGGCCTTCCAGCTTCCTCTGCAAGGACTGGCTGACGTCGTGGGAGATTCGAAGGGGCGTATCAGGATGCATGACAATATCGACTTCCACATAGTATCTCTGGCCCGCGTGATAAGCTCGGCACTAGTAACGTCCCTAGTTAGCATTTCCTACATTTATGATTATAAACCCTGCAGGTCACGTACCGTATCGATCTTTGTAATATTGGGATCATGAGTCATGGCGATGTAGATCAGTTTCGAGATGTACTCCTTAGGAGCACCCTTACCGACAAGGAGCCAGACTTGCTCGAAGGCATTAGACACCCAAGAGAACAGGATGAGGAGAGCGATGCAAATGGCACCGATTGGATCCAGGTACCAAACGAAACGCTCGCCCACGACGGACATGATAAGCCCAAATGAATTCACAAAGATGTCGTTTCGGTGATCAATCTGCAGCAGTTAGCATGGTGCAAGAACTGTAAGAGTGACACTTACAAAGAACACGTGAACAGAGGGATGCTTCCTGTATAAGAAACAGTAGCACATCAAAGTGAACTTGGCCCCGATGGCTACGCAGACACAGATCATTGGGACAATGTTCAGCTGCTGCCCGCTGTCCGAGTGTCCCGAACCGAGAGTACGGCCAGACTCAATCTGGGCTGTTCAGTACAGATATCCGTCTCCTCAGATGGGAGAGGGACTAACCAGCAGCTCAATAGCGACAGTGGTCATGAGGGCGCAGAATAGAATGACGCCGATAGTCTCCATCCTGGTGCGACCCTACCAAGACGTCAGCCCAAAAGCTTACATGCGCACCGGCGAGAGATTCCATGACTGACCACTGGAAACTTGTGTAATTTGGGCTTCGAGGCCATGCGAGACGTTACGAGCATGACGCAAGAGGAGACGAGATCCATCTACAAGTTGTCAGTGTCGTGCATGCCCCAGGGATCGGGCTTCTGCTCACAAACGCATCGGCGGCCGTCGCGAACAACTAGAACAGTCGTGTCAGCCATTTTTCGCGCGCTGTTGGGCTTGAAGGCGGTTTACCGATAGTGACCCGGTAGATATAGCGGCGTACAGCTGAATCGCGAACAGGCAAAGGTTGACCGAGAACGAAGCATTAACGGCGAACTTGACCTTTGGACCCACGCGGTCACTTTCTTCGCCCGAAGTACGCTCCTCGTCGTTGGATCCTAGGTATTGGTCGATGAGTTCATTCTGCCTCGTGTAGTACGCCTTCAGCTTGGCCTTGTTCGCGTTCGGGTATTGAGCCTTCATCTGCTTTCCTGAGGTGTCTTCGCAGCGGAGGCGGGCGATGTCTAGTGGATCTGCTGGGTCGGCTGTGGTCGCCAACGATGGCGGAATCATTCTAAGAGACCCGCGCCACGGTCAGAGAAATGAATTGCAGACATTTCGATCCAGGAAGACGGGCGTAGGATGGGGGTGATTGATCTCGCGCTATGTCTTACCCGCCAGACTGGACGCCCGTGGTCGACGTGTTGATCTCGTTCTCGCCCGTCATGTTTGCGATTAAGGGGTTGATGCGACAGACACGGCGCTTGATGGAAAGGAATGCGTATAGCGGCTCGGTTTGTGATGCGGCGCCTGTCTACCACGCAGCAACTGTATAGGCACAGGGATGTGAAGCAATATGTCTGGGTGCCAAGGGTGCCAAGGGTGCCAGGAAAAGCTTTTGTGAAGAAGAAAACTTGGCCTTCTTGGCTCGGCTGGCAGCTTTTCGTTGATATGATGACGCCCCCTGTTGCCCCTGTTGTTTCTCCAGGCGGTGGCGCTTCGCCATGGACACAGGAATACCGTTCAAAAGTTGGACAAATTCTTGGCGCACCCACTTTCAATTACAAGAAGTTTTAATTGGGTGCATTGCTCGAGACTTGGAAAGCTGGCCATTCAAAAGTGTGGAGAGGCGAATCAAGTTAGAGGAAATAACTTTTGGCCAGCCCGCCAGATGATACGAGTAGACACCTCCGCTCGCCAAGACGCCAGCAATAGATCGGGCGCGCCATTTCAGGGACCTGCCCGGATGGGAATCACGCAAATCAGACCCCACCTCAGAGCGCGCCTGTACTCTGAATGCCCCGGGCATGAGGTTCGCACTCCATTATACCTATGTCCGTGAATTACACGTATTCGGCGTCGATGTTCGTCGTCCAATAGACCACAATGGTATTGCATACTCTGATAGAGATACGCGGATATCAGTACTAAGGGCATTGGTCTCATCCGTGACAACGATTCGCCCCCTTTACTGGCAAACGGAAGTCAGATCGCCCGCAGGTGCCACCGCTGTCCAGTGCATATGTGAATCTCAAGCTGGGCAATCTCATGGGTTATTCGAGGTCGACTAACATGCTGGATGCACTGGCAAGCGATCTTAGCGAACGATCACGTGGAGCGTGAGCGGATATCAGACACTAACATTATATCGAAACTACTAAACATCAATTTTCAGTCAGTGCGGTCGAATCCCTGGGGAAAGGGATTTGTACCTCATATACGGGCAGCACACTAGACGTTAGGACTAAGATCTGATATACTGGTATCAGAGTGGGCTTTTGTCTGCACATGGAAGGGGTAGAGGGACTTCCGTGGCTCATCTTCTACAGGTCGATATGTATATGCGCTCTCTGGACTGGTCTGGATATAGCACGCTGGGATATCAAGAGCTGTGAAAAGGGGAACGCTGTGAATATAAGGCCATTTTACTAACAATGACTCGCAACTGGTTCTCGCCACCAACCCTATTAACCAGATTAGTGCTACGCATTCACCAGATGAAGCACTGTGCCGTGGCAGAACCTGGAGCTGACTAGCGTCAAGGCTTGGTCGACGTCTGCGACACGATTCGCGGTCGCCAGGAAGTGATGCATCAACGTACCATTGTCACATTGCATAGGGCAACTGGCAGTTGGGCCCTACATACTGTGTTTGGCTTCTAGCTTTCCAGTGTTCCTTCCATTGGTCACGTAGAGATGTGGCATCTATAAAGATGGCGAGCTTGCCGTAATGCGCGACGCTCGCCAATTCTCCACGGCAGCCTTCTGCAGCTTTTGCCTTGACGGTGGATCCTATCATGACTTACGTTCGCTATGCCATTTCCGAGAAAGATACGGTTTCCAAACACGGGCACCTAAGGACCGTCTCCGTAACGGTGAGAGCCGCAATGCGCCAAAACCGCGGCACCGGAACCGGTCTCCCAGCCTCGGCGCCAAGGCGGTGAGGAAGGGCAGAAGATGGGTGCGAGCCCGCAGCTCACAGGGAGTCAGCAGCCGTAGTCATGCCGCATGGTCTTCTTGCGTTATAAGTTGTGCTCACTGATATTGGCCATTTGCGGTGGCATCCGTTGTGCTGTGTTACTGGCTGATTAAAATAGGTGTATGGAGGATTCTGGGAGAGCCCCACTGTGGCTAGCCTGAAGGATTTAGGCCCGGAAATGAACTTTCAGTCCTCACTCTCTTCCCGTCGAAAGTGCCAAAAAAACCCTGCAGTGATGAGGCTAGTCTTTCGACGAGCGAATAAATACTGCCAATATCTGGTTGGAGTAAAGGTCCATCCGCCGAACTGCACCTTGCCTCTTGAACCACCCGGCTTGTTGGTAGCTCAACGCCTTTGTCCATACCGCTGCGGCCATCGTTTCCTAATGTCGGCCACTTCAGTCCGTTAGCGCCTCGATAGCAGCCGCACCCGCACCCGATAGCGAGAGCGGCGCGGCAGGGAAGGAGGATGACGAGTCACAGCCAAATGGTCCACTTTGGGTCTTACTAGTATCGGCTGTCAGGCCCATTACGGAAATGCTGAGTGCCGGTATACTGGGCATCATCCGCTTTCCTAACCCTAAGCCATCGGAAGCATAATGCTTTCCAAATGCAGGGCTGCGGCACAGGCTTGCCAGCATGACAGATCAAAGTACTGTGCATCACATTTCAGGTGGTTAAGGCTGAGAAGAATTGAACACGGCATCTTGGAGCCCTGCCAGCCTTCTAGGGCAGCAACCGGCATGGGGCAGCAGTCAGGGGTCCCTTCCAGCTCGTAGAGAAAACCAATCAGGATGCCGCTGCGGCGGCATCCTGCCTGCGCATCAGGCGAATCTGTTACCCACTGGGCTTGGGGGCCATATCAAAGTGCACGGGAACCGCACCATAAAGATGGTCTCAATCCGTTGTGTTTTCAAATTTCTGTGCAACATTTCTATATCATCATTTGGTCAATGTAATTATGGCTCTTTTCAAGAATCACAGCGCATCTATTGCCGTTGTTTTATTCTTAGCTCTGTACCCATGCTATGTGTTTGGCCAAAATGATGCGCGCGTTTGCGATTTTGATCAAGGGAGGACTAAAGCAGGAGATGCCTTCGAGTTCATGGCATGGTGGAATCGAGGTAACTGCATTCGCAGCATGCCTAGCGACGAACAATGTCGGTCTGCCCTCGAGGGCATCCTGGACAACCTCGACAGCTTTCATAACGCCGAGTATAGCGCGTCCGCTACCATGTTGACACTGTTGCCCACTATAGGATCCAGTAAGTTACTCAACTTGGTAACCCACCTTACTTGATAGCCAACAGCAGGCATCTGAAACACTGACAGATCTTGGGCTGCTACACTGATTCCGAAGATGAGCTGACGTCTGCTTCAATAGTGCTTGGCGCCCCATCCGCCGATACGTGGTTGCTCTTGAAGCTGGTACCCTTTGCCGGAGTCTTTGGGCTCCTACTATCCTACGGCAGCCCGATACGCATGGGCACAGGAGATACGTACCAGGACTCCTTCACAATTGTGGGCAAGGATCAACAAGATGGGGAGAAAGACAGCCTTTCCGGAGGTGATTACAAAAAAGACGACCTTCCGGAACGCGTCTCCTCAGCCGTTCAGGCGAACCTAATGGGAAATAAGGCAAAACTACCGATAAGCCAACTGGCCTGGAGTATCCTTGTCATGTTCCTCCTGTTCGCCGGTGCTATGACATCCATGGTCGTTGTCGAACTGGCAACAATCTATGTCACATGGTGTAGAATGAATTGGTGGTTTCATTTATGGTACATTGCGCGTAAGTTGAAGAACGTGTTAATTGTGTTACCCCCGCATATGCTGATGAAAACTATTCCCTTAGTTACTATTGTGGCTTTCGCTGAAAGCTATGTCAATGTTCCCTTCCGGAACTACCTCACGATCTACATTACAGAGGAGGCGCCGACAGGGCTACCCGAAGTCCCACATTCACCCCTTGGTGACACCATGTCAGCGCATTCGGTCAAGCAGACGCTTACCACTCTGCCTAAAGGCAAAAAGTACGGATCTGCCTCGTACTTCAGCCGGGACAACCATTCTAGAACCATCGCGCTGGTGATATCAAAGACACACGGTGTAAATGAGCCGGCGTGGGCGAAGAACTTGCGGCAGGGCGTACAGCTGTTCTTCAAGATCGGCACGCTCACCATTTTCGTGTTTGGCACGTCTGTCCTGGCTGCGGTGGTGCTGTTGGCACTGCCCATGGCGCAGATGGTTTTGACGCTGGTCGTAGGGTCTGGCGCCGTTGGACAGTTTTTGATCCAGAAAATGGCAGACACAGTCAAGAAGACCGGCAGCAGCATCCACGTCATTGCGGATTCCGATGAGGAAGCGGGAGCTATAGTGATGAGGCTGCTGGATGACCAGGTCAATGGGCCCAAGTCCTTCACAATGGAGGTAGGAGATATTGTACTTGCACGCAAAGCGTTTGTTGGAAGACGAAGCCCATGGGCGAGGCGACTGCTAGGACTCCTAGCTCCTCCTATGAAACTTGACGCTTAAGCGAGCATATACTAGGCTTAGATAGTGTAGCAGGATTGTGGAGAGAATTAGTTAGTAGGCAGCCTTATGTAAGTGCATAGACTAGAGATATAAGAGCCCCATTACTACATAGATTGGTACACTAGGGTAGATTCTCAGGGACATTTGTAGGTCTGAACGATTTGAGGACTTGTCACGGAAAGCCGAGGTAGTATACCCATTAATTTGCCTGAATCGAGCTAGACTGCCATGGAACATTCATGCTTTGACTATGAGAGCTACTTTAGGCTCGTGATAGGCAAAAGACCGTCTTTGCATGCCTACAACATAACCTTGATATACCATTTCCAATAAGACTAAAACCGAATGTCGATAGGAGGCAGTGGACGTGGCATGGCCAGAATGCACATCTGAATTTGGGCACAATACTAGTGTGGCTCTAGACACTGCATCCAAATCCACGAGACTGTTCCGGTTTGTTGCCTCTAGGCCCTCTAACATATCACATGGTTGTAGTTTGATAAGACTCAGCAGTCGGTCCAATGGAGCAGGGCCAAAGACATTGTCAGATGACTGACAGTCTTCATCTCTCATTTCCCTTTGAATCAAAAGAACACCACTAGCTTCTATCCGTTCTATGTAAGGGCTAGGATTAGCTAATAGTAGATACTGCCCTACGGCCGACACTAGTCGCATCCACTTTCGTTCCTGGTCGTCGTTGGGCGTGCGACTGTAAGTTAAAAGGCCCACCGGCCCGGGACCGATGGTTTAGGGGGTGGAGACGCCAAACGAGACGGCAAACCAAGCCAATGACAGCGAGCGAACCAGTTGGCAGACCCTCTGCCGCAGCAAGGGAGTAATGTTGCAGCCCTAGATAGATGGTAAGCCGAGTTCCGCATCCCTCGAATGAAATTGCCGTTGAGCCTCCCAGATGTCTAGGGGTACTCCGTAGCTCCTAGTGGTTTAGCCTCCTTGCGGCGGTATACTAGCGTCGGTCCGGATCCATCCTGTTGAAACGGCCAAGACACGCCGGATGCTCGAAATTGCCATGCTAGTATGCGTGACCTCGTGGACAACTCAGGCAGAAACGTTTCGAAGGTGAGCAGCTGTCCTGCGGGCCAACACCGGGCAGATTCGTCTCCATCTCGACTGCGCCCGCACTTACATACGACTCCCTTGCCTTGTTGGCCCCCTTATATACCGAGGCTGAGTGGCCTGCCAAGGCAACGAAAGCGCAAGGGCGGGGCCTGTCCCCTGTGAACAACTGCGCCAAGTCCTGCCGTTTCCTAATGGTATGCAGGAGCCACAGTTTCGGCAGCCAATACTGGCCGGCGCCCCCTGGACAGAATCTTATACCCAACGTCATTTCCCCGCATGCGGGGCGCTGGCTATACCCCGACGGAACAAGCTGGGGGCGTTAAGGGAGCAGCTCGGTGGAGTCGTCGGGTCCGGTCTTAACTCGAAGGAGGGCAGGCCGGGTGGGCTGATGGCGGAGCGGCCCTTCTCCTGTGGTTGAGAACGACGCTTGCCACGACTAAGAGGAGAACCCGAGGTCTCAGGTCGACCTTTTGCCCCGGGTAGTTGTGCTAATCAGACCAGAACACCCACACAAACATCACCCCCGCCTGTGCAGGTTGCCATCACATTCGCCCAAAGAGGGAAGTATACCAGGACCGAAGGTAGGGGTCCAAAACTTAAACCCCGTGGAACCCCTCCGCTGGTTAGACCATCGGCCCTTTCTTATTAAGTCGACGGGGTCCTGTCACATCCGTCGAGCTATCTTAAAGGACCGCTCCTAATATAACATACATAACTCCGATATTTATAAGAACGACCGGGTCTCTTGTCGACGAAAGATAAGAGAGAACCTCACATAACCCTCACCTCAAACACACAGACACGCATATACTCCTCCCTCCTTCACTATGGCTACCCTGGACTTCACCAAGTTCTACAATGTCATCGACGGCAAGCTGGTAGGCACGGCCAAGACGCGCCGCGCCGTCAACCCGTCGACCGAGGAGGAGCTGTGGGAGGTGCCCGTCAGCACGCAGGAGGACATCGACAAGGCCGTCGCCGCGGCCAAGAAGGCCCAGGAGGCCTGGGCCGAGGTGTCGTGGGAGGACCGCCGGAAGGCCATCCACGACTTCGCCGCCGCGCTCGAGAAGCAGTCCGGCGAGTTCGCCAAGCTCCTGACCACTGAGCAGGGCAAGCCCGTAAGTCTTCTTCTTATCCAGGCCCCGCCCCGATGAGACCTTCTCTCTCTCTCTCTCTTTCGTATACCGAGAAACAGTGCTAACTCTGCTGCCCCATCACAGCTCATGTTCGCCCAGGGCGAGATCGCCGAGGCCGTCCGGTGGCTGCGCACCCTGAGCTCGTACCCGGAGCCGCAGGAGACGGTGGAGGAGTCCCCAGAGCGCAAGGTGTCGATCCGGTACACGCCGCTGGGCGTGGCGGTGGGCATCGTGCCGTGGAACTTCCCGGTGCAGCTGGCGAGCGGCAAGATCGCGGCGGCGCTGGTGACGGGCAACGCCTTCATCCTCAAGCCGTCGCCCTTCACGCCGTACTGCGACCTCAAGATGGCGGAGCTGGCGCAGGCCTTCTTCCCGCCGGGCATCTTCCAGGCGCTCAGCGGCGACGACAACCTCGGGCCCTGGCTGACGGCGCACCCGGGCATCGACAAGGTCAGCTTCACGGGGTCGACGGCGACGGGCAAGCGGGTCATGGAGAGCTGCGCCAAGACGCTCAAGCGCGTGACGCTGGAGCTGGGCGGCAACGACCCGGCCATCGTGTGCGCGGACGCGGACCCGGCCGTGGTCGGGCCCAAGGTGGCGACCATGGCGCTGTTCAACAGCGGGCAGATCTGCATCGCGGTCAAGCGCGTCTACGTGCACGAGAGCATCTACCCGGCGGTGCTGGCGGCCATGGTCGAGTTCGTCAAGAGCGTGCGCGTCGGCGACGGCCACTCCGAGGGCGTCTTCATGGGCCCCGTCAACAACAAGCTGCAGTTCGACCGCGTCAAGAACCTGCTCGACGACATTGAGAAGACGCAGCTCAAGATCGCCACCGGCTCCACCAAGACCCAGGCCGACGGCAGCAAGGGCCTGTTCATCACCCCGACCATCATCGACAACCCCCCCGAGGACTCGAGAATCGTCGTCGAGGAGCCTTTCGGTAAGCTTTCCCCCCCTTTTCCTCATCCTCAGATCAACCCCCTCTCCCCATTTCTCTCTTCGGGGCGTCAGGGCTGTGTAGGTATCAGAACAAGTGCCATGCTAACTCTCACGAACCCAGGCCCCGTCTTCCCCGTGCTCAAGTGGACCGACGAGGCGGACGTCATCAAGCGCGCCAACGACACCGACATGGGTCTGGGCGCGTCCGTCTGGTCGCAGAACATGGAGACGGCGCACCGCATCGCCAAGAAGCTCAAGGCCGGCAACGTGTGGATCAATGCCCACGCCGAGCCCCAGCCCGAGGCGCCCTTCGGTGGCCACAAGCACAGCGGTGTTGGCTACGAGTGGGGTGAGGGTGGCCTGAAGGCGTACTGCAACGCGCAGTCGGTATACGTCAAGACTTCGCCATAAACATGTCCTAATGATTGAAATGAAATGAATTGAAGAATTTTTCCTGTCAAACCACTTTTCAGTTTTGGGGCTTGAACATGGCTTGTGAGACGCAATTGTAGACTAGGCATGTTTAAAGGACCAAATGAGTTAAGTGAGTTAAATCGTGAACGTTTCATTGTATTCGACTGTCTACCATGAGCCGGGGGGTCTATGAATCGACAGACAACCATGCCATTATCCCCAAATCCCTATGTCACTGCCAGGTCTGTCGTGCCCATGTCAAAATCTATGCCTTTTTTTTTTTCCTCCTTCTCTCATCAAGTTATCGTAATCAAACCATGCCTACCGTATCGCACCAGCTTATGCCAGCTGGCCAATGCCAAGGCTCTCGGGGTCGGCCTTGACGATACGGAGGGTGTTGGTGTTGCCCATGCCGCCTCTCCAGCCCTGGACAACGACGACGGGGTCGCCCCTGGACAGGACGTTGAGGGCCAAGGCGTTCTCGACAGCCCACTTGATACGGCGGTCGACGTCCTCCTGCCAGTTGACCTTGGTGAAGTCGGGCTTCTCCTCGGGGAAGTAGAAGGGGTAGACGCCACGGTACAGGTGAGCGTAGCGCGAGGCGCTGGCGTTTCGGGTGACCATGAAGATGGGGCAGACGGGGCGGTACTTGGAGAGCAGGCGAGCCGACTCACCCGAGGTGGACAGGACAATGATGCCACCGGCGTTGAGCTTGAGGGACGAGTTGACGGCGTCCATGGCGCAGGCCTCGACGACGCTGACGGGGGGCTTGACCAGCTTGGTCAGCTCGTAGTAGTGAGCGACGTAGGGGATGGTGTTCTCAGCCATCAGGCAGGCCTTGTTCATCTCGGAGACGGCGAGCTCGGGGTAGGAGCCCTTGGCGGTCTCGCCGGACAACATGACACAGTCGGCACCGTCGGTGACGGCGTTGCCCACGTCCGAGATCTCGGCACGGGTGGGGCGGGGGTTCTTGATCATGGACTCGAGCATCTGGGTGGCGCAGATGACGGGCTTGCCAGCCAGGTTGCACATGGCAATCATCTTCTTCTGGGCGGCAAAGACCTCGGCGGCGGGGATCTCGATGCCCAGGTCACCACGGGCGACCATGACACCGTCGGTCTCGGCCAGAATGTCACGGAAGTTGTTGAGACCCTGACGGTTCTCGATCTTGGCAATGATCTGGATGTGCTTGCCCTCCTCGCCGAGGACTTCACGGATATCGCGGATGTCCTTGCCGGAGCGGATGAACGAGGCAAAGACCATGTCGACGTTGTTCTTGACGCCGAACTGCAGATCCTTCTTGTCCTTCTCGGACAGGGCGGGCAGGTCGACGTCGGTGTTGGGCAGGTTGACACCCTTGCGGGAGCTGATGTAGCCGTTGTTGAGGGCCTTGACCTTGAGGGTCTTCTCGTCAACGATCTCCTGGACCTCGAAGGCGAGGATACCGTCGTCGACGTAGATGATGCGGCCCTTCTCGATGACCTTGGTGATGTTCTTGTAGTCGACGTACCTGGGAGATGGATCCAGTCAGCGGGATTGGGGTCTTGCGGGGAGCTGGGGGTGGTTCAGATGGGCCTCTTACATGTTCTCAGTGTCACAAGCGGTGGCGTACTTGTCGTCGGTGGTGATGTTCAGGATGGCATTGGCGGCGATGGGCAGGTCGGCATCGTCCTTGGTGTTGCCGGTTCTGATCTCGGGGCCCTTGGTGTCGAGGGCAATGGCGACCTGGCGGCCGGCCTGGGACTTCTCGGCGGCACGGGCGTTGTCAATGACGGACTGGTGGTACTCGTAGGAGCCGTGGGAGAAGTTCATGCGGACGACGTTGAGGCCGGCGGTCCTCAGGCTGTTGATGGCCTCGACCGAGTTGGTCTTGGGGCCGATTGTGCAGATGATGGAGGTGCGGCGCAGGTTTCTCTCGGGGGTGTATGCGGTGTCGAGCGAGGCCAGCCACTCGATGCGGCCATCGTAGGCGAGGTGGTCGTGGGCCGTGATGGCCACGGACTGGTTGCGCTGGTGAGGCATCGTGGAGAGTCTTGGAGCGGTTGACTGTTAGCAGGAGGGTTCGTCCAGAGTCGGAGGAGACCGAGACGACTGCAGTGACTGCTCAGAAGCAAAAAACCAGGAGGGCCTATTGGCAAAGGTTGTACCGCAGAACAGGAGGCCTTGGTCTTGATAGGCAATGGAAGGAGGAAGGGGCAAAGAGAGTGAGCCGAGTCGACGATGGTAACCCAGCCCAGCCCTTTAGCTCCCAGGTTTGTGTTTGCATCACCATGATGTGGTGGTGAGCCAACCCCAACCCCAACCCAAGCCAGACCAAACCAGGGCCGGAGCGGCAGGGAGGCGCAACCAGCAGCTCGAGGAGCTCGTCGCCAGACCGCCGCGACACTGCGATCGCAAGTGTGCCCTCGTCTTCCTCCAAGACCAAGGCCCGGTGATGCGGGCAAACAGAACAGGGGAAGCTGAGCAAAAGAGGGCATTTCCATTACATACCTCGCAACGATGCTGGGTCCAACGGAGAGGAGGGGGGTGGTTCCTGGGATGCTGGGACTGCTCGAGTGTCTGTGAAGCTTCTCGAACGGGGGAGGGTGAGGCGACGGGCTTTTTGATGCTGTTCCTGTCGTCCGGTGTCTGGCTTGTATTGTATGTACAGTCCAGAAAGTGCCGCAGTCGGTTTTATTCTCGCAGGACAAGACAATGGGAATGGGATTGGATGTACGGAGAAACCAAAAAATTGGCTGCACGGCTGGCGGTCGGGGACCCTGCTTTTTCTGCTGTCCCAGGTGGCTGCCCCTCACCTAGCGCAGCTGGAGCGCGACCGGGCCTCGATTGGATGGCTGCCAGTGGAACGGGGGGCATCCTCTCTGCCTCTCTGCCTCTCTGCCTCTCTCAGTCTGCTGGGCAAATAACAAATGTCTTGGCCCAGCCCACTGCTCGACGGGCAGCGCAGGCTCTGCGACCGAGACGAGACTCGCACAGAGCCGCCAAGCCAATTCTGGTTTCTGGCTGTTCCCCCAATCCCATCCCCAATCGTCGCCCACGGGTCGAGGCAAGCGTCTCAACGTTTCCGTGTTTCAATCCGCCGAGCGGCCGGGGGTTGCAGCAGTCCAGTCCGCCAGCCAGCCAGCCGTGGGGAGCTTCCCTTCTGCTGCCACCACCAAGGAGACCAAAGAAAAAAGCCGCTTTCGCCTCTGGGTACCTAGTCGATTCCCCCCACCTGGTCGGACTAGAGGCAGCAAAGAAGCCCATTTTCAGTGCTGCCCCGCCATCTGCGGTAATGTTACAATCCGGCGAGGTCCGTCTTCTCCTTCTGGCTTTTTCCTATTTTTCTTATTCTGCTAGGTTAGGTAAATCTGGACTGGCAGGGATGGGGCGGAGAAGCAGGAGGGAGCTAGGACCGCTGTCGGCGAGTTAGTCGGCGGTGATCCGCGCTGGGCTCTGATGGGGCCCTTGGGGGCCCTGGCTGGCTGGCTGGGCTGGCGGGATGGATGGCTGATAAGATAAGGGGATAGTGGGATGGATGATGCTGTTCCCACCACCTTGTCGAGGTGGTGTGGGATGCTTCCAAGCTTGGCAGCCGGAGATCTCAGGCACCCAAGGCCGCCAGAGCCCAGCGCCCAAGACCCACCCCGTCGTCAGAGTTCCAGCCTTGGCAGCTTGGAGCTTCCAGCTGCAAACAGCGGGACAGCCCCACCGTCGCTGCTCCGGGCAGAGCCGGGGCCGTAGTGCTGACTGGGCGCTGTGACTGCTGGCAGGCGCTGGGCCACAACACTGACACCGCCCCGGCAACACTGAAGCTCCCCCCCAAGGCTCCCAGGCTCCCAGGCTCCCAGGTCCCCAGGTCCCCAGTTATCGGTCGCATGACACAACAACGCAACGCAGCCCTGAAGCAAAGCGATCGTATCGCATCGCCTCTCCATCAACAACACCACAACACACACCCACCCACACCCCCGACACCGCCGTCGCCCAGCCTTCGGTACCCGCGAGCTTTCAAACATCGAGTGAAACCCGAGCCCGTGTCTTTTTTTGGTCCGACAAGTCGCTATCCACCAGCTCCGCAGCGCAGACATGGTTGTGAGTCCCACGCCGCCGCCCAGCGCTCAGGACGCCGTATTCTGAACAGTGGCTCCCAGTTCCTCAACTTGCTGACTTTTGGTCTCTGGGGGAAGCTCGGTCGTATAGTCCACTATGGCGTCGACGCCATCCTCAGTACGCCCGTCCTCCCTTCCGAGTCCTTCTCTCGTGCTCCCACGATGCGGCATCGACTAACGTCCACGTTCCAGTTTCCACCGTCTTGGCTGGCATGAGACGATCGACCGGCTTGACGTGAGTGCGCCCCTCTCCGTCGCGAGCTGAATATGCTTTCGTCGGGTGGCAGAGGACTCGGAGTACGGAATCAGAACGACGAGGACCTGACGGCTGACACGATTTCCAGCTTTCAATCCAAGCAGATCACCGGTGAAAGCCCCGATGCCAACAAGTGGATAGAGAAGTACCTGGGAGTCGGCGAGTGGGTGATGGACCAGTCCGTCGCCATTGCCGGCTCCAGTCCCTGGTTCAAGCGCACCCGGTAAGAGTCGTGTGACCACGGGCCGCTGGATGCGCCAGCTTCAGCCCTTCGCGCAGACTCCCCGGGAGGAGGACGACGACATCATGCGACGCGGCGCCACGAGGGGCATCGAGGGACCGACGAGTGGTGGCAGGCCGCGCTCTGCGAGCGGGAGATTTCGGGATGCATTGTGTACCGGACGGCGTTAGGGACCTGGGTTATACTTGTTGACGTTGTCTTGACCTGCAAACTTTCCACGTTGTCTTTCAGGGAGGCCATCGCAGGCCGAACTGCAGGAAAAAACAACCCAAAAAATATATATATCCAAGACTCCTCTTTTCGAGCTTTTTACATAGTATTAAAGAAATAGGAATGGAAAGTCACACAGAACGAGTTGCCCTCCTCCGCCCTGGGGACTGACTCCACGTAGAACGGGAATACTAGCCGAACTTTGCCGAAACGAGCACTAGACATGCCGGGGTACACAGTCAGGCACCTCTCCTCCTGCTGCGCTAGTGCGCTCGGGTTAGCTCGCTGCGACGGCGCCCGTTGAGACAACTGGGGGGAAAACATGTGAAGGCCGAAAAAGCAGTGATGGCCAATGGCGTCATGTCTACTTCTATATATATATATATTTTAATTATATATCTGCCGAGCAAGGACTATACTCGTACTAGACGAGAAAACTTGGAAACTACCAGGCTCCCCTGGAAAAGTAACCCAAGCTGTACTCATTGCTGCTGCATGTTCTAGAACCCAACACGCGCCCTTGCTCGCTTGGGGTGCAAGCGATTAACGAATGGTCCACCGAGTCCTAACATGGCTACTTAAGTACGTAGATACCTTGCCCACCGATAATCTGGATTTATAGAATGACTGCATTGCACAAACAGAGAGAGGCATTTTGGCTGATTCCCGGGCAAACACGAAGGCAACTGCTAGTGCGGTTGGTGTGGTTTGAGAGATATTGCATTATTTATATTACAAAGCAGTATCTTGATTCCACAAGCACCACCCTCGCCAAGCGCCTCTGATGATGAAGCTGACCAGCTGTTCAGCCATGCCGTAAGGCGTAGCCTGGGGGTGGCCGCCCAGGGGTAAGGGGATGATGCTGGCATCGGCCACCCGCAGCCCCTTCACGCCCAACACTCTACCCTCCGTGTCCACCACCTTGCCCATGGCTGCCGTGCCCCCCGAGTGGTGGTGCTGCGTTCCAGTCCTGCGGATCCTCTCCTCAATCTGCTCGTCGGCAGCATCCGCCGTGAGCGGCGTCGAGCCTTCCAGGCCCTCCCCGGAAGGAGGAGTCTCGCCCTCGACAATACCCTTCATGGGTCCGGTGCCCAGCATGAGCTTCAAGGTCTGGCGCGCCGCGTGGATCAGAGCATCGCGGTCCAGCTGCGTGGCGAAGTAGTCCGGCTGGATGCGCGGGAGGTTGGCCGGGCTGCTGGAGCGAATCGACACCCTGCCGCGGGAGGTGGGCAGGAGCAGCATCGTGGACGTGGCGATGTGCGTCCCATCGACGGGAATGCCTGGTATCCCGGGCGGCACATAGACAGTGAGCACCTCGTCGAGATTTCGCCGATGCTCGAGAGCATGAGGACTTGGGGAGTGTGGTAAGTGCCAGCGCAGACAATCACCTCTTTCTTTGTAGTGATGTGTCGCCCGTCAGCTAGGTCTATCCCCGTTGCAGTCTTGTCGGAGAAGGTGACTCTGCGTACGGGAGTGTTGGTGAAGGAGATACTTGCGCTCTCCTGACTCGGAAGCAGAGACCGAGGTAATATGCATGGGCCCATCGAAACCGTGTCCTTCTGCATGCGCCTCAGAACCGTCGAGTTGTTGCGGTTTCTGAAGCCACGGCTTGATGCCGGCGTAGCTACAGCGTTTGTCGCCCACTATCTCAGCCCATTCATCATAGTCGGCGGCATCTGCACGCAGCCAGCCGCCATAGTTGAGTATACTGCCTCCCCCGAGAGCTTTGCCGGCGTTCAGGGTATGAACACGATTGGCGGTATTGGTGATAGGCTCGCTCTGGTAGGCATAGTTGAACTCGCCGCCCTAAAGCGATAGACCGCCAAGGAAGGTGGTAGCAGCAAGGTTCCCGGAAGGGTCAGACCCGGCTTCCAGGAGGACGACTTCGGGTTTCTGGTCACTCTGACTGAGGCGTGAGGCCACGAGACATCAAGTCAGACCACCGCCAACAACAATGTAGTCTACAGCCACGTTTGGCATCCTTTCAGGGTATAGGTTTGATTCAGAATCTTGCTAATATGGGCAAGATCGAGGGCTGAGCAAAATCAGCTGCGTGAGGTCTGTTAGAAGCACCCTGGCGCAAGGGAGAAATGAGGAGGAAGCGGAGCATGGTAGCAGGGTGCCGAGTTGTATATTAGTTCCTAGGCGGTCGGCCCTAGAAACATATCATGGCGGCGGGAGGTGCATATGCCTTGAGGTGACCAGTAGCTCAGGTCGGTACGCAAGTGCGTGAGTAGCTTGCCCATGTTGGCCTGCGGCTCAACTGGTGTCGAGGATTCTTCGCTGCATCAGCGCCCGTAGTGGTGTCAGCAGAGCAATAATCCTTGAATATAAGGCTTCCGCTTCAGAACAATCCCTATTGCTCGACTATTATCGGCTATGGCAGCAACAAATCCATATCATAGTTTTGCCGTCTTCCAGAGCAAAGAGGGGGGG